GACGCCAAGTAGTATTGTGATACTGTAATTCATAATTGTATTTCATAATTCAAGTGTCAGAAATACTATATTTTAATTGTTATGATAGACCTACTTGAATTGAAAGAACAATTCCCTTATTATTATTAGCCGGCAGCTAGCTCTCTGCAACTCTCACATGGTTGCCCACTGAAGCCAAGCAGGGCTGCGTCTGGTCAGTACCTGGATGGGAGACCACATGGGAAAGCTAGGTTGCTGCCGGAAGTGGTGTTAGTGAGGCCAGCAGGGGGCGCTCAACCTGCGGTATGTGTGGGTCCTAATGCCCCAGTATAGTGACGGGGACGCTATACTGCTCAGTGAGCGCCGTCTTTCGGATGAGACGTTAAACCAGTAGTATAGTTATAAATAGTAGTCTTTAATAAATGTTTTACAGGAGCTATAAATATGAATCTTCAATAAATGAGCCATTGTTGCAGTATGCAAGAGGAAGCAAGGAAGTGAGGAAGATTGGTAAACAGGAGACGGGGTGGATATTTTTTTTTACATTGAAATGAAAAAAGCTGAATAAATACGCTTTACATTGTTGTATGGTTTGTTAGGATAGGGCAATATTTATAGAGGTACTGTTGGTTTTATATTCACACATTCGTTCATTTAGCAGTCTCTATATTGTTTACCATGTTACTTTGAACATTTGATCGGAATTAGCATGCAAGTATGAGTTGTAAACAACATTAACACTGTTTATTTGACTGTGAGCAGTGTTGTACTTTGATAGTCATTGGCTGCTAATATGATTTCGCTATTAAGAGTTTGCAAATAATACTTTTATGAAATTATATTATATTAAGGGGAAAGTCTGAATGTGCGAATAATAAGATATTAAAACCAACTTTACCTCTATGCAATATTTAGCTATCAGTCTATTACTGTTTGGTGAATTCAGTATGTTCATGTACTTTATAGCAACACCTTTAAAAATCTGATTATATCAGTATCGGTCAGTTAAAAATGATACGAGTGTTTAAGATTGATTATAGCAGTGTGTAATTGAAGCAAACAGATTGATATTGAATGAGGCGTGTGTGTTCTGTACGGTGTTAACCTTGTGTTTTGGTGTATTGTTGTACAGTTTTGGATGAAGTGTTTCATTTTGCAACAGAACTGATGTGTTCTGCTGTTTGTGTGTGTGTGTGTGTGTGTGGACGTGGAAATTATGCGTAGTGTTTTGACAAATTAATTTCAAAATTGTGCTAAAGCAATCAGAAAAAAACTCTAATAAATAAGAAAACATTGAGAAAACGGAACATTTTAACAACCTTTTCATGACAAAATACATAAACACAAGTAAAACTAACATGTTTGCTGGTTGCTGCTATAATAATGAGCTGAATAATTACATTTAAATAATTAAGCGGCTAAAAATATGTCGAGTTATTGTTAGAGATGTCATAAAAACGAAACAAATCAAATGTAAGCAATGTTTCACTGTAGATTTCTTTAGTTTAACTTTCTATGACTTATTAAGAAGCGGAGGCTCAATTGCAGTAGCTGTGTTATTGTTTAATAGTTATTAAATCTGTCATTAAATCTGTGTCAGATGTCAACAGTTACTGTACATCAATGAGGAACAGCTTTACCTGTCAATCATCCCTCAGTCCGAACGGAAACATTTTAAATCCCTTTTGAATGACTTTGCATCTCTCGTTAAGGGTTCTGTTGCATGCTTAAATGCTTTATATATTCCTTTTATTCGTTTATTGCTCAAATTTATCGCTGTTTTTTCTTCCGTTATTGTCACACATCAACTATCAGCGTTTTCTTCCGCTCTAAATCACGAGACCCGCGGTAAAAAAAACCCGGATGTGGAGTCTTTCGGCGGGTCGCCAGCGCGGGAAAAATCCACCTCAGGGAGCAAAATATTGTAATTTTCGGGCAATTTAACGCACTCATATTGAAATTCGTAAGAAAATCATTCCTATTCTCGTTTAATGATCGAAATATAGTGTTAAATAAGTAGAAGTATAATAAATAGACATACTTGCGTTGTGTAAAGTGTTAGTTTACTGTTAGTTATAATTAACGAATAGTTGGATATTTATACTACTAAAAATGGCGGTAGCTATAATACATAGTTATATTCGATTCCACTGTAGCTATAGGATTATATACAGGTCATTTTAATACATTTGTGGTATGTACGCTTACATCTTTGTGAATTTTGTCAGGTAAACTTTTTGCTTCAAGAATAAAACTAAGCAAATCAAAACAAATAACACCAGTTATCATAAATATAGCAATCTTTAATGTACAAGCGCTTTTATTAAAATATCTGAACAATGTTACAATCAAACCAACAGTATTATTTATTATATCTATTAAATTACCCAATAAATTGTATTTTATTAACGCCTACCCCAACCCTAAACCCAACCATCACAGTAATGCAAAATTAATAAATATTGATATACAGTGTCATAAAAATGCTACTATAATTGATGTACATATCGCACTTCTGGCCGACCGCGTATCCAATCTAGACTTTACCACTAGACACCTGCCTCACAGCTGCGTAAATGTCCGTGCCGTCACTTCTTGATCTGCGATCGGTAAATGTAGCTTGTGTGGACGATACTGCGCTACTTCAAATAATAGCTTCGCTACTGAAAAACTATTTGATTTTAGAAAGTAGCGACGCTACCGCCACTACTGAGAAATGTAGATATAGCAGAATAGCAGCGCTTTAATAAATGGACTTAGCAGAAGGCATCGTGCATTTCAAAAACAGGCAAAGCTACAGATCAATATTATTCAACATATCGCAGATTCTTATAGAAAATTTAGATGTAACACCGTGCTGGATAAGTTGGCGGGTCATTCCGCTGCGGTGATCCCAGATGAATAAAGGGACTAAGCCGACAAGAAAATGAATGAATAAATGAAGGATGTTTAAAGAATATTTGTATGTTCATGCTGCAAAAAAGGCTTATACTAACGTTACATATAGCTATATTTAATTCTATTATGGGCTATTTGCACAGCTAGTGTTTTAAAGCCAACGATAAACTTCTAGTGAAAATTTAATGTAACTTTTTTCACTTTTACAAGGTTGTTTTACAGCATCTATGTTGTAATGTAATTACAACACATTCAGTTAAATAGATTTAAGCATTCATTTAGCTGTTCAAGAGTGAAACGGGATGAACCGTTGTAACCACTAGTGCCGTCAGTAGCAATAGTAGTAGCCGCCAGTAGTCGTATTTTATAGAGATGGTGGGGGAAATGGAATTTAATGCAGTGCTTCTGGTCCGATCTGAGACCCACGTCATATCAAATATCTAACAGGCAGTGAAGATCACCGATTCGTAAAGAAATCAGATCTTAAACGTGACCATTTTGTAATGGAAAGACCCTTGGGCTGCCTGGGCGAAAATGTAAATTCTGTATGCATATAGCCATTGTAGGTGAGTTTTATTACATTTGTTGCCTATATTTACACCTACATCTTTGCGAATTTTGTCAGGTAAATTTTCAAGACTAACACTGAGCAAACCAAAACAAATAACACCAGTTATCATAAATATAGCAATCTTTATTTTACAAGTGCTTTTATTCAAAAATCAGAACAATGTTACAATCAAACCAATTTGTTATGAGTAATAAACAGGCGGTTTACATCACTGGAAATATTTACTGTATGATTAAGTCATCAGAGAAAAATCTAAACAAAAAAGTATCATGGACGTTTTCATCAGCAAGATTTAACGAGTGCTTAAATCTGTTGTCGATCTTTTAAAGTGAAAAACAGAAAGGATTTGGCAACAAGCGACATCTAACGAAAACAAAGAGGTGATTAAGTGCGAACAGAGAAAATCTCATACTGCGAGAGACGAATACAATGATGGAGAGAAAATCAGTTTATATGGTGGAAATCAACTGTTACTGGAGGATAATTTTCTGCAAATAAACATTCATTCGATCATTAATTACATCAATTGCACAAACTCAAAAGTCTTTTTTTTTTCTTCTACATGGCAGCGTTAAGCTGTTTCGACAATCTACGACTTCATTTAATCTTTTATTCGTTGTTTTCATCATATCAATGGCCTGAGAGGGACATCCAGAAATAAAGATTTAGAAATAAAGAGATGAACCATGCAAATGTCAAAACCTTTCCAATTCTCAGTATTTAAGGCAACTGCTGACACATGTGAAATACTCTAAATTATAATCCAACACTAATCATCAGCAGCGATGAGCAGATCGATTCGTGACTATACTCGACATTGAGATACTTTGGGTATAAAACGGCATCAAGCGCATGAGCTATCATACAAACACAAGAGCTTTACATCTGATTTAAGAAAATCCGTCAGATTATTGAGCATATTCAGAGTATTTCAGGCAGAATGAAGCAAAGTAAAACAGAGCGCATTCACGAAAACACGTCCAGCTCGTAGTTCAGAAGAGAATAAATCAGAAAATGGTTTTCTTTAGCTTTTGTGACATTGTTAGCATGACGATCACTGAAACTTGCAAAATGTTTGACATTTGTAGAAGTTTAAGTACAAATACTGGCAGTATTCCTTGTACTAAATTAAATAAATAAATGAAACGGTAAATACATTTCTGTAAATTGTAAGATATAAGTACACAGTGGCAGTATTAATTGTACTTTATTTATATTGATTCGAATATTACATGATTTTCATTAGTATTAGCGATGAAAATTTAGAGGGAAAATGTCATTAAAATATTGTTAGACTTAATCTGTAAACTTTTATTATTTATACACACACACACACACACATATACATATATATATATATATATATATGTATGTATTTTATATATATATGTATGTATTTTACATACATTTTACACACATGTATGCATATATATATATATATATATATATATATATATATATATATATATATATATATATATATAATACATATATAAATATATATATTTGTAAAATATATTTATTTGTTTCCTCTTAATTTTGGGTGAAACATGAGGTGGACGTGTTCTTTGTGAGATTTACCCAGCAGGCACAGCGTGAAACTCAATGAAAAATACAAAAAAAAAAAACACTAAATATTAAATTGAGGGACAAATCAATAAATTACAAGCGCTTTCAATCTAAAAGTGAAAAAAGCCTGATTATTTCACAGACGTGAGCTTTTAGATGGAGGAGCTTCAACACAAAACACTGACGCATGTAAACAGCCGTTTAGATGAGGGCAAATCATTATTATTAGCAGCGATTCAATCATCATTGATCCAATTAAACGAGTCGAACTGAGTATTAAAACAACAATACGGAGCACACGGCCCCAGTGCATCATGGGTACACCAAACACCTCTGAAGGATACTGAGTGAGCTGGAGTTTGTTCGTTCGTTAGTTTGATTATTTTGTTCATTGGTGAGGAAGGAAGGAGGACGGTCTGGTTGAGGTTTAGTCTGGGTTACAGTAGCAGGATGAAGATGCGGAGTGTTGAGTAATTCGTCACTGGATGCCCGCGGCGCTCTGGGGCTTGATCTTGAAGACGCAGATGTGCAGATGAGATGCGATTTCGTTGCAGACGCTCACGCAGTAGCGCACCAGATCAAACAAAGACAGAATCTAAAGAGACCATCAAAAAACGTAATTAGCAGATATGATTAGTATGGAAGGCGAACAGAGTCAAAAGTCGACAAATATGGGTGAAATCTGATTGAGGCAAAGTAAGTAGATTCACTGCGAAATTAGTGAATATTATTATAGTGATAATAAAAATATATAATTATCTCTAATAAATATAGTTATCACGATAATAAAAAATATAGTTATCTCAGTAATAAAAAATGTATAGTTACCATGATAATGATACATATATAGTTATCACGATAATGAAAAAATAGTTATCACGAAAAAAAAAAATATAGTTATCAAGATAATATATAGTTATTAAGTCAATAAAAAATTTAGTTATCGCGATGATAAAAAATACAAATTTATCGCGATAATAAAAATATAGTTATTGCGATAATATATAGGTATTACGTCAATAAAAAATATAGTTATCGTGATAATAAAAAATATAGTTATCATGATAATAAAAATACTGTCATCATGATAAAAACTTAGTTAGCGTGATAATAAAAATATATAATTATCACGATAATAAAAATATATAGTTATGGCAATAATAAAAATATATTTATTTATCACGATAATAAAAAATATATAGTTACCGCAATAATAAAATGTATAGTTATCTCAGTAATAAAAAATATATAGTTACCAGGAAAATGATAAAATATTGTTATCGCGATAATAAAAAATATATAGTTACTACGATAATGATGAATATATAGTTATTGCGATAATAAAAATATATAATTATTACAATAATAAAAATATATAGTTATCGCAATAATAAAAAATATAGTTATCTCAGTAATAAAATTATATAGCTACCAGGATAACGCTAAATATATAGTTTTCGTGACAATAAAAATATATAGTTACAACGATAATGATAACTATATAGTTTTCGCGAACAAAAAATATAGATATCGTAATAGATATAATAAAATAATATAGTTATCACAATAATATACAGTTATTTTGGCAAAAAAAAAAGTTATCGGCGATAATAAAAATAAATAGTTATCGGCGATAATAAAAATAAATAGTTATCGCGACACTAAAAATAGTCATCGTGATAAAGTCAACCTTTCCTCTCCCTCTGCTCCCAATACTTTTCTGTCTGCAACCTTTACTGTCTTTTTCAAATAAAGGTGAAAAAAACCCAAAAAAATAATTATAATAAAATATAGTTATCGCAATAATAAAAAATAGTTTTTGTTCTAACAAAATATATAGTATATAGAAAAATACATAGTATGTATAAAATATATAGTTATTGCAATAATAGTATGCTATATCTTTATTGCAGAGAGGAGCAATAAAATATATTTATTTTATGTGCTAAAATTATGTAGTAAATTTGCATCTTTATTGCAGAAAAAAAGTTATTTTGATAATAAAAATATATAGTTATCATGATAATGGTATAAGCTAAATCCATATTGCCGAGCGGTGCAATAAATAAAATATATTTTATGTGGCAAAAGGCTTAAAGTTATTTGTAAATGTAATTTATTGCAACTTTTTGCGATATCGATATTGCATATACTATTATCGCGATAACTATATTAATTATCAAAAAATATGGTCATCACGATAATAGAATATGCTGTATTTGTATTACAGAAAGGAGCAATAAATTATATTTATTTTATGCACCAAAATTCCGCAGTTGAGAGTAAATCTATATATTTATTGCAAGAAAATATAGTTATTGTGATTTAATAAAAAATATAGCTATGGTATATGCAATATCCATATAGCAGAGAGGCGCGATAAATTACATTTAACATGGAATTTGTGTGTTCATGCATAGGTTGTTTATCTAAATTTGACCAACACAACTACTACAAAACTATAGTAATTATTATATTACATGCTATACTGTACTATGGTTCAAAAACACTAGTATTTACAATATATAAGCAAAACTTACCAGAGAAATCCACAACACCAAATACTCATCGATGAAGCTGTTGAAATACTGATCGAGGAATAACAGGCCGGGACCCAGAAACGCCACGTCATGAAGATGCATTTCACTCTTCGTCATGTGAGCCACCTGCGCACACAAAAGACACTCCTTTACACACACAGTTACGCAACACACTGCATTATTGCGCAGATACACGTGACAATGACATAATAAATATACCAACAATTACAATTCCTTTGCATGTGGATAACACTGTCGTAAAAACAATTTGTGAAAATAGCTAAAGGTACTGCGTTGCTCATGCCAGGCCTGTAGGTGGTGCTGTTACTGCGCACATACAGTCCTGTAGTCCACTTGTGTTGCTTTAGGTAAGAACAGAAAATTTGTCACTAGTATGAAATGGCCAATTATTATTTTTTATTTAATTTGCGCCAGTTACATTTTTATGCCAGCAGGTGGCGACAATTATAGTTAAAAATCATTTATTTATGAGAATTGTTAAAAAAAACAGTGATGCATCCAGTAACAAAAAGTCCTCAGTAGTCAGCAGGGATTTTTTTAAAATAATTAATGAAATTCAATTAAATATTTAGCTAAATAGTCCTCAATCGTGCAGCACTACCATGTGTTGTTGAAAAAATTCAGGCAAAAATTATCCAAAAATAAAAATGTATGCAGCATTTATTTTGTTCCACCAGTAGGTGGCGACAAGTAACTGTTCAACGAATCATTTGTTCATTGGATCTGTTAAAAACGCTGATTCGCTCAGTAAAAACACATTTCTGTCGTAATTTTTTATAAAGCGTTTAAAATAGTTTTTTACTCACCACTAATTTATTGGTGATTTTGGCCGAAACGAAACCAAAGGCCAGAATATAGAGACAGGGGTGTTTCTGGAAGAGCTGGACAGCCGATTTCTTATAAATCATCATAGCGAGAATGATCACAGAGCCGATGTGCAGGACGGGCGATAATACACTCGTACCCTGAAACACAAACACACAGCTTAGAAAGTGACGACAGATATGATATAATAATAATAATAATAATAATAATGTGCGTCAGCTATAGTTTCCACACATACCGCTATAGTGGATCCGTTTTTCCCCACGCCGCCTGTAAATATGACTCTGAAGTAATTGGTACATGAGAAAACCACTCCGATAAATGTGCAAAGTGCTGGAATTATTTTCATTTGGATGTTTATTACGGGAATCTGTTGAATGCGAGAGAACAAGAGATGATTACGTTAAAACTAAAGCGATATGCTGAAATAATATACATTTCTATGAAACCCACAGTTTATTTTATGTATCATTGAGTTAACAATGTCCTATTTATGTTCATACATACATTATACATGCATGCTTTACATTTATTTATTATATTATTATATCATTTGAAATGTATAAAGAAAAAAAAAAAAAAAGAAAGAAAAAAAAATATATAATATATATATATATATATATATATATATATATATATATATATGTCATATAATTATTTACTTTTGAATAGTAAATAAGGAAAAAATGCATACATGTTGCATTTCAGTATTTATTAATTTATATGATTGTTATGTAATTTTAAATATATCGAGAATTTATGTACATTATTTACAAAATAATACATGAAATTTACCAATAATTGTATTATAATGATTACATTATAATTGACGTTGTCTGAATTATTCATGTATTATTAGTGTAATTTTTGGTAAATATATTTTAGCAATTTTAAATATACACAGAATGTCTGTAAACACATTATAATTTGTTTGATTTTAATTTAATTGACTATTTTATAGTATTCAATATATCTCGAAAATATGCATATTTTGTATGTAGAATGTATTTACATATGACGTACATTTTAATTAATGTTTGTATTCATATTATTGTCATATAATACATTAGAATATTAAATATGTTATGCATATATACATTACAATTCATGCGATCTAAATCATTCCTGTATTTTTTATAATGCACTTACAGTTGAAGTCAGAATTATTCCCCCCCTGTTTATTTTTTCCCCCATTTCTGTTTAACAGAGAGCAGATTTCTCCAACACATTTCTAATCATAACAGTGTTAATAACTCATCTCTAATAACTGATCTATTTTCTCTTTGTCATGATGACAGTAAATAATATTAGACTAGATATTCTTCAAGACACTTCTATACAGCTTAAAGTGACATTTAAAGGCTTCACTAGGGTAATTAGGGTAAAGTTAGGGTAATAAGTCATTGTATAACAGTGGTTTGTTCTGTAGACTATCGAAAGAATATAGCTTAAAGGGGCTAATAATATTGAGCTTAAAATGGTGTTTAAAAAATAAATAACTGCTTTTATTCTAGCCCAAATAAAACAAATCAGACTTTCTCCAGAAGCACAAATATTAGAGGAAATACTGTGAACAACTCCTGAATCTGTTCAACATCATTTGTGAAATAATTCTGACTTCAACTGTATGTGGAATTAATTCACATAACATTTGTACTTTTTAAAATGTATGAAATTATATTTTAGAATATTTTTTTTAATTTACCTTACATCATTCATGTATTATTTTATAATATAAATATTATAATATAGTATTTTATTGTTAAACATATGGAAATTATGTATGTTACGCATGCAGAACTCATGAGATTTTAATTTGTATATTTGTATTAACACTATTGTCATTATAATACATTAGAATATTAAATATACCTTTAGTGCAATTCAAAGGCTTAACTAAATTAAGCAAGTCACTGTATAACATTTTTTTAGACAATCCAAAACTAACATTGCTGAAGGGGCGAATAATACTGACCTTAAAATGGCTTTAATGAATTAAAAACTGCTTTTATTCTAGCCCAAATAAAACAAATAAGACTTTCTCCAGAGGAACAAATATTATAGTATAAATACTATATGATATTATACTATGAAAATGTAAATACTGTGAAAAATAAATTTGGGAAACATTTAAATAGAAAGAAAAATTAACAGAAGGGCGAATAATCTTAAATAATTTTAAACATTTTATAGCGTAAAAAATATATTAATAATGCAAAAAACATTTAATAGCATCTAAAAAGTAACAAAGCGATCAAAGGAATCAAGAGTTATTAATTGTTTATCACATACACACACACACACACACACACATCTAAATGGTTATGATTAGTAGTGTTATGATAATCACAGATGTGAGTGCTGAATTACCGGAGACTGCCAGAAAGCTGATCCGCCCACAGCAGCCAGTAAATACACCAGAATTATGAAGATCTGCACTTCTGTAACATCAATGCTGAGCGGAGGAGAGACGCGTTAGACACACACACACACACACACACACACACATAGACAGACACACACACAGCCATGCTAATCACAGTAGCATTCGTTTCTGTCATTGAGTCACTGATCCCATTTGAGTGCATCTGGATTGAAATCATTGGTTAATTAGTGTTTCAGGCTGCTGATTGGTCGCGTTAGGATGAGCCGTTTGATTGGCTGATCGGATTTACCGTTACGTTCCAAATCGTTGGGCCAACTGCAGCCGTAAACATCTGCAACAACGCTAGACAGATCTGCGATTCTGTGACATCGAATCTGCCACAAAACAAGCCTTAGACACCATCTGTACAGCCGTTAGCTAAAGGTGTGGTCACAGCCGCCGTTTTTTAAATTAATTTAATAATGGAATTACTATTTTGCGTGTACGAATCATACAAAATTTTGTTCAGTTTAAACAGAACAGGTAAAAAGAATTGTACAGATGTTCAAATTATTATTTTGCATAAGAACTATTAATTTGGAAAGAACTGTCTAATGCTGCGTTCACACCAGAGGCGGAACGCGCATCAAACGCGAGTGATTTACATGTTAGGTCAATGCAAACACGTGAATAGACATCCTGCGGTGCGATACGCGCGAATGACGCAAATTGCACGGTGCGAATAGCGCGATATGCTCAAATGGTGCGGGGCGAATTGAGCATTAAAAAGAGCTCATAAAATCCTTTTAGCAACGAAGCTACAGTCACCGGGCAGACAGAAGCCCAGCCCATCATGCGAGACTCTGTTCTGAAGTGAATTTGACACGCGAATGAAGCGGATTTCACGCGCGAATGAAGCGAGTAAACTCACATGTTCACGCGGCTATTTATGCGCGAGTAGAGCGATTTATCCGCGCGTTCTGCGTCTGGTGTGACCACAGCACAATGCGCATAAGCAATGCGATTACCTATTGTGTAACTCTTAAGGGAAATATGTCACAATTACACAATTTAATTTCTCATTTCTATAAATTTGTCGAATATGCATCCATTGTCCAACATCAACCCTTAAATCTCTGCAGAAGACTATTGAACTTTAAATGTGACCACACCTTACCGACAAAATAATCCACTTATATAATCAATTGTGTTCGTTTTTTATACTCACATGCCGAAGCGCAGCGTACCGGAGACGTAGGTCTGCCAGTGTGCGCAATAAAACATAAACATGCCGGCGAAACAGCAGAAGAACATCCAGTCAGGGTGAGTGCCCAGCTGAACCGCTATACTGGTGCCCAAAACCACGAACACTGAGAAACACACGTTAAACAAGGAGCTGAAAGATGTATACAGCAGCTAACAAATGAACAGTTGTGTAGTTTCTTATCAAAAATACTATTTCATCTGTGGATAATTTGGTGAAATTGCATGCGAAAAAATGTCCTTTGTCTACTCTGAACCAATGTACACACTGAAATATTCTACTTTGCCTAAAAATAGATTTAATAGTTACTAATTTAATAGTTATTTTGCATGTAAAAATTTAACAAAACTGTGTATTAATACGTTTAACATTCAAAAACAAAATATTTAGCATTAACGTACAATTCAATATTATTACTATTACCGACAGTAGTAGTCAATAATATTATTGACTATTGCGGATACACACATTGCGATATCAATGCTCAAGCGATATATCGTTTCCTATGATTCGTATAGAAAATGTGTGCTGTTCACCTGTCGAGAGTGAATCACAGCCGTGGTCAAACAGCTCCCCCAGTGGTGAACTGCTGTTAGTGCGTCTGGCCTGTTTCCCATCAATGGCGTCCAGCGACTGATAGACAAACAAACCCACCGCGCACAGGAGATACGCCCACAGCGGAGCCTAAAACACTCAATTACATTAATTTATCATAAGTTCAGTGCGGCTGTATTAATTATAGTAAACTGATAAATACTGTAGTATACTTTAGTTTTTACTACAGTAAACGATGGTGTATTGTAGTATAATATACCTAATAGCTGTAGAAAACGACAGCATTGGCTCATTTGTTTACATTACTATTGTTGTTGTGTTACCACAGCAACTGTAGAATGACCACAACAGATTAATTACTATAGTTGTTACCATAGCAACTGTAGAATCACCACAACAGATCAATTACTATAGAAGTTGTTACCATAGCAACTGTAGAATCACCACAACAGATCAATTACTATAGTAGTTGTGTTACTATAGCAACTGTAGAATCACCACAACAGATCAATTACTATAGTAGTTGTGTTACTATAGCAACTGTAGAATCACCACAACAGATCAATTACTATAGTTGTTGTGTTACCATAGCAACTGTAGAATCCCAAACCAGATCAATGCAAGTAATTAAGTGTAGTACAGTTAAAAAACACTATACACTACTACAGTATTTTTCAAGTAAAATCCAATTCCAGCACTATTGTCCAAAAATTAATTAATTGTTTAGATCTTGCGTTTACGGCAGTTTGATCGCTAGTGTACCTGTTCGGTGGCGGTCGGGCAGTAATACACCAGTACCAGTGTGGTGAAGATGTTGGTCACCAGGCCTACAATGGTGATGAGGTTTGGCGCGATCCAGGGTGGCATCCGGTTTACAAGCCACTCCCAGTATTGCTGCATGATGGGTTCGAGGAGCGAGCGCCCCGAGCTGCTGTAGCGATGCTCCTCCAGACGCTTCAGCTGATGCCGCGACAGAACCGGCGCCGGCAGCTCGAACAATCGCCGCAGGACACCAGGAGCGAACCAGCATGAAGAGTCCACGCCCCGCCCCCTCTCCCTGGCACCGCCCCTCCGCCCATGAGCCACCGCCAGCCCACTCATCACTCTCAGCCAATCACAGCCCGAGTCTGAGCCTGACTCCGCCCACTTCGTGACCACAGAGCCACAGCAGGATGGCTAGACTCCTGCAAACAGCAATAGTTTGAGTTAATGTTAAGATTGTTTTCAACTAAAAATAAAACTTAAGCATTATATTTAATTAACACAACAGTAGCTATGTTTCCATCCAAAAAAGCACATTAAATTAGTGAACAAAACCGGAATATGGCATAAAAGACGTGCAAATAAAGCAGTGTTTTCATCAAATGAGTCAAAGAGGACAATATCGACACTTCCTGATTATCTGGCGCCAAATATCTAAAGTCTTTAACTTATTTAATAAATGACTTGCACCTCAGAAGACGATGCCGACACGCAATGAACGCGTGGTGGTGTTTGATGGCGTGAGACGTGGAGCACAGATGCTCTTGACTATTCTGGAGGTCATTAATAATATAATAACACTAAAGGCCTGTGCACACCGGGACGCTTTATGCTCGGATTTTCCGTCAACGTTTAACGCTTCGTGACTAAATAAAGAGCGCCAACAGTGTTGCCAGATTGGAAATGTCAAAGTATCGTACCAGAACCTCAAAATTGTCGTATTTGGAGGAAAATGATCGTACACAAGTCAAACTGAGAGTATACAGCTATTATCTAGACACATAGCGTTTTGACACAACGTGCAAATTACCACAATACATTAAAAAAAACTAGGTACCTTAGTGGGAAGGTTCAAACTCCACCTCTGAGTTGCTGTCATTGAATGTTGCATGTTGCCAGATGTTGAGGGATTTATTTTTCCGTACAAATTGGATGCCGTAATGGACTGCAAAATAGTGCTGGTTGGCTTGAAAGCAGTACACACTTTAAGGTGTGCATGCTTTGTTTTGATGAGACTAACTTTGGAAAAAAACATTTACAAGACGAATCTGAATGGGGAAAAATGAGAACATCATTGGAAAACTCCCGTCCTTCTCACCTTCCTTTACAGCACGAATTTTTTTAACATTATTGCTTAAAACATCGACCTCAAACTGAAAACTACTGACCTAACCACGGGCACGCGCAGCAGGAGCGTTAACTCATGAGAGAGAGCCATTCTCCACGTTGATTGGCTGAGAAGAGGCAACATAAGATAAGACAGAAAACGTGTCTAACTCCGCCTACTCCTCACAGAGAGCACAGAAAAGATGCAGCTAGATCAATAAGTAAAGAAGCCCGAAGATTACAATGAAGTTACTTTTAAATGCCATAAAATTCTGAAATTATCGTACATTATAGGATTTTTCTCATTATTGATCGTACAGAGGTCGAAATTATCGTACAAATACGATAATTATCGTACGTCTGGCAACACTGAGCGCCAATGTGATCATGCACACCAACGCGTAAAACGGCAGGCGGAAAAGTGTCATTTTTAAAGAAACGTCTCATGCTTGGTTTTTTGTTTAGATGCGCCGCATCAAAACCTTCTCCACCAATCAGATTGGCACTTTTGTTCACGTGCACGGAGCTGCTGAAGTTACGATAAACAGCACTTGGTGGAGCTCAAGCGCAACACTGTCAATGCGAGCGCACATTGAGGAAGATACCCAGAGGCGATATGAACATGGAGCTGCTGATTGCACTGGTGAACAGTAATCATTTCTTCATCGCTAGAGCTGGAGCTGCTGCTTGAACCATCCATGTGTGTTTGAACCACCAGTAACTTCAACTTTCTGTCTTCTTCTTCTGTGTTACATGCGAGTATCAAATGCTTAAAGTTGTGTAGCGCCATCTATCACCAAGGAGTGATTTTGCATACTCTTCTGCTCAACACCAGTGAAAATCGCTTGGGTTTGAATCCGGAAAAACGTCTCAAAACACACAAACAAAAAGCGTCCCGGTGTGTACGAGCCTTAATACTGAAACGGTTCAGGTGTTTTAGGGTGCTTTTACACCTACACTTTTGTTTGGGAACGTGTCTCGTTTGCCCAGTTAGCGCGGTTTGTTTGGCATATGTGAACAGGGCAATCGCGCTCTGTTTGGTGCCAAAGTAATCGCTCCGAGATCGCCTGAATGAGGTGGTCTCGGCTCGATTGAAACGAACCCTGGAGCGGATCGATTGCAGTGAGAAAGTGATCTGATCCGAGCGCGGTTATATCACAGTGTTTATGGATATGTAATAGGCTTACGGCTATATGAAGAGAGAATTATGAGTAGGGCGGGAAGTTTCGCGAGTCTCCGGATGCCTGCAAACGAGTGATGATCTCCCGGTAATCTCGCGTCTCCCTCCCGGTCCTCAAATAGGCATCGTCGCGCACCCTTCTCACCCCTCCCCACCTCATCTCTCCTCAGACACGTCACATGCGCGCACCCTGTCAAACACCACCAAACCACCACCTCTCCTGACAGCTGAGCGGGACGCTGCAAAATAAACCCTGACACTCTGACCAATGTGAGGAGAGTTTACTCACACGTGACTTGTTTTAGCTCTTTTGGTCCGATTAGAAACTTTGCAGTGTGAAAGTGAACCGCTCCAAGAGCAAAGAGCAACAATGTAACAATTGTAATCTCTGTTTCAGAACAACTGAATCGGTTCACAGGTGTGAAAGCAGCCTTAGAATGACCAAAACAACATGTCGGATATTCTACAGTGTGCTCAGCCTGCTGGTTTGTCCATTCACTCTCATTATTATCATCATACGACAGGCCCGAATTGGCTAATCGGGAGGACCGGGAGAATTCCCGGTGGGCCGGTCCGCTTTTTTTGCCGCGAGATAGAAGGTTCTAGCAGCGTTCGCCAAACCAAGCGGGAATGTTTTGTTTTTAAATATATATAAACTTTATTTGCTGACCAACAGGCCATTTTTGGGACCCAAACAACAACAAAGGTAAAGAACGCAAATCACTTCACCTGTTCACCAATCGCGAGTGAGAAGACGCCTACAGGCCACGCCCCCAAACAAAAGCTCCTCGAGCATACGTCACGCCGTCCCGTCCTGCTGCACTTCCGGGTCCTCACAGCTACAACAAAGCAAACAAAACATGTAAATAAATATATCCAAACCAAAACATTCACAACCCTTCATTACATATGTGGAGGTCACAAACAGACACACACACACACAAACACACACACACACAAACAACACAGATTAGAATCTACTAAAACTACACAGATTTCAGATCAGTATATAATCAGTGTGTGCTGATTGACAGTAACATCACGCTACTCTAGATGTGTACAGTAGCCTCCGTCATGTGAGATTGTCCAGATGCTGTATTGATCTGCTCCTCTTCTGAAGAGCTGTCATGCTACTGACACCTGAATGCTAATGATGAACACTGCTCTGCGCGCGGTCATTAGCATTATTATCATGTAACAGTGAGTGTTATTGATCGCGGATGTTCTGCCGCGGTCTCCGGGCCGGTTTTGGAGGTTCGAAGGTTCGAATCCCGGTCCGGTTTTGCTCTCCGTTCGATCTGCAGCCTTCCAGCCGCGCAACTCACCGACAATCCGCGTACAAGCTGCAGATTCAGAGATAGCACGCGATCTGCTCGCTCGGCCGGTGGAGTCCTGCTGTCTCCGGTATGCTATCGGTTCCGCCGGTCCCGGTCCGGTTAGCGCGAACTGCTAGCGCGACGCCGCCGGTCACTTCCGGCGACTGTGATTCAAGCGCGTCGTGGTTGCGTAGAGCTGCGCATTCCGCTGCAGAGATGATTCAAGCGCATCATAGAGGCGCTGCGCAGGACAAAAGAAATAATTAAACTGCGGTTGCTGCCAGAAGGGATACAGCTGCGGCAGAAATATTCATATTTATTGAATTACCATTACATTGTATTTTATTACCTCCTAACCAAATACTCACCGTAATGTAAAAACAGTAATTATACAGAGGATTATTTATATTAAATGCTAAATTACCTAATAAATTGTATTTAATAAGCATTTACCGCTACCCCAACCCTCACTGTAATGTAAAAGCAGTAATTACACTGAGCATTATTCATACTATTTACTAAATTACCCGTCAAATTGTATTTTATTAGCATCTACCCCTACACCAACCCTCACAGTATTGTGAAAACACTAATTATACAAAGTATTATTATTCATAATATTAATTAAATTACCCATTAAATTATATTTTATTAACGTCTACCCCTACCTTAACACTAAACCGAACCCTCACAGTAATGTAAAAAAAAATATATATATATTGTTGTGCAGCGTAACAGAAACGATGCTATATTGATGTGAGTATTCGCAGCTGTATCCCTTCTAGACTTTACCTTGAACTGCTTTTGGATTTTATTTGTGCTTTTAATTTTTAAACGGTTAAACAACACGTGACGAGCTTTGAGCAACACAAACACACTGTGATATTATTATAATTTATGTAAAATAAATCTACAATAATGAATGCCTTCAAGTTTAGATTTGTGGATTTGTTTTGAATTGTGTTCCTTATATATATATATATATATATATATATATATATATATATATATATATATATATATATATATATATATATATATATATATATATATATATATATCGTCACCTTGGAATTATAAGGTTCTCTCTGTGTTCTGAATGATTTTGAGATATTGAGCTTCAAAGTTTTTGCATTCCATAGCAAACAGTGTGTGTGCAACATGTTTTAAAAATAAAATTTTAAGTCTTAAAATGTAAACAACTTATAAAAAAACATCCCATAATGTAAATAAGTTGTCATTTAATTAGAATATGTCAATAATTCAATTTTGACAACAATGTCCGATAGAACCTTATAACTCTAAGGTGACAATATATATATATATAAAGAGGGGTGTGAGGGGTGTACACCCCATACAAATCTCTCTTTTAAATTCTTATGTTTAATAGGAAGCTCTACAATATTATGTTTGCATATACATTAGATTAGTCTGTACTGAAGCCAAATCTGGAGCTCATCTAACTAAATAACTTGACAACGCTCCAAAAATGAGTACAGCCAAATTTATATGTTATAGAAAAATATTAAACACACATTTAAAAAAAGAGGAAAATCAAGAGAAGAAAACAAGGAAAAACTTAGTTGAAATTTTGTAGGTTGTAATTCATTTTAGCAATATTTTGCGTGAATTTAATTGTATCATCTTTCAATTTCTGAATATGTTTGGTGACTAAAATATTGTTTTAATAAATATATCTGTTTAATAAATCTGTTTTGTTTAAATGCACCAAAATACACTGCCTACATTCACTGAGAAATGGAGAAACATATTCATTTTCTAAATCCTCAATTATGCTGAGCACTGTACCTATATATTTTATAAGATTTACAATTTAAAAAGTTCACATTAGTGTAAAAATCTAATAAATAACAATTACCTTCTAATTTTCTTTTTTTTTTGTTTTGTAATTAGATAGGCTTTTATTTTGTTAAATATGAGAATAAATGTCCACAAATAAATCAAACTAAAGCTCTATTGTAAAGTTTGCTCTGTAGATGAGGCGGTGTTACATCTCTCTCTCCCTCTTTCTCTTTAGGGGTGGAGCGATCATCTCATTTCTCCTCAGTTTTTTCTCTGCTGAAATCGTCATCGCATCAGTCTGGAAAGTTGCTCATAAAGCGTCTGTGTGGCTGGATATAGACGGTAAACACACCGTCCCGGTTTATTCGGCGCTCTTCATAAATCTGAGGGGGAAAAACACTGCTTATTCCTAAAGTTTTGTTCTCTTTTGAGGAGTCGCTTCATGTCTGTTTGCCAGGGGAAAACGTGTCGAGGGAAATATCGCCCTTCAAGAGTCAAAGAGAAACTTTAAGGAGCCTTTAAAGCAGGTTTGTGTCGCTTTTAAGTGCTTTATTTGGTGGTGAACGTTGAGATTGGCGTGTTTTGTGGAACGCTCGCCGCCGCTACGTCATCAGTGTGGCCACGCCCCCTTAGCGCTCTAATTATATGCTCAGCGCTAAAGTATATAGGACACACTCGCTCTCATATCTGCAGCATATAGCGTGAGTGAGACACTGCTAAACACACAGTTCGTTTTAAAACTTGTGTTTAACTCATATTTTAGAATGAACGTTTCATGATATTATTAAGAATCGTCATTTGTTATGGTTATAGTTGTACAGCAAATTAAACCTAATAAAAATGAATTGATCGTAAAATCATGTTTTTTTTCTGTTCAACATTTACATCATAATAACATATGCTTACATTACTCACATGAGAAAACACTGTAGTCATTTATAGTTAATACTGTAGTGTTTTTGAACCATACTATAGTAAAGTGTATTATACTGTATATATTATAGTGTTTAGTGTCTTTGCTAATGAATGCTCCAGCATACTGTAGTTTTAACTATAGTGAACTGATAAATGCTGATTTAGCTTAACTTATAGTTTAGATGACTTTTTAAAAAAAAGGTTTATTAAGGAATCATAATTTGTAACTGTTATTCTGAAGCAACTCTCACCGGCCACTTTATTAGGTACACCTTACTAATGCCAGGTTGGACCCCTTTTGCCTTCAGAACTGCCTTAATCCTATGTGTCATAGATTCAACAAGCTACTGGAAATATTCCTCAGAGAATTTGCTCCAAATTGACATGATAGTTGCTGCAGATTTGTCGGCTGCACATCCATGATGCCAATCTCTTGTTCCAGCACATCCCAAAGCTGCTCTATTGGATTGAGCTCTGGTGACTGTGGAGGCCATTTGAGTACAGTGAACTCATCGTCATATTCAGGAAACCAGTCTGAGATGATTGAGCTTTATGACATGCTGCGTTATCCTGCTGGAAGTAGCCATCAGAAGATGGAGACACTGTGCTCATAAAGGGATGGACATGATCAGCAGCAATACTCAGGTAGGCTGTGGCGTTGATGCTCAATTGGTACTAATGGAGCCAAAGAAAATCTCCCCCACACCATTACACCACCACCACCAGCCTGAACCGCTGATACAAGGCAGGATGATCCATGCTTTCATGTTGTTGAGGCCAAATTGTGAGCCGAGCATCCGAATGTGTGAGCAGAAATGGAGACTCATCAGAGCAGCAACGTTTCTCCAATCTTCTATTGTCCAGTTTTGGTGAGTCTGTGTGAATTGTAGCCTCAGTTTCCTGTTCTTAGCTGACAGGAGCGGCACCCGGTGTGCTCTTCTGCTGCTGTAGCCCATCCGCCTCAAGGTTGGCCGTGTTGTGTGTTCAGAGATGCTCTTCTGCAGAGCTCGGTTGTAATGAGTGCTTATTTGAGTTACTGTTGCCTTTCTATCAGCTGGAACCAGTCTGGCCATTCTCCTCTGGCCTCATCAACAAGGCATTTGCGCCCACAGAACTGCCGCTCACTGGATATTTCCTCTTTGTCTGAGCATTCTCTGTAAAGCCTAGAGATGGTGGTGCGTGAAAATCCCAGAAGATCAGCAGTTTCTGAAATACTCAGAGCAGCCCGTCTGGCAGTAACAACCATGCCACTTTCAAATCCCCTTTCTTCCCTATACTGATGCTCACTTTGAACTGCAGCAGATCCTCTTGATCATGTCTACATGCCTAAATGCAGTGAGTTGCAGCCATGTGATTGGCTGATTAGAAATTTGAGCTAACTAGCAGTTGGACAGGTGTACCTAATAAAGTGGCCGGTGAGTGTATATTGTAAATTCATAGCTATATCGATTTTTTAAAAATATTATTTCATCGTTAGCATGTCAGCTAAATAACATACATTGACATTATTCTATAAAAATACTATGGTAAATTAATTATGGTAAATACTATGGTAAATTAATTTATAGTAAATACTAAATTGTTTTTGAATGCTATCACGCATTATACTGTATAGTATTTACAGCTCTTTAATGAATGCTTCAGCATACTGTAGTATTAACTATAGTGAACTGATGAATACTGCAGTGTACTTTCGTTTTTAACTACAGTAAACTGTGGTGTATTGTGGTGTAATAGTTGTAGAAAACTTCAGTACTGGCTCGTTTGTTGATATTAGTAGTTGTTGTTACCTTAGCAACTGTCGAATCACCACAAGAGATCAATGCAAGTACATCACTATAGTATGGTTCAGAAGCACCACACGTAACTATGTGAAATGCTATTCCAGCACTATTGTTCCTGAGTTTCCTCTCTTAACCGTCTCTATATTTGCACTTCAGACTGCAGATTGTGTCTGAATGACTTCTGCCAAGTGTTTTTATGGTCACATTTGTTCTTTTTCCACAATCTGTCTCACTGACGCAGAAGTGTAAAGCTAGTTTTCTGCTTTCTGCTGGAGCCTAGCGTGACTCCAGCTCATGCAAATCACGGTGTGTTTGTAAACTCCTGCAGATCTGCATATATAAACCGGTTCTAGACCAGCAGGCCGGGTGTTTGGGTCTCCATGGCGACACGAGGCCACGCCTCCAGCTCATTAATGAGCAACCACACCAAGGAGAGAGTGACCATGGCTAAAGTCACCCTGGAGAACTTCTACAGCAACCTGATCACGCAGCATGAGGAGAGAGAGATGAGGTATTCATAACGTAGACTCAGTTAACGTCGCTCTGTTAATCATCGGAAACATGTTTTGTTTTGCTCCGTCAGTCGAGCGTGACGTTCAGTCGTTCCTCTTTCTCCCCAAGTTACTGATTTACTCACAAATCTGTGCTGAAGTCGACACTTTTATTTACATAATATGACATAATTCATATTATATACTGTGTTTGTTTAAAACTGTGGACGTAGGTACATTTTTCAGAAATTGTAATAGTACTGTAATCGATAATGTCCTCTTAACAGGCAGCAAAAACTGGAGAAGGTGATGGATGAGGAAGGACTGCCTGATGAAGAGGTATCGAATACACTGAACCATATTCATAATGGAACTAGTGGTCACAACAGCAGATAAAAACTAATGATAGCTATATTTGCATCCACGCTAGCAAACGTCAACTTTAACAACTGTATTAGCGACCACCAGGGGCAGACTGGGACAAAGATTCAGCCCTGGCACTGTTGCCACATCAGCCCACATTACCACACCGACACAGCCCCACCCACGGGCACGCACATTCACTATTTATTTCGGTGTAAAGATGGTGAAATAATATGACATTTTTGCCAGATTTTGATTATGTCCGGGTAACCTTGGATTGGGTCGGCCCATCTTGAAACCAGGCAGCAGTTGCCGATTGGGCCAAATGCTTAACATTTATTATTATTATTATTTTTATTATCATCATCATAATATCACATCTAGCAAGAGATAAAAGCTGTCTGCACTTAACAATACATATTTAAAAAAAAAAAAACTGACCGGCCCACATTTAAAAATTGGTCCAGCCCTTCTGGCATTTGCCAGAATGGCCAGATGGCCCCTGGCGACCACACTAGCCAACGACAACTTTAACAAATATATTAACATCGACATTAGCCAACGTCAACTTTAACAACTATATTAACATCGACTATAGCCAACGTCAACTTTAACAACTATATTAGTGACCACACTAGCGAACGACAACTTTAAAAACTATATTTACATCCACGCTAGCAAACAACAACTTTAACAACTACATTAACCCCCACACTTGCAAACAACAACTTTAACAACTATATTAACATTGACACTAGTGAGCGACAACCTTAACAACTATATTAGCATCCAAGTTAGCAAACGACAATTTTAACAACTATATTAGCAACCACATTATAGAACAACAACTTTAACAACCATATTAACATCGACACTAGCGAGCGTCAACTTTAAGAAATATATTAGCGACCACACTAGCGAACGACAACTTTAACAATTATATTAACATCGACACTAGCAAACGACAACTTTTAACAACTTTTAAAACTATATTAGCCACCACGCTAGCAAACAACAACTTTAACAACTATATTAACATCGACACTAGTGAGGGACAACCTTAACAACTATATTAGCGTCCAAGCTAGCAAACCACAATTTTAACAACTATATTAGCCACAACGCTAGCGAACAACAACTTTAACAACTATATTAACATTGACACTAGTGAGCGACAACTTTAACAACTAAATTAGCGACCACACTAGCGAACGGCAACTTTAACAACTATATTAACCTCCACACTAGCAAACGACAACTTTTAAAACTATATTAGCCACCACGCTAGCAAACAACAACTTTAACAACTATATTAACATCGACACTAGTGAGCAACAACCTTAACAACTATATTAGCATCCAAGCTAGCAAACCACAATTTTAACAACTATATTAGCCACCACGCTAGCGAACAACAACTTTAACAACTATATTAACATCGACACTAGTGAGCGACAACTTTAACAACTAAATTAGCGACCACACTAGCGAATGACAACTATATTAGGGACCACACTAGTGAATGACAACTTTTACAGCTATATTAGCCACCATGCTAGCAAACAACAACTTTAACAACTATATTAACATCGACACTAGTGAGCGACAACCTTAACAACTATATTAGCATCCAAGCTAGCAAATGACAATTTTAACAACTATATTAGCAACCACATTAGCGAACAACAACTTTAACAACCATATGAACATCGACACTAGCAAGCTTTAAGAACTTTAAGACAACTTTAAGAACTATATTAGCGACCACACTAGCGAATGACAACTTTAACAACTATATTAACATTGAACCTTGTGAATGACAACTTTAACAACTATATTAACATTGACACTAATGAACGACAACTTTAACGACTATATTAACCTCCACACTAGTGAACGACAACTTAAACAACTATATTAACATCGACACTAGTGAACGCCAACTTTAACAACTATAATAATGCCCACTCTAACAACTTTATCAACTATATTAATGTCCACACTAGCGAATGACAACTTTTAACATCTTTATTAATGCTCACACTAGCCAACGAAAAGTTTAACAACTATATTAACGATCACACTAGCAAACTACTATATTAACTTCCACAATAGCGATCAACAATTTTAACAGTTTAATTAATTCCCACACTAGCAAACAATATTTATAATGGTAACTGTTAGCACCAATGCTAGCAAACAATAACTAACTATACAAACCCCTACAATAGTGAAAGATGACTAAAACAACTATATTTGAGCGGATGATTTATTTTTTCTTTCTGTGTTGTTATATTTATAGTTGTGGCGTCAATTCGCTATTCTCTTTGATGAAATCATATTGCTTGTATTGGGAAAGGGCCTTTTTCACGTGTTTATAACTACATAACTTTTCTCGTATATGGCGTATTCCAGAAACGAGTGCGACGCTCTCAGCACGCTCGTAAAGAGACTGAGTTCCTCCGTCTAAAGAGAACCCGATTGGGTTTGGACGACTTTGAGTCCCTGAAGGTGATTGGACGAGGAGCGTTCGGGGAGGTGATTATGCTAATGAGCACTGACGACATACTAATGCTTAATGTTTTATATAGTAAACGAGTGTGTTTCTGGTGTCCGCAGGTGCGTTTGGTTCAGAAGAAAGACACGGGTCATGTTTACGCCATGAAGATTCTTCGCAAAGCAGATATGCTGCAGAAAGAGCAGGTGACGATGAGCAGAGCACGGCAACATTTGCATTTTGTTACATATTTACTATATTTCTTTATTTATTAGGCATTAATATTTATTGCTTTTAATATTTTTTTAAATATATATTTTTAATGTCTTTTCCATTTTTATTCATTTCGTGTTTTTAATTTGATGTCATTTAGATTCTATATTATTTTTGATTTCTTTGTCTGTGTTGTGTCTCAGGTGGCTCATATCCGTGCGGAGCGGGACATCTTGGTTCAGGCTGACAGTCTCTGGGTGGTGAAAATGTTCTACAGTTTTCAGGATAAACTGAATCTCTACTTGCTCATGGAGTTTCTGCCCGGAGGTGAGAGCATGTGTGATGTCTAATAATAGATGTCTCATGATCTATTATTTCTCATGAGAGTTTTATTCAGAACCATGCGTTTAAAGAAATGATTCAAACGAGCAGTTCGGTTGATTCTTCTGAATGAATCAATGAACCAGTTCAAACGAGCAGTTTGGTTGATTTTCACAACCAGTTCAAAGAAGCAGTCTTTATTGATTCTTCTGAACGAGTCAGCAAACCAGTTCAAATAAGCACTCTGAGTTGATTCTTCTGAATGACTCTGTGAACTAGTTCAAATGAGCAGTCTGAGTTGATTCTTCTGAACGAGTCAGCAAACCAGTTCAAATAAGCAGTCTGAGTTGATTCTTCTGAATGACTCCGTGAACTAGTTCTAATGAGCAGTCTGAGTTGATTCTTCTGAATGACTCAGTAAATCAGTTCAAATGAGCAGTTTGATTTGATTCTTCTGAATGACTCAGTGAACTATTTCAAATAAGCAGTCTGATTTGATTCTTCTGAATGACTTATTGAACTCTTTTGAAGGAGTCAGTGAAGTAGTTTAAATGAGCATTCTGAGTTGATTCTAGTAAACAAATCATTGAACCAGTTAAAACGAGCAGTCTGAGTTGATTCTTTTGAATGAATCAAAGATCCAGTTAATACAAGCAGTCTGAAAAAATCTGTGAACCAGCTCAATTAAGCAGTCTGAATTGATTCTTCTGAACAAATCATTGAACCAGTTTAAACCAGTTCATTCTGCTGAACAAATCAGTAAACTAGTTCAAACGAGCAGTCTGAGATGATTTTTCTGAATGAATCAGTGAACCAGCTCAAATGAGCAGTCTGAGTTGATTCTTCTGAACTAATCAGTGAAGCAGTTAAAACAAGCAATCTGTATTGATTCTTTTGAATGAATCAACTAACCTGTTTATACAAGCAGTCTGAATTGATTCTTCGGAAAAGAATCTGTGAACCAGTTTAAATTAAGCAGTCTGATTTGATGCTCCTGAACAAATTAGTGAACCAGTTCAAATCAGTTCATTCCCCTAAACAAATCAGGAAACTAGTTCAAATGAGCAGTCTGAGTTGATTCTTCTGAACGACTCAGTGAAAGAGTTCAATCAGTCTAAGATGATTCTTCTGATTGAATCAGTGAATCAGCTCAAATGAGCAGTCTGAGTTGATTCTTCTGAACAAATCAGCGAACCGGTTCAAACGAGCAGTCTGAGTTGATTCTTTTGAACATATAATGATTTAGATGACTCCTTGAGCGTCTGATGTTGAATAATATGAACTATCGGAGTGTGTGTGTGTGTGTGCGTGTGTGCATGTGTGTGTGTGTGTGTGTGTGTGTGTGTGTGTGTGTGTGTGTCTGTTTCTTCAGGAGATATGATGACACTGCTAATGAAGAAAGACACACTGACAGAGGAAGAGACTCAGTTCTACGTGGCGGAGACGGTTCTGGCCATCGACTTCATCCATCAACTGGGCTTCATTCACCGAGACATCAAACCAGACAACCTCCTGCTGGACTCCAAGGTCAGAACAGGAAGTGATGCGTAACCCTGCTTCCTGTGCACCTTTTGCTTTTCAGACTTTTTAGTCTCAGCAAGGCCTCTGATTGGTTCATTTATCACGCATGTGTGTGTGTGTGTGTGTGTGTGTGTGTGTGTGTGTGTGTGTGTGTGTGTGTATGTGTGTTTCAGGGTCACGTCAAGCTGTCTGATTTTGGCTTGTGTACAGGCCTCAAAAAAGCGCATCGGACGGAGTTTTATCGCAACCTGAACCACAGCCAATCAAACGACCTCAGTGAGTCACATGTGCTCTGCTGCCATAGCAACACGATTAATTTCACAAACATGACGCTGAATGGCAAATATAATATTATTTCATCAGCTAATGATAAATATAGCGAAAACTTTAGTAGCGTCAAAATCAGCAATTGCTATAATAAATCAATTAGTCATCACACGATATTTATAACGATAACTACATTAGTGCCTACACCAGTGGACAATAACTATATTAGCGTCACAATCAGCAATTTCTAGAATAAATAAATTAGTCATCACGCGATATTTATAGCGATAACTACATTAGCCACTACACCAGTGGACGATTACCATTTTAGCATCACAATCAGCAATTGCTACAATAAATATATTAGCCGTCACACGATATTTATAACGATAACTACATTAATGCCTACACCAGTGGACGATTACTATATTAGCATTCACACAACCAAACACTAATTGTAACGATAACAATATTAGCATCAAAATAACTATTATTGTCGACACCAGACAACAGTAATAACCATATTAGCTTCAATATATAACATTAACTATTGGTTCATAGCTGTAATAATTACTATATTAGCAATAAGATTAGCAGACAATTACTGTAATAACTTTATTAGCTTTCAGACCAGTTTACGATAATTGTTATGTTAACTTGCATTACGTAAACATTAAAATCCTTAACAGCAGGTGATAACTATTATTATAGCTATAATAGTATCGTTAACAGTGATGTTTCACACACAGCTGTTTCTATGGCAACGCCCTGATGTCATATTAACGCATTTCAATCAAATTCGAAATACGTTTATTTTTCATGTCCACATTTTTAAATTATGTATTTAATGAACCATTCTCGTAGCGTTTCAGCATATGAACTCGAAGAGGAAGGCCGAGACATGGAAGAGGAATCGCAGACAGCTGGTCAGTGATTTTTCATTTTTATTTAAAATTCTTGCAAACAGGAAGTGATGCGTTACGTTGTTCTGCCTCTTCCAGGCCTTCTCCACAGTGGGAACGCCAGACTACATTGCTCCAGAGGTGTTCATGCAGACCGGATACAACAAGCTCTGTGATTGGTGGAGCCTCGGCGTCATCATGTACGAGATGCTGATTGGTAAGAAACGCTAATTATGCAAATGAGTTGCTTAAATTTGCTGTTAGGATTTGGATATGTATTTATTAACTAAATTATAAAAAATTAATTCTAATAAAAAATGGAAAAAATATGTAAAAAATGATCAAATTTTAGGTGTAATAATTTTCGTAACTTGCACAGTAGCACAATAAAAGTACTAGTAGTTTTTTTTTTTTTCAAAAACGTAAACTAAATTAAATAAAAATAAAAAACATAATGGAAACATGACATTTTAATTATTAAACAATTAAATGAAGGCTTTTGAAAATAATTACTTAAATAATTACACTTCATTTAATCTGCTGCTTCACAATACATTTCATAATAAACAATATATGAATTATAATAATTCAAATAAATGCTTATTTATTAATAATTAATATATAATGCTTAACAATAACAGATTTTACTAGCGTTCAAACAGCCGTTAAAGATAGCTATATTTGTGACGAAAAAAAATTTATGCAGATTGGAGTAGTTGCGCTTTGTACGGAATTAATCATTAAAAATTAAATGTAACAAAAATGTGGAAAAAAATTATATATTTTAGCTTTAATATTTTTAGTAACGTTTTTTTGAATTATTACGAAAAGATAAATAAAAATAAGGGACGTCATGTAAACTTGACATTTTAATTATTAAATAGTTAAATTAAGGCTTTATATATACATCCAAGATAGTAGATCAATAATATGAATTATAAAAATTAATAAAAAATTATTTAATTATAATAAATATATAATACCCTTTTGCCAGCAGACTATGACTACAGTTATTATTTTATAAGCGTTCAAACAGCTGTGGTGGATGAATGCTATATTTGTGACAATAGAAAATAAAACGTAAAGATTACCACAAACAATAACTATAATAATTATTATATTAGCATTAACATTAACAGACGATTACTGTAATAGCTATATTAGCTGTTGGAGGATTTCTGTAAGATTAACTATATTAGCGTTCACAGCAGTCGATGATAACTATTATTTTAGCTATATTAGTATAATAATAACTATGTTAGCACTAATAGTAACAATAACATTATAAGCTTCAGGACTGTAAAAACGTAAACTATAAAAATAAATACAATATATGGTCGACGATTACTATATTTGCGACAATAAAATAAAATTAAATGGATTGCGCTTTATACTGATTATACTGTTTTTCAGGTTATCCTCCGTTCTGCTCAGAAACTCCTCAAGAAACCTATAAAAAAGTAATGGGTTGGAAGGAGACGCTGGTTTTTCCTCCGGAGGTGCCGATTTCTGAGCGCGCTAAAGAGCTGATCCTGCGCTTCTGCTGTGAGGCAGATCATCGCATCGGTGCCGGCGGCGTGGACGACATCAAGAGAAATGCATTTTTCGAAGGAGTCGATTACGACCACATCAGGTGAGCCATTATCAGCAACGCTTAATGGCTTTTAACTAAAATAAAGAAGCTAATGTGTGACACACGGATGGACTAACAAATTCAAAGATTCAATTAAAAATTTTAGTTGTCAGTACGATATGCTGATATACACAATATAAATACACAAGGAAAATTCTGAGGGAGACGTTGACTACTTCTGTGCAACAAGCTGTTGTCGTGAAGTATAGTTATTGTCAAGTTATCGCTCGTTTTACAAATCAGCAATAACTATTTTAGCAGTCGCAACAACAGTAACAATAACCATATTAGCGCACGCATGATAACGATATCTATTACCATAAACAATGACGTTATTAGTGACAACATCAGCAGACAATTACAGTAATAACTATATTAGCCAGTGGATAACTGTAATGTTAACTATATTAGCATACACATCAGCCAATGACAACTTTTTTTAATGATATTATATTCATAACGCAAACGTTTATTATTATTATTAGCATTTTTTTTACTAATGAGCGATAACTATATTAGCATTCACAACAACAGTAACGATTGGCATATTAGCGTACATAAAAGTGGACAGTAATTATAGCAACAACCACGAACGATAACTTTAATATTTACTATCTTAGCATTAACATCAACAGACAATTGCTGTAATAACTATATTACCCTTTACAACAGTAGACGATAACTGTAACGTTAAGTATATTAATGTCCACGGTAGCCAGTGATTACTATTATGGTACTATTTACGACGATAACAATTATTTTATCAATGCGCCCACTAGTGAAACAATAGCTGTAATGATAATAACTATATTAGCATTTGCTTTTTTTTTACCAATGAGCTATAACTATTAGCATTTACAACAACAAGAGTAATGTTTACCATATTAGCTTACAAATAATAACCATCGCAATTAACGTGATCAATGACTATATTAGCGACAACATCAGCAGACAATTACTGTAATAACTAAATTAGCCAGTGGACGATAACTGTAACTATATAACTATCTGTAACTATACAACGGTAACTATTTTAGCACACACAGCAGCCAATGATAACTATTATGAAACTATTTTGATAACGATAACATTTATCATGTTTAATGCCCACACTAGTCAATAAAGTCAATAATAGCTGTAATGATATCTGTATTAGCATTTTTTTTAATAATGCGATAAGCGCAAACAATAAACATTCAAGGCTTGAATGTATAAAACACATTGCTCACATTGAGCTTCTGATCTAATAAAGGTTAAACTTTCTCGTTCACAGAGAGAGACCTGCAGCCATTACCATCGAGATCAAGAGCATCGACGACACGTCCAACTTCGACGAGTTTCCAGATTCGGACATCCTGCAGCCAACAAGTAAGACGCAGTAAAAACAATTTTAGTGAAGTTAACCTTTACATTTAGCTGTGATTCATTAACTTCGTAACTTGGTTCGAAATGCTATAAACATGTTAAAACATGCTGGCAGCTTGATAAAACATGTTAGCATGTTAACAAAGCATGATAGCTTTATGTTATAACTTGTGGCAGCTTGCTGAAATGCTTTTAAGATTTTAAAGCATGATTTAAGATTGACAAAATGTGGTAGCAACGTTCTTAAATTAGCAACACTAATGCTAACAACATGCTACAACAGGTTAACAACTTGTTTATGCATGTTAATCATTTGCTAAGAAATGTTCACAACACATTAAAACAAGTTAGCTGCTTGTCGAAACACCTTGCTAGAACATGCTAAGTGTATTAAATTGACAAAATGTGTTAGCGATGTGTTAAAATGTGAGTGGACCTTGCTACAAATTGCTATAAACATGTTAGCATCTTACACATGCTAACAATGTATTAAACTCTGCTAGTGACATGTTAAATCATGTCAGAAACTTAGCAGTTTGTTGAAACATGCTAACGACATATTAGACTTTGCTGCTAAACATGCTACTGATACGTTAAAATGTGAGTAGAACTTGCTACTAAATGCTGTCAAAACATGTAAACAGGGAATCAAACCATGTTAGTAAGGTGTTAGATTATGTCATTAGTATGGAAGAAAATGTTAGCATTAGAGAGTTTGCTGCTTGACAAAATATGTTAGCGATGTCAGTAGAACTGTCTACAAAAACTATTAGCATGTTAAAAAATGTTACCAGCTTGTTAAAACATGCTAGTAGTCTAAACCATAGTGAAAATCCAAGCAACTTGCTACAACAGACTAACGGCATACTAAAATGTTTGCTGCTTGACAAATTATGCTAACGTTGTGCTACAATGTAAGTACAACCTATTGAAAATTGCTATAAACATGTTAGCATCTTGTCAAAACATGATAGCAGGGTATCAAACCATTTTATTGATATGATAAATTATATCAATCATTTGGAAAAAAGTCTTAGCAACTTGCTAACATTATAACAGCATTTAAAATGTTTGTGATGTTACATGTTAGAGATGTGCTGAAATGTCAGCAGAACTTGCTACAAAATGCTATTAGCATGTTAAAACATGTTGGCAGCCTGTCAAAACATGGTAGTAGTGTCTTAAACTGTACTAGTGACATGTTAAATTATGTCAGTAACTAGGAAGAAATCTTAACAACTTGTTAAAACTTGCTAACAGAATATTGCAATGCTTGCTGCTTGATAAAACGTCCAAACAAAGTGCTAAAATGTAAGTATAACTTGCAATAAACATGTTAGCAGCTTGTGGAAACATACTAGCAGTATATTAAATCACTCTAGGGACATGTTAAATTATATCAGTAAATTGTAAGAACATCTTACCAACTTGTTACCACATGCTAACTGCATATTAAAATGTTTGCTGCTTAACAAAGCATGCTAGCAATGAAATGCTTTCTACAAAATGCTATTAGCATGTTAAAACATGTTGGCAGCTTGTCAAAACATGCTGACAGTGTATTAAACCATGCTAGTGACATGTTAAATGATGTCACTAGTTTGGAAGAAAATATTAGCAACTTGCTACAACATGCTAACAGCATATTAAAATGTTTGTGCTTGACAAAACATGCTCGCGATGCGAGTAGAACTTTCTGCAACATGCTATATGCATGTTAAAACATGTTAGCAGCTCGTCAAAACATCCTAGCAGTCTATTAAACCCTGCTAGTGACATTAAATGATGCCAGTAACTTGGAAGACAACCTTATCAACCTGCTACAACATGCTAACAGCATATTAAAATGTTTGCTGCTTGACAAAACATGCTAGCTATGTGTTGAAATATAAGTAGAACCTGCTACAAAACATGCTAGTGACATGTTAAACTATGCCAGTAGCTTAAAAAAAATTGTTAGCACCTTGCTACAGCATGCAAACAGCATATTAAAATGTTTGATGCTTGGTAAAACATGCTAGCGGTGTGCTAAAATGTGAGTAGAAATTGCTACAAAATGCTATAAGCATGTTAAAACATGTTAACCGTGTATTAAACCGTGCTAGTGACATGTTAAATTACATTAGAAACTTGGAAGAAAATCTTAACAACTTGATACAACATGCTAACAGCTTATTAAAATGTTTGCTGTTTAATAAAACATGCTAGCTTTGTGTTGAAATATATGTAGAACTTGCTACAAAACATGATAGTGACATGTTAAATTTTGCTAGTAGCTTGTAATGGAATGTTAGCACCTTGCTACAGCATGCAAACACCATATTAAAATGTTTGATGCTTGGTAAAACATGCTAGCGGTGTGCTAAAATGTGAGTAGAACTTGCAACAAAATGCTATAAGCATGTTAAAACATGTCAACTGTGTATTAAACCGTGCTGGTGACATGTTAAATTATGTTAGAAACTTAAAGGAAAACCTTAACAACTTGATACAACATGCTAACAGCATATGAAAATGTTTGGTGCTTGGTAAAACATGCTAGCCATGTGCTAAAATGTGAGTAGAACTTGCTACAAAATGCTATAAGCATGTTAAAACATGTCAACCGTGTATTAAACCATGCTAGTGACATGTTAAATTATGTTAGTAGCTTGGAAGAAAATCTTAACAACCTGCTACAACATGCTAACAGCATATTAAAAAGTTTGCTGCTTGACAAAACATGCTAGCTATGTGATGAAATATAAGTAAAACTTGTTATAAAACATGCTAGTAGCATGTTAAATCATGTCAGTAGCTTGTAAGGAAAACTTAGCACCTTGCTACAGCATGCGAAAATGTTTGCTGGACTGTGAACTGTGTGTTTTGCCGTGGAGGTCCTGTTGTGGTGAGCAACCATCACCCGGAGTCGGACTACAAGAACAAGGACTGGGTTTTCATCAACTACACCTACAAGCGCTTCGAGGGCCTGACGGCGAGAGGAGCCATACCGTCATACATGAAGAGCGGGAAACGCTGAGAATCCACAGCCAATCGCTGCACTTCCTCATCAACACGACCAAAGAAAACACCCAGACGTCTGTCAGAAACACACTCCCGCGCTGCTGGACACTGCACACGCTTCTTTACTAGTCCTTAAATTAAGATAATCTGGGGCAGAATTCACGAAAATATGCTTAAGAGCTTTCTTAAAGGGATGTTTCACCTATAAATATAAGTTCTGTCAACTTCTGTTGAACACAGAGTAAGATTTTCTGAAGATTTATGGAAACACTGGCTTTTTTTGTTCCTGCTATGGAAGTCGACGGCTGCTTTTTTTTCCAGCATTCTTCTGGATCTTCCTCTGTGTTCAACAGAAGAAACTTGAGTTTAGAATTACGTAAGCGTGAGTGAATCTAATTTAAATGTAGTTTTTTTGCGTGAACTGACCCTTGAAGATTTTATCTTGAGATTTTTCTTAACTGCAATTCATGAAAAAATCTGCCGAAGATCTCTTTTTTTCTTCTTAAGATCATTCTTATATTTAAATCAATGAAATTAAAGAATAGCTACGGTAAATTCGTTAGCGCTACATTTAGGGATGATTAACTTCCAAAACATTATCAGCTACAAATGGCATTTTTCTGCTAGAAGAGAGGAAACAGGAGCTGAAAAAGGCTTTGTGATGTGGAAAGCGCTGCGATATGAAACCACGCAATGGTAATTTGTTGCCATGACGACCAAAGTGTGCGTCCTGTGGTCAACGTTTAATCTTTGCGCTGTGTGTGTGTGTGTTTGTGTGTATGCATGAACTGCACATGCTCACCAGTAAAGCACAGCCCACTCCAATAGCGTGCCGACGGGACATTTCTGCGGAATATACTAGTTCCTGCTGCTTGCAATAGTGCTGCTGTGTTGTCATGCTGGTAAACACACACCTCTCGACTTGTCATAAAATGTGCTTATTTTATTAGCTTGTGTTTTTAAAAATCAGTTCATTCATTCATTCATTTTCTTGTCGGCTTAATCCCTTTATTTATCCGGGGTTGTCACAGCGGAATGAACCGCCAACTTATCCAGCAAGCCGCAACCTATCTCTGGGAAACATCCACACACACATTCACACACACACACTCATACACTACGGACAATTTAGCCTACCCAATTCACCTGTACCGCATGTCTTTGGACTGTGGGGGAATCCGGAGCACCCGGAGCAAACCCACGCGAAGGCTGGGAGAACATGCAAACTCCACACAGAAACGCCAACTGAGCCGAGGCTCGAATCAGCGACCCAGCAACCTTCTTGCTGTGAGGCGAAAGCACTACCTACTGCGCCACTGCCTCGTCAAAATCAGTACAAGTGACCTTAATTACTTTTAATTTAATCAATAACAATTATTACAAAGCATTTTTCGGCCAAGTACATACAGGATTTTCCTCTCGGTGTATTCCTAATGTACGTTTATCACTTTATTTGAGATGAAAAACAATCATTTTATTAGAAATCTCAGCTTTTGGGAATCTAAACTAGTTTTCTGTCAACTTTAGGAAGTTTTTAAGAGCTTTTCAAGAATTTGAATTCTTCTGATTCACTGATTCGTTCAGAAGAATCAACTCTTGACTGTTTGAATCAGTTCTGTCTCTGTAAGTTTTGTGTAATGAACAGACTGGGGATAAAAGGTGAAGAATGTTCTTAAGAAGATTTATTTTTTTTGTGAAGTGAGAAGACATTTCTGCATATGAAGGATTCGTGAATCCGTCCTCTGAGTTGAGTGTTTATTCTGGAGATCTGTAGTATTTTTGAGCATGTTTTAGCAGATTAATTGCCCAAAAAACTCCCTCATGCAAACGCTTGACTATAGATAAAGTGCCTTATATAATGTTTATTTCCACATTTGTTCCTCAGCAGAGATTAATCTCTATATCGAGCAGTTTAGCTTTAGTAATAATGACAAATTATGGGCGCAGCCTCATATGCAGCTAGTGTTATCATCATAGACATGCTTTTGTAGCTTAGTTTGAGCTTTGCTGAGGTTTTGATGCTGTATTTGTTTCCGCAGTAGATTTGACTGCTGCTGATTTGACTGCCAAAGGTACGATCAGAGGCTCGCATGTTGATGAAACCCTGCCTCTACACTCTCAGAAATAAAGGTACAGGAGCGGTCTCTGGGGCAGCCTTTTCAAACTTATACCCAAATGGTCCACAATGGTACCTGAACGGTGCATATTAGTGGCCAAATGTACCTAAAAAGTACCTTTGAAGTATCATTGTGGACCCTTTTTTGAAAAGGTGCTGCCGCAGTGACGCTCCTGTACCTTTATATCTGAGAGTGAATGCTGTCTGTATGAATGCTTTCATGTGCAGATGTGAACACCAAAGCTGGAAAATCCTCCATTTCAATGGTACTTTCTTTGAAAAGATGCTTCCTTTTCTAATGTTTCTATGAACTATTTTTGTATTGATATGTAACCGTCTTTATTTTGTATCTGCGAAGCTGTAGTTTGTGATGACACACATTTGACATGTTTGTTTATATATCCAGTATCTTCTTTTCTTGTCCAGAATGCAATAAAAATGTTACATGCCTAAACATTTTGCTTCTTTCAATAAAAAAAAACAACTAATATTTGGGTGAATTATCAAAACTAGGAGTGCTTTAAAGGGTCACGAAACATCAAAAGACATTCTGGACGGAGTTTCAGTCACATGACACTGCATTTTCGTGTGGACAAACAACAAAACCCCATAGAAAGAAGTGCAGTTTTGAAAATGCTCCGTGTTTGTGTGAACAGAGCCTTAACCGAAGCCTTTTACAGTAACAGCAGGGTCTCAAGGACACAGTGGTGAACAGGAAATCATCTCTGAACGAATGAATGGCTGAATATTCATGAAACATATTGAATACAAAAACGCACAACGTGATTTAATGTTATTGTCCAGTGTTCCACCCTAAACAGTTTAATCATCAGTCATTGGTCGAGGCCAGGAGGGGCGGGGCCGTTCAGCCGATCTAACTCATCGACCTGTGGAGTGGGCGTGGCTCCGGCTCGTGTTGGTCCCTCCCCCATGGCGGTGATGAGGTTTGGCACGCTGCGGCTGCGCACACACTGGAAGTCCACGTGTCGGCTCTTGCCCTCCTCCTTCTCCCAGGACAGCTGGATGAACGGACGCTGCAGGTAGCTGTAAATCACCTCCGACTTCCCGCCAGGACGCCGCTTCACCTTCTCCTTACAGGTGGGATACCCTGAGACACAACGCTGCCTTTCAGTGATATTGTGTGTGAATTCAATACCTTTTAAGACCTTTTTAAAGCACACATGGAATCAAAACTAACCATATTGATGTTGTTAACTCGCATTGCTAGCTTTGTGCTGAACAATTCATCTGTGCATGTCATTAAGAACAATAATAGTTTGTCCTTGTAATCTGCAAATGCACTTCCTGTTTCAGTTAAATTCTCAGATTACGTCTGAGGCAGTGGGTGTGGTTAATATTTACCCACGCCCCTAAAACTGTCATCACATCAAACCGAAATGGTGAGCAGGAGGAGTCTGTTGGGTTGTAATAACTGCCCAAACCCTTTTACCCGTCTTTCTGAATGAAACGCCTGCTTCACTACATCCAATCAGCTTGCAGTAGAAAAAACATGCCACGCCCACTGCTTTCTCATTTAATATTCTGTTTCTCTAGGAAATGCGTCACTATACAAAAAAAAAATTGGTCACAGCTTTCAGTTCATGCAGACTTCACGACTCTCTCCATATGTGTTAGGACCTCATTGCCACTTTAGGGGTCAGCTGGTAACATTTCCGGCATTTTAACTTGCACTATATTTACCAAATACTAATTAAAAGAAACTAATCCAAACTAAAACATTGTTCATATACTAAATAAAAATGCTAATCCAGCAGGGGGCGCCTGTAGGGCAGCTCTATATGTATGAGTTTTAACGTTATAATCCCTTTTTTTTTGTTTTGAACAGCTCATAATGAAATTTTAAAAAGGAGATCTGCTGCAGTTCATTAATTGGCCATTGGTGTCGCTAATAACAAGGCTTTTTGAGTTCCTTTTTAGTCGCATCGTTGCTTGGTGAAAATTTATTTTGCCTTACTGCAGTAAACATAACAGCGTGACGTCAAGTGTAGCAGGATTTTATTGATTGTATAAACTACACACAGCATCCCGATATTTGTAGATCATATATAATGCATGCAACTATACATTGTATAATAAAAAAATTATACAAAATGTAATACGTTGTATAAAAAAAGAATTTAAGACTTTTCAATACCTTTTAATGGTGTTAAATTTCTCTAAATTGATTGATCAACTTTTAATACTTTAAGACCGCACGGACACCCTGATGTGTGTGTGTGTGTATGTATATGTATATATATATATATATATATATATATATATAATTTTTTCAATAAATTTCTTTTTTTATTGCGACTTCCTGATTCCCCCTTAAGTTGCTAGAAGGGCAGTGAGGGTCCTTTGATTCGTGATGCGCTGGTGGCTGAGCAGACATGCTGAGCTCAAGATGTTAGTAGCGAAACATGACATAACAAACAGCAATCTGTGGGATAAAAACCCGTTTCGTATGGCTTTAAAGGCTGATTATTGCGTTTTAGCGTGGCGTGTATATAGGATTGTTGCGTGTGCCATGGCGGTCAACAAAAAATACGACTACCCCACTCTCATTCTCTCCTCCTAACACCGGTGTAAGTGTGCACGGGCTTTATTTGCTAGCAGGTGCCAGGTATGCCACGTGACCAAAACATAATACGTCACTGGGAAAAACCCAAACTAATCGATAAACAAATAAACATTATCACTAAATAAAAAGTTATGTGGCTCATATATATGTATATATATATAAAGGTTTAAATACGAGTGTGTGTGCTTACCTTCAATACCGATGCGTATGTTTTTCAGGCCTCGCTCCTTGAGATGAGCTTTTGCGACGTCTCTGTTTTCAATAAACTTGAAGAAACGGTAGAGTTTGGTGCTGTAGATGACTTGAGGAACAAGAAAGTGTTTGTTAAAGAAGAAATATGTAAGATGTTTAATGTAATAACCACTTATTTTTGTGAATAGCTTGTAATCTAACTAAAAAAAAGAGATCTGCTGCAGTTTATTAAATGGCCACCGGTGTCGCTAATAACAAGGAGTTTCGCATACGCTTTTTAGTCTCATCATTGCTTGGTGAAATGTTACTGGAAAAATTAATTTAGCTGATTTTGATGCCAAAATGGAGGATGGGATCTGGAAAGAAATTGGGGACGGTCGTTTTGTTGTTGCAATGGAGTTGTTTCTAGAAGGTATACAGCTGCGGCTGGAAGATAACATGAATTATTTATAAAATTACCCATTAAAATGTGTTTTATTAACATCTACCCCTACCCCAATCCTCACAGCAATGTAAAAAAAGTAATTATTGTTGTACAGTGTCACAAAAACTGATGCTATATTGATTTGAGTATCCACAGCTGTATCCCTTCTAGACTTTGCCGCTCAATAGCACCACATATTGGTGCACTGTCATCTTTTTTTAATTCATTCATTCATTTTTCTTCGGCTTAGTCACTTTATTTCAAGGGAAAATCACTGTGAAATCATGTAAACTAATCCAGCATATGTTTTACACAGCGGATGCCCTACCAGCTGCAACCCAGTACCAGGAAACACCCATACACACACACACACTCATACACTATGGCCAATTTAGTTAATCAATTCTCCTATAGCGCATGCGTTTGGACTGTGCGGGAAACCGGAGCACCCGGAGGAAACCCACGCCAACACGGGGAGAACATGCAAACTCCACACAGAAACACCAACTGACCCAGCCAAGGCTCGAACCTGTAGCCTTCTTGCTGTGAGGCAACAGTGCTAACCACTAAGCCACCGTGTTTCATAGCTTCAAATTGGACTGGATTTTACCGTCAAAAGATGATCACCTCGTTTACTTTTATTTGCAAATCTTTGCAGTGTTGATTGTGCTCACTTTGCGAGTGCTCCTCTCCCATTGGCGGAGGGTTGTCGTGATCCCAGTCTACAGTATCATCGTCTGTGAGCACCACGATGTGGCACTCTCGCTCTCCCTCCTGAGCACTGGAAACCATCGCCGGCAGCAACAGCTCCTCCAGAAACACCTCGAACTGCCGCCGAGCGCCGTCATTGGACAGCTCGTGCAGGAGAGCGCCTGATTGGACAGAAACACTCATGAGTTTGAGCGAATTTTGCGCAAGCGTATACAGCTGAAGACAGAATTATTCACCTTCCTGTGAATTATTGGGAAATATTTCCCAAATGATGGTTCTCAGATTCAGGAATTGTTCACAGTATGTCTGATAATATTGTTTCTTCTGAAGAAAGTCTTATTTGCTTTATTTCGGCTAGAATAAAAGCAGTTTTTAATTGTTTTAAAGCCATTTTAAGGTCAATATTATTGGCCCCTTCAGCAATATTAGTGTTGGATTGTCTCCAGAACAAACCACTGTTATACAATGACTTGCCTAATTACCCTAACTTTACCCTAATTACCCTAGTGAAGCCTTTACATGTCACTTTAAGCTGAACACTAGTGTCTTGAAGAATATCTAGACTAATATTATGTGCTGTCATCATGATGAAGAGAAAATAAATCAGTTATTAGAGATGAGTTAAAAGTATTATGTTAAGAAATATGTTAAATCTTTCATTAAACAGAAATTGGGGAATAAATATACTGGAGGGTGAATGACTCTAAGATAGAGTAGTCAACTGTAGATGTGTGTGACTCACTGAGGTCTCTGCATCTGACGGTGTTGTAGTCGAAGTTTATACACAGATAATCGCAGGCTTCGCGCAGCTCCGCCAAGGACACGCCCTCCGGACAGTGCAGGATGCCGACTCGGTAAAAATCCTGAGCAAGAGATGAAGTTACGTTAAAGAGTCATGGTCACTTTATCTTTTCTTTTATCTGAACAAAAACATGAAAGTAGTTCCGGCAGGTTTAGAGCGCATTACAGCTCCATATTTCACAGCTACAACAGTCAGAAACCCCATCAGAACACAACAGGAGGAGGAGGAGGAGATGTGGAGGACACTAGTGCTACACACAGGAGACGTTTGAGGAGGACACACACCTGACTAATTAACATACAACATCTAATCAGGGGATTTAGCAAGTGTTGTCAATATTCTTTAAGTAAAATCTGTAATGTAGGACTTTTACGTACCAGTATGATTCTGAAAATGCTGGCACCGATTCCCTCAGCGATTTCATATTCGCCTTTAGTGTTTGGCCGTGTAAAACTGTGCTGACGTGCTCGACCGAACATCCTGCGAAAACACACAAGTGATTAGGCTTCATGTTTTGCGCTTATAAAAAATATTAAGATGATCATATTCAGTACCTTCCTAGCACTGTATCCGGGTATGCTGTGAACACTGCAGGATCCACCACGAAATGAGTCCCGTCGACTACTAACGTGACCCGGTCATGTGATAGGGGGCGTGGCTGTGCAGGCCATACCCCCTTTGTGACATCAGCCCCGCCCTCTGCTCCGACTGTCATCCCTCGGGCTGCGAATGAAAGTGTTTAATCACGCTTTGATATCGTAGTAGGGCTGCACAATATATGGTTTCGGCATTGCTATATTCAACACAGGCTCATTGTGGATATGTACCCCTGTCTACATTTCTGAAAGGCACGAATTATGTAGCCAGAGGTACGTCTGGCTGCATTTTGTCTTTTAAACGAATATTACGGGGAGGTATAATGCCCCTGCTGGCTTCTGTTTATTTAAATGCTAACAGCTGTCTGATTACTACCGTGTGGGCAGCTTTTCAGGTGTTACCAGTTTGCTCAGTGGCTCGCCCTGTATGTTGGCGGACTTGGGACTGGGAGCAGAGTTAACCACGATGACTGAGTTCGTGTCCGGCGAAGAACATTTCCAGAAACCAGGTAAAACAAAAGCAAAACTAAAAACGCGGTGAATCACGGGACAGCTTTTCTTTTTTTGGATTGCTTTTGAAAACACTATGGGTTGGGTTAAGGGAAGGGGGTGGGTCAGTTAGTTGGTCAGTTGACAGCAAGCTGGTATATTGCGGCCTCTGGTGGATTTACGCAAGAAGAGGACGTGAGAGAAATTTTAGATCATCAATAAGTGAAGTTTATTTTTAAACTAATTTCGAGAGGAGCACGCACGTATGATTGACAGCAGCCGGTCCCTCATTACCTAACGCACAATCCACCAATCAGACGATTCCTAAATCACTATAAATAACCTGAGTATCTTACCTTAGCCATCTTCGTCTTGAAGAATGCCCCCTTCCACTAGTAAATTGACCAAACTAAATCGACATCATAGACAAGTGTTTAATTCAGCATACACTCTCCATAGCTATTCATAATCTACATTCACCATTATCAAGCAGGGCAGTTCTCAAGACCTACCTGAGCTCAAACTCCCTTCTCGCCCTGCAACAGGAGGAAGCCCAGGGCTCGAGGATCTCGTGGGCTCAGGGCTCTCTCCCGGGACAGCATGCCAAACAAGCTTTATAATCAGCTAAGGGTGAACTTTTGAAGCGTAAACAGCGGCCTCTAGTGGATTTGGAACAAACAAAAACTGAGCAGACGCACCTCCGGTTACACATTCGACTCTTCCCAGAAATCTAGACCTGAGTACATTTCCACAATGAGTCTGGGTTAGATATATCACAATAGTCAAGATATGCAATGTTGAGTCTGAATTATGGTTGACAAAAAGCTACAGAATTGTATTTAATTACTGTATGCATATGGAAGTTATGCATAAAAGAATATTTATCTTGCTATTAGTCCAAATATTTTCATTTCAAAGTGAAAACAAGATTATTTGACTGAGCCCAATAGCAAATAATTTAGCTTTTTAAAGGAAAAAACTCTTAACTTTGACTTATTTCTTCTGAAGGGGAAAATTTCACTTGCTCTGTTTTTTTTTTTTTGATATTTTGAACAAGAAATTAGGCATTTTTTCCATTGTGATTATTCAATTTCTATACCTGAATACTATCAAGATTCCCCAAAAAATGGTCAAATAGAGCTATTCAAAGTGAAACTGAATTCATATTGCAGAAAAATAAAATATCGCAATATCAGTATTTTAGTATCATAGCATGTGCTTTTATACACTGTAAAACCCAACAAGTTGAGGTAACTCAAACCATTTGAGGAAATCGATTGGATCAAATCATTTAAGTTCAAAAGCTAACCCTAATGAGTGCTGTGAACTTTATCCATTTGAGTAAACAAAGCAATTTGAGCACAGTAAAACCCAGTAAATGAGGAGAACTCAAACCAACTGAGTACTGTAAAAGCCAGTAAGTTAAGGCAACTCAAACCGTTTGAGGAAACCGACTGCTTTAACCACTCGAGTTCAAAAACTAATCTATATGAGCACTGTGAACTTACTCCATTTAAGTAATGAAGTGTTTACTTAGCTCATTACCTTCAACGCTGAGTTTAAAACTCCTTTCAAATGAGTAGAATTAACCTTCAGTACATTTTGAGTTAACCACACTCATTTCATGTGATAAAGTTGACTGTTGGGTTTTACAGTGTGTGTGATTAATTGGGACAGACGTTTAGCACCTGTCGCGTGCTCCTCCGCCATGATCTTCTGGACTCCTGCAGACCTGTAAGACAGTCCATATGGTGGACATATTATTATAAACTCCTTACAAACGTCTGACTGGCCCACATTGGTCAAGCTTAACCCCACAGACACCAGTAACCCGCAACAAACCTACAGTAAACACATCATGCTGTGTAAATGTGACCTATATATACAGTTCAAGTCAGAATTATTCGCTCTCCTGTATATTTAGTCTCCCAATTTCTGTTTGATGAAGATATTTGTTTCAACACATTTCTAATCATAACAGCGTAATACCTCATCTCTAATCACTGATTTATTTTCTCTTTGTCATGATGACAGCACATAATATTAGACTAGATATTCTTCAAGACACTAGTGTTCAGCTTAAAGTGACATGTAAAGGCTTCACTAGGGTAATTAGGGTAAAGTTAGGGTAATTAGGCAAGTCATTGTATAACAGTGGTTTGTTCTGGAGACAATCCAACACTAATATTGCTGAAGGGGCCAATAATATTGAGCTTAAAAAACTGCTTTTATTCTAGCCCAAATAAGACTTTCTCCAAAAGAACAAATATTAGAGCAAATACTGTGAACATTTCCTGAATCTGTTCAACATCATTTGGGAAATATTTGAAAAGGAAAAATTCTCAGGAGGGTGAATAATTCTGACTTTAACAGTATGTGCTTTATTAAAACTACAAAACAATACTAGTTTATTTTATATTCAGTTACTTTTGAATGAAAAATGCACAGTCGAAATGGCAGACATAGTGAGATGTCTTCATTAAATTGTGCTTAATATAAACTGCTAAACGGTAATAGTTTACTGTATGTTCAATTATTTTATGAAGTGAAAAATACACCCTTGAAACGGCAAACAAAAATACATCTCAATTAAATTGTGCTTAAATAAAACTGCATAACATTTCATACACTTAAACTGTTATATTTCACTCCAAATGCCAGACATAGTGAAATGTCTGAAATAAGTTGTGCTCATGCTTAATTAAAACTGTAAAATAGTAAGAGTTTCTTATTTTAGGTTCAGTTATTTTTATTGAGTGAAATACACTCTCGAAATAACAGACAAAAATGCATCCTAATTAAATTGTGCTTAATATCTAAAACTGCATAACATTAATAGTACTAGTGTCTTATTTTGTTTATTTTACCGTTATTACTTGTACTGTTCCTGTTATTTTATACACTTAAACTTTTATGTTTCACTCCACTATGCCCACATAGTGAGATGTCTGAAATAAGTGGTGCTCAGCTCATGCTTAATTAAAACTGTAAAGGAGTAAGAGTTTCTTATTTTATGTTCAGTTAATTTTATTGAGTGAAAATGCACTCAAAATGGCAGACATCTTAATTAAACTGTGCTTAATTTGTGATTAATTCAAATGGCAAAACGGTAATAGTAACTAGTAATTATAAAATAGTACATTTTATATTTATTTTTACTGTTATTTTTTGTACTGTTACTGTTATTTCATACTGTTAAATGTTATATTTTTACAAAGACATAATGAGATTATTAATTAAATTGTCGTAATTAATACTGCAAAACACCAATTGTGTCTTATTTTACAGTATGTTCAAAACTTTTTAATGAGTGAAAATACATACTCGAAATAGCAGAATTACTGTAGTGAGAGGCTTTCCACATTTACTTTTTAAACTTTTGCAACACCAAAAAAAAAAGGCTTTTGCAAAAATGTTGTAAACAATTTATTTAAATTGAACTCAAACATAAACTAAATTGACCAATGTTTAACTTAATTTGTTTGTTAAATTAATAAATTGTTTACAACAACTCGTTTTTTGTAAATCCAAGGAATCATCTTTCAGTAGTTTTTTAGTAAATGAGAATGAGAAGAAAAAATAACAGTGATTAATAAAATAAAAATAACCTAATAAAATAATATTTCTTATTTTAACAGCATGGCTCTTTAATGTTTATCATGTTTTTGAAAAAAAAAAGTAAATGTGAAATATTACATACAAAGAATTCATAAGTTCAATTGAGGTACTACATGATCTGAGATGATGGTACTATATGTAATTTTGTTTTTACCACAGCACTAACTAATATTAATATAAATTAATTAACCGATTTAGCCCTTTTACTCCTAACAAACCGTTATCAAAAATAGCCGTTAAAACCGTTATTAAAATTAACCAAGTTTAAATTTTACTATGGTAACCACACATCAACAATTGATTTACTGCATTAACCATATACTTTAACCATAAACTTTGCACTTTAAACTGTAGAAATACAAATATAATCGATTTATCGAAAACAAAATGGTTATTAAAGTTTAACTGTGGTTAATTTTCATAACAACAAGCAACTAGATTAAACAAATGATAACAATAGTCTATTCGAGCAGAGTAAGAGCTCAGGAAAGAAAACGGACACCGTTTTCTAACTAACATTAACAAATTAGGAAAACACTAATTATTGTATTTTTAAATGAGTTAAATTATCACTTACCAGTGCGTCTGCTTTCAAAACAAATCCTCCTGGAGTGCTGCAGGAAGCGCGCGGATTAACTGGTAATCCAATAAAAGCTGACGTGAGGCGCATGGCGGGAAGATCTCTCTGAGGGATGATTTACCACAGCGGTTTAAACGAGTCAAAGTTGACAAGTTTAGATTAAAGTTGCCAACAAACATGGATAAATGTTTGTGCTAGTGCTAGACTTTTGCTTGACTGATAAGATTTTTAATAATTAAATTTTTAATTACAAGTAAATACTTTGACAAACATGATGAAGAACAGGTAAGTTGTCCATAAAACAATACAGAGTATGTGGAGAAATATAAAGTTTGGTAACACATTTGTATTATTTAAAAAAATCGAACTAAAATAAAATCACTGATTTGTTATTTAGCGTTAGCACATTTAAAAAAGACATTATATAGTTTACACATGGAGTATTTGTTTATGGAGTGTTTAATTGAGTTCCCAATTGCCATATGCTGTTATTAGATGGTTATTATTAGGATTCCTGTGAAATTGCAATTATTTTTCAAATATTTCCCAAGTGACGGAAATTTTAGAAGTAGTATCTTGCAAAATATTTTATGTACTGTCATCGAAAAAAAACAAAGGAAATTAGTTATTCGAAATAAGCTAAAATGATTATGTTTAAAAATGTGTTGAAAACATCTCAGCACTTGGGAAAATTTGGAAAATAATCGAAAGTCCACAGGAGGGCTGATGTATTTGCATTCGACTGTATATCACAGTGCTTTAAAGCAACAATAATCACTTTAAAGCCACTTTTTTAGCCAGATACATTTAGTGACAGACTGTTAAACTATGAGGTTCACATTTGCATTGTACAGAGATAAAAATATACAATTTAAGCAAAAAAAAAAAAACCTTGATATATTGGAAACTGAGTGTTAATTTTAGCAATTTAGTAATTAGTAGGCCCACCCGGAATCTGCGCACACAGAATTCTGCAGATTTTTAGCCCATCATTAATTCTGTTTATTTACTTGAGTAAATGTGTGTAAATCTAAATTTATTCAGTTTTTAAATTAATTTCAGTAATATTATTGACTAATGTGAAAATGTTCATCTGATTTTTGTACAATGCAGTTTGAACACTGAAAATGTTTTTTCAAAGACGATTCCTTGGATTTATTCTATTTTTTACGTTAAGTGGTTGTAAACAATTTATTTGGGCTAAATTTAAACAAACAAATTAAGTTGAACATTATTACACTTAATTTGTTTGTTTAAATTCAACACAAATAAATTGTTTGCAACAGTTCTGCATGCAACACTTTTTTCAGTGCAGTAATATTTTCTGTCCTTTACTAGATATATTATGTCAAACTTGCTTTTTTTAATAAATAAAGTGGATCTAATTGGATTTGCATTTTAAATATTGAATAAAAGTTAAAAAGGTTTTTTTTTTCACATATTAAAGTTTTAGTTACGATACTCCCAAAATAATTCCGCAGAAATCCGCAGATTTTTACCAAAATTTTTTGCAGAAAACGTCAGCAGAATCCGTCTGGCCCTAGTAATTAGATTAGTGTTGTTATCTAGAAATCTGTATTCTGATATTTTTAAATACTTTTGGCTTATAAAACAGTCCTCACAGTTATGTTGTTAGCTGCGTTTCCATCCACCTATTTTATGTGCATTATGGAATAGTGTGTCATTAATGTTGGTCTGCAGATTTAAATGTGTGTGTGAGGTTTTGCATTGTGTCAGATGTGAAATGTTGTTGTGCTGATAGTAAAGGCCTCAGTCCTCCGTCTGTCCGTCATCACAGTGCTTCAGTATTCTTCTTCTATTATTATTCCCTCCAGAACTGTCTGCGTTCCCATCTCACGCCTCTGGAAGCCACCACATTCACCTTGTTCATTTTGTTTGGTCTTAGTCTTCTGAGGCGCAGCTCTATTCGCTAATGTTTCATGCCATATTCCAGTTTTGTGCATGAATCTAATTCACATTTTTGGATGGAAACACAGCTAACATGTCTTTGATGAAGGTTAGACATGGCAGTGTGTAATGTCTGAATGAGAGGTCTCCATCTTCTTCTTTCTGAGCACACATTGTCCTTTATGTTGATTGAGTATGGCTGCTGATTTTCTCTCCAGCTCTTGCAGATCCAGATGAAGGGCCGCTGCCATCTCAGACTTTGTCACGGACACAAAGCGCCAGTCACTGGCCAGACTCTCCAGACCTCCAGAGGTCAGAACCTGAGGAACCAAACCAGCGGTCTCATTTATAAACGTGTCGTACACACACAAACAAGGGGTGTAAATGTGTGTACGCCCAGCCTGATCTCACAAGAAAACGTAAGTATTTTACGTTTTGGCAGTTTAGTGGCTAATTCGTACGAATTCGTACGAGTTCAGTCGTAATAAATTGTACGATTTTAAAAAGGAGGCGTGGCACCTTACCCCACCCCTAAACCCAACCGTCATTGGGGGATGAGCAAATCGTACTAAAATGTACGAATTAGATCGTACGAATTCGTACGAATTAGCCACTAAATGAAAAAGTTACGAATTGCTGTGAGATTGTGTTGGTACACCACTTCCCACGCAAAAGTTACTTGACAAGAAAATGTGCGCTGCTGTAAGTAAACATATTTAACCTAAATATAAACTTCATTGAAGCACTTTAAATCATGAGCTATAATCATCAGTAAATACATTACAGTTTATTCTGTTGTGTGTTCACTTTTAGGAAGGTTTCTATGCATTTTATAAATCATAAACATAAATCATAAACAGCATAAACCACGGCGAATGAAGTTCTGCACAAGACTTTTGGCCAGCGGAGAAATTAAAATGGTCGTGCCCAACTGAGTCTGGTTCTCTCAAGGTTTTTTTTCTTCACTCCCATCAGGTGAAGTTTTTTTTCCCTCTCCGCTGTCGCCACTGCCTCGCATGGTTCAGGATTGGTAGAGCTACGCATCGTTGAATTTGCTCTTCAGTGTTTGAACTCTCAGTAATGATTAAATCACACTGAACAGAGCTAAACTGAACTGAACTGAACTTAAACACTAAAACCTGAACCACACTGTTCCAGTTACTATGACCATTTATGTGAAGCTGCTTTGACACAATCTACATTGTAAAAGCGCTATACAAATAAAGCTGAATTGAATTGAATTGAATTGAAATCAGACCCCTGGTGAATGTGTGAAGGATGAAGACGGGTTTATAATTCTGACATCCATGAAGGTTTTTCTCACCTGTTGGATGAGGAACTCGGCTGCGCTCGCTGGACTATGCAGTCGGGATGCACTGATGCATGCTGGGAAATGTGGTTCACATCTACTGTACAGATAGATTAGCAGTTGTTACCACAAAATTAAAAAAAAAAATTCTCACTTGTTATAATTCAGTTATTGTGTTTGATGTTGTTTATTTTCTTAAAATGCCTACCATTTGTTATTGTGATAGTTGAAAGAATTAAATAAAAAGTAATTTGTTAATTTAAATTGAATAACTTTGACAACTGATGGACACAGAAACAAGCAAAAATTGAATTCAATTGCAGAAACAATGTGGTTTATATATCAGTGTTGTTGTTTTGTGTTTGTTGGTAGTGGTGTTGTTGGTGTTGTTGGTATCAGTGTTGTTGTTTGTGTTGGTGTATTTAATTGTGTTGTCGATATCAGTGTTGTTGTTTGTGTTTGTTGGTAGTGGTGTTGTTTGTGTTGGTGTTGTTTGTAATTGTGTTGTTGAAATCAGTGTTGTTGTTTGTGTTTGTTGGTAGTGGTGTTGTTTGTGTTGGTGTTGTTTGTAATTGTGTTGTTGAAATCAGTGTTGTTGGTGTTTTTTGGTAGTGGTGCTGTTTGTAATTGTTTTGTTGGTAGCAGTGTTGTTGTTTGTGTTTGTTGGTAGTGATGTTGTTTGTAATTGTGTTGTTGGTATCAGTGTTGTTGTTTGTTGGTGGTGGTGTTGTTTGTGTTGGTGTTGTTGGTATCAGTGTTGTTGTTTGTGTTTGTTGATAGTGGTGTTGTTTGTGTTGGTGTTGTTGGTATCAGTGTTGTTGTTCGTGTTTGTTAGTGTTGGTGTTGTTGGTATTAGTGTTGTTGGTGTTGTTGGTATCAGTGTTGTTGTTTGTGTTTGTTGATAGTGGTGTTGTTTGTGTTGGTGTTGTTGGTATCAGTGTTGTTGTTTGTGTTTGCTGGTGTTGTTGGTGTCAGTGTTGTTGTTTGTGTTTGTTGATAGTGGTGGTGTTGGTATCAGTGTTGTTGTTTGTGTTTGTTGATAGTGGTGTTGTTTGTGTTGGTGTTGTTGGTATCAGTGTTGTTGTTTGTGTTTGTTGGTGTTGTTGCTATCAGTGTTGTTGTTTGTGTTTGTTGATAGTGGTGTTGTTGGTATCAGTGTTGTTGTTTGTGTTTGTTGATAGTGGTGTTGTTGGTATCAGTGTTGTTGTTTGTGTTTGTTGGTAGTGGTGTTGTTTGTGTTGGTGTTGTTGGTATCAGTGTTGTTGTTTGTGTTTGTTGATAGTGGTGGTGTTGATGTCAGTGTTGTTGTTTGTGTTTGTTGGTGTTGTTGGTATCAGTGTTGTTGTTGTTTGTGTTTGTTGGTAGTGGTGTTGTTTGTGTTGATGTTGTTGGTATCAGTGTTGTTGGTATCAGTGTTGTTGTTTGTGTTTGTTGGTAGTGGTGTTGTTTGTGTTGGTGTTGTTGGTATCAGTGTTGTTGTTTGTGTTTGTTGATAGTGGTGGTGTTGATGTCAGTGTTGTTGTTTGTGTTTGTTGGTGTTGTTGGTATCAGTGTTGTTGTTGTTTGTGTTTGTTGGTAGTGGTGTTGTTTGTGTTGATGTTGTTGGTATCAGTGTTGTTGTTTGTGTTTGTTGGTGGTGGTGGTGTTTGTGTTTGTTGGTGTTGTTGGTATCAGTGTTGTTGTTTGTGTTTGTTGGTAGTGGTGTTGTTTGTGTTGGTGTTGTTGGTATCAGTGTTGTTGTTTGTGTTTGTTGGTAGTGGTGTTGTTTGTGTTGGTGTTGTTGGTATCAGTGTTGTTGTTTGTGTTTGTTGGTAGTGGTGTTGTTTGTGTTGGTGTTGTTAGTATCAGTGTTGTTGGTATCAGTGTTGTTGTTTGTGTTTGTTGATAGTGGTGTTGTTTGTGTTGGTGTTGTTAGTATCAGTGTTGTTGGTATCAGTGTTGTTGTTTGTGTTTGTTGGTAGTGGTGTTGTTTGTGTTGGTGTTGTTGGTATCAGTGTTGTTGTTTGTGTTTGTTGGTAGTGGTGTTGTTTGTGTTGGTGTTGTTAGTATCAGTGTTGTTGGTATCAGTGTTGTTGTTTGTGTTTGTTGATAGTGGTGTTGTTTGTGTTGGTGTTGTTAGTATCAGTGTTGTTGGTATCAGTGTTGTTGTTTGTGTTTGTTGGTAGTGGTGTTGTTTGTGTTGGTGTTGTTAGTATCAGTGTTGTTGGTATCAGTGTTGTTGTTTGTGTTTGTTGGTAGTGGTGTTGTTTGTGTTGGTGTTGTTAGTATCAGTGTTGTTGGTATCAGTGTTGTTGTTTGTGTTTGTTGATAGTGGTGGTGTTGATATCAGTGTTGTTGTTCGTGTTTGTTGGTGTTGTTGGTATCAGTGTTGTTGTTTGTGTTTGTTGATAGTGGTGTTGTTGGTATCAGTGTTGTTGTTTGTGTTTGTTGATAGTGGTGTTGTTGGTATCAGTGTTGTTGTTTGTGTTTGTTGGTGTTGTTAGTATCAGTGTTGTTGGTATCAGTGTTGTTGTTTGTGTTTGTTGGTAGTGGTGTTGTTTGTGTTGGTGTTGTTGGTATCAGTGTTGTTGTTTGTGTTTGTTGGTAGTGGTGTTGTTTGTGTTGGTGTTGTTAGTATCAGTGTTGTTGGTATCAGTGTTGTTGTTTGTGTTTGTTGATAGTGGTGTTGTTTGTGTTGGTGTTGTTAGTATCAGTGTTGTTGGTATCAGTGTTGTTGTTTGTGTTTGTTGGTAGTGGTGTTGTTTGTGTTGGTGTTGTTAGTATCAGTGTTGTTGGTATCAGTGTTGTTGTTTGTGTTTGTTGGTAGTGGTGTTGTTTGTGTTGGTGTTGTTAGTATCAGTGTTGTTGGTATCAGTGTTGTTGTTTGTGTTTGTTGATAGTGGTGGTGTTGATATCAGTGTTGTTGTTCGTGTTTGTTGGTGTTGTTGGTATCAGTGTTGTTGTTTGTGTTTGTTGATAGTGGTGTTGTTGGTATCAGTGTTGTTGTTTGTGTTTGTTGATAGTGGTGTTGTTTGTGTTGGTGTTGTTGGTATCAGTGTTGTTGTTTGTGTTTGTTGGTGTTGTTGGTATCAGTGTTGTTGTTTGTGTTTGTTGATAGTGGTGTTGTTGGTATCAGTGTTGTTGTTTGTGTTTGTTGATAGTGGTGTTGTTGGTATCAGTGTTGTTGTTTGTGTTTGTTGATAGTGGTGTTGTTGGTATCAGTGTTGTTGTTTGTGTTTGTTGATAGTGGTGGTGTTGATGTCAGTGTTGTTGTTTGTGTTTGTTGGTGTTGTTGGTATCAGTGTTGTTGTTGTTTGTGTTTGTTGGTAGTGGTGTTGTTTATGTTGGTGTTGTTGGTATCAGTGTTGTTGTTGTTTGTGTTTGTTGGTAGTGGTGTTGTTTATGTTGGTGTTGTTGGTATCAGTGTTGTTGTTGTTTGTGTTTGTTGGTAGTGGTGTTGTTTGTGTTGATGTTGTTGGTATCAGTGTTGTTGGTATCAGTGTTGTTGTTTGTGTTTGTTGATAGTGGTGTTGTTTGTGTTGGTGTTGTTGGTATCAGTGTTGTTGTTCGTGTTTGTTAGTGTTGGTGTTGTTGGTATTAGTGTTGTTGGTGTTGTTGGTATCAGTGTTGTTGTTTGTGTTTGTTGATAGTGGTGTTGTTTGTGTTGGTGTTGTTGGTATCAGTGTTGTTGTTTGTGTTTGCTGGTGTTGTTGGTGTCAGTGTTGTTGTTTGTGTTTGTTGATAGTGGTGGTGTTGGTATCAGTGTTGTTGTTTGTGTTTGTTGGTAGTGGTGTTGTTTGTGTTGGTGTTGTTGCTATCAGTGTTGTTGTTTGTGTTTGTTGATAGTGGTGTTGTTGGTATCAGTGTTGTTGTTTGTGTTTGTTGATAGTGGTGTTGTTGGTATCAGTGTTGTTGTTTGTGTTTGTTGGTAGTGGTGTTGTTTGTGTTGGTGTTGTTGGTATCAGTGTTGTTGTTTGTGTTTGTTGATAGTGGTGGTGTTGATGTCAGTGTTGTTGTTTGTGTTTGTTGGTGTTGTTGGTATCAGTGTTGTTGTTGTTTGTGTTTGTTGGTAGTGGTGTTGTTTGTGTTGATGTTGTTGGTATCAGTGTTGTTGGTATCAGTGTTGTTGTTTGTGTTTGTTGGTAGTGGTGTTGTTTGTGTTGGTGTTGTTGGTATCAGTGTTGTTGTTTGTGTTTGTTGGTAGTGGTGTTGTTTGTGTTGGTGTTGTTGGTATCAGTGTTGTTGTTTGTGTTTGTTGGTAGTGGTGTTGTTTGTGTTGGTGTTGTTAGTATCAGTGTTGTTGGTATCAGTGTTGTTGTTTGTGTTTGTTGATAGTGGTGTTGTTTGTGTTGGTGTTGTTAGTATCAGTGTTGTTGGTATCAGTGTTGTTGTTTGTGTTTGTTAGTAGTGGTGTTGTTTGTGTTGGTGTTGTTAGTATCAGTGTTGTTGGTATCAGTGTTGTTGTTTGTGTTTGTTGGTAGTGGTGTTGTTTGTGTTGGTGTTGTTAGTGGTGTTGTTTGTGTTGGTGTTGTTGGTATCAGTGTTGTTGGTATCAGTGTTGTTGTTTGTGTTTGTTGGTAGTGGTGTTGTTTGTGTTGGTGTTGTTGGTATCAGTGTTGTTGTTTGTGTTTGTTGGTAGTGGTGTTGTTTGTGTTGGTGTTGTTGGTATCAGTGTTGTTGTTTGTGTTTGTTGGTAGTGGTGTTGTTTGTGTTGGTGTTGTTGGTATCAGTGTTGTTGGTATCAGTGTTGTTGGTATCAGTGTTGTTGTTTGTGTTTGTTGGTAGTGGTGTTGTTTGTGTTGGTGTTGTTAGTATCAGTGTTGTTGGTATCAGTGTTGTTGTTTGTGTTTGTTGGTAGTGGTGTTGTTTGTGTTGGTGTTGTTGGTATCAGTGTTTTTGGTGTTTTGTTATTTTCACCTGTGTCTGCGTCTGTTGTTGTTATTGGTGTTGTTGTTGTTGGCATGGTAACTGGCGTATGTGGTCTCCGTCCTGTCCGCTCTGCTATCTGCGAGCTGTAGGGGTCTCTGGCTGGTCACCTGTGAGTAGGCATGGGATAACCGGTTTCACCGCGGTTTGGAAAAGTCAAGGTTTTAAAATGACTGAAATTTTCTGTTATACCGTTCCAACGGTATATGCTTGTTTTTTTTATAGCTACTTTATATAGTTTTAGAGCAGTAATTGCAATACCCTGATATTTTATTCAAGGTTATCATACTGTCAGAATCTTATACCGGCCCACGCCTACCTGTGCTGCCCCGGTTCCTCTCTCCATGCTGAACGGATCCACATGGTTTCCAAACAGACCTCCAGCACGCTGTTAAAGAGGAGAACAGAGAGAGAAATGAGATGACTCTGCTTTTCTCCATCACTCCATCATCTCTGATCTGCACCCACCCTATAGATGCTCTCCTCTCCGGACTCCTCCATCGCTCTGTCCATCTCCTCGTCATTAAGGAGGTCTCCAGAAATGGCTCTCTGGAGTTCAGGAGCCGCCTCCTCCTCGATGCTCCTCAGACCCGCCTGGAGAAACACAGGTCAGGGCCCAATGACTAAATATAATAATATTATAATATTAAAAAACACAATTTTAAAGCTGCAAGAGCTTCATTCTGATTGGCTGATGAGCACTCTGAGGTGTTTGGTTATTGACAACATCTCAACAGTGGATTTAACATTGGGAACCGGAGTATAACCAGAATAATGCACTGCAGGCTGCTGGATTATCAGAAAATAATGCACTTCTGATGTGTTTTAATAACTCAGTGGTTTAAAGTCAAATATTCTTTACTTATGACTAGTCCTTTATATACAGAGCACTGAAACAAATAGTAAAATTGGTCCAAAAAATGTTAGATTATTTATTTTCTACAATGATTTAACATCTGACCTGGATCTCTGTGGTGTTTTTATTCTTCTTGCTCGGTCGGTATCCGTAATATTCCTCCTGTCTCTTCATGAACTTCCGGAAGTGGTCCTGGATCAGAAACGTGGCGTAGAACTTGCCCACTGTCACCTCGTCATCTGTGATTCAGGCCATGTTTGATCAAGCTAATGCTATTGCATGCTATTAATGTTTTCTTTGTATCTCAGGTTCATTTAGAGGTTATTTTTTATCGTTTCCTTTGTATTTCAGCTTCATTTATGGCAGATCTCACCTCCGAGTGCTGGAATGACCTGGTCGAGCAGTTTCATACTGGTGCGTTTCCAGATCTTCTTAATAATTGCACGCAGCTCTTCATTCGCCTGCTCGAAATTACCTGAAGGATGGAAATATCAGGCTTTAATATGCAGCCATTAAAGTGTAAATTGGTGCAGCAATAGTTCACATAGCAAAGAAACTGTCTGTCATATTTAAAACAAGAATCATTTGACGATGGACTCTATTCAGGGATTATTGTTTGGTAGACACATCAAAATTGTGACGAATTATCGTAAATCAAGAAAATTCCATGTATTAATACAACAAAATGACATACTAAAAGGTTTTAAATAGAAATACCTTGCTTGTTGAATCAGTAATCTTCATTTAAATCATAAATCATAAAAAAAATCAAGAAGAGTTTACTGTAAGGTCTCGTTTGTTGACATTTGAAGTGTTGATTCTTCTGAACGAATCAATCAGAAGAATTTGTATTCTAGAAAAGCTCTTAAAAATCATCTTAAAAAATGTCTTAAAGTAAAGATAACTAAAAAAAACTACTTGTAGATTTTTTTATTATTTTTTTCTCAAAGTCATACAACTAATTAGGAATGCACTCAAGTGAAGATTCTGAATCCAAAAATTCTGGATGTACTTGGTGGAAAACCGAAACCAAAAATGCTTCGTAATATTCATTCATTCATTTTCCTTCAGCTTAGTCCCTTATTTATCAGGGTTCGCCACAGCGAACATATGTTTTACGCAGCGGATGCCCTTCCAGCCGCAACACAGTACTGGGAAACCCCCATACACACTCACATTCACACAATTCCCCAATAGCGCATGTGTTTGGACTGTGGAGAAACCCACGCCAACACGGGGAGAACATGCAAACTCCACACAGAAACGCCAACTGACCCATCTGGGACTCTGTCCAGCGACCTTCTTGCTGTGAGGCCACAGTGCTAACCACTGAGCCACCGTGCCACCGCATTTGTTGACATTATAACATTGTATTTGCTAACACAAACCAGCCAAACTCAATAAATAATATGTATGAAGTAGTTAACTGATGGTATGTAACAGAAGAAACATTACTGTACAGGTTACCAAGCATAATTTTAACAGTATATATTAGTTAAATGTGAATTTAATTAAAATAATTAAATGTGACCTCAAACCTTCAGTTTTAATCTTCAGTCCCGTTCTGACCAGAGCGAAGAGTGTGGCGTTAAACGTTACGGTTCCGTCGCTGTTCAAGGGCATATTCATGGAAATCAGTCTCTGCAAACACAACATTAAAATCCCTTAAACGGTTAAACATTTTCACACTACTATGGTTAATGAATGCTTGATTCTGATTGGCTGGTGAGCGTTCTAAGGCGAGTCGTTGTTTTCAGATAAAGATAAACACATAAAGTAGTTCCGGCAGGTTTTGAGCATCATTGCACTGCGTAATTCATTCATTAATTTTCCTTTAGCTTAGTCCCTTTATTGATCTGGGGTCACCGCAGCAGAATGAACCAACTTATCCAGCATGTTTTATGCAGCAGATGCCCTTCCAACTGCAACCCATCACTGGAAAACACCCATACACACTCAATCACACACATACACTACGGACAATCCCCTGTAGCTATTTTAGCTTATATAGCTCCCCTATTTATCTAACCAACCTTCTGTCTCGCTACAATCCAACTCGCTCTTAAGATCTCAAAACTCAGGGCTTCTGGTAGCACCTAGTATAGCAAAGTCAAGTAAAGGAGGTCGAGCCTTCTCCTTTTATGGCTCCTACACTCTGGAATAGCCTTCCTGATAACATCTGAGGCTCAGACACGCTCTCTCAGTTCAACACTAGATTAAAGACCTATCTGTTTAGTAAAGCATACACTCAATGCATCACCTAGCGGGTTCCACACAGACTTCTGCATCTTCTTTATATACACTATGAACAGCAGCTACGCTAATTATTCTCTTTATTCTCCATTTCCACCTGGGGATACTCATCCCGAGGCCCTCAGATTATGCGGAGTCACTGATTGGATCCAAGACCAGCGACGTGATGATCCCAAGGTGTCCATATCCGGGACCAGGCAGTATCCTGAGCTGCTGCTGCTCTGGTGGTCATGGGGGATTCCAGTGACGCTCCAGGGACAGATGAGTCTTCACTGAGGTCCAGCTTCCAGCCTCCACCGCTGAGACTGAAGCTCTGTACTAGACTTTTGGCCAGCGGAGAAATTAAAATGGTCGTGTCGAACTGAGTCTGATTCTCTCAAGGTTTTTTTTCTTCACTCTCCTATCGGTGAAGTTTTTTTTCCCTCTCCGCTGTCACCTCTGGTTTGCATGGTTCATGATCTGTAGAGCTCGATGAATTTGCTCTTCAGTGTTTGGACTCTCAGTATAGCGCATGTGTTACTGTGGGGGGGAAACCCTATGTTAACACGGGAAGAACATGCTAACTCCACACAGAAATGCCAACTGACTCAGCCGAGGCTCAAACCAGTGATCTTCTTGCTGTCAGGCGAGGCAATTTTTTTGCAATAATTAGTTTCAGCAATATTTTAAGTAAAAACTTGAGATCAGCACTGCCCCTATACGGCGCCATTAAAGCGCACTATTCAAAGTGAAAGTCTGAGGAAAAAATAATCGTTATTTAAAAGTGATTTCAGCACCCTATTCATAGCAGATCCCTGATGTGCAATACAGAACTACACAATACAACTATTATCTATACATAAACGGTAAAAACATGCTGGGTTCCATGTAAGAAATCAACTCAACTTATTCGTTTTTACAAATTTAAGTGGATTGTTCGTAAAATAATTAAGTTGTGCCAAAAAAAACCTCAAGCATTGTGTTATTTCAGCTCATTTTAAACAAATAGGTGGACTGAACACTGAATCACTCTCTGGTGTTTGGTTATTGTCAGATAAAGGCACAGCTAAAGTAGTTCCGGCAGGTTTACAGCGCATTACAGCTCCATATCACTCCGCTGAATGATTAGAGTTATTTCAGAGCAGAGACAGTCAGAAATCACATCAGAACACAACAGACGGAGGAGAAGTGGAGGACACTAGTGCTACACGGGAGACGTTAGAGGAGGACAACTGACTAATAAACTCTCAACATACAACATCTCAGCAGTAGGTTTAGCATTGGGAACCAGAGTATAACCAGAATAATGCATTCACTCCATTGAATGATTAGAAAATAATGCACACACATCACTACTTTTTAATGATTTAACAACCTGTACTCTGTTATTTTTCATGTATAAGTGTGTGTGTGTGTGTGTGTGTGTGTGTGTGTGTGTGTGTGTGTGTGTGTGTGTGTGTGACCTTGCAGGCGACCCGATGAGGACAGAATTTTCCGAATCCGAGCGGAGGCTGTATTCTCCTCAGCAGCGTCACCACGTCCAGGTGTTTTATGCGGCCCCTGCAGAACATCACATGAGTGAGACTCATTTACACTCAGCCGGAGCTTCTTTCTGCCACAGAATAAAATGATGAACAAGGTGATGGAGACTTTCAATTGAGAGATCCCTCATTAAACTCTTATAAAAGTGATAATAATATAATAGTTCCTCTATAAATCTCACAATTTCACTCTGGGAATTCAGTTTTTTTCATTCTTGCAATCTGTACTTAATTAATCTTTTTTTTTTTTTTTTTTTTTACAAAATTTTGACAGAATTTTTTTCAGATTTATGCATGTATATCTTGCAATTATCACTTTTTAAAGATCTGTTATGAATATTTTTCATTTCATAAATAATAATATGAAAATTGGTTTTAAAATGTAACAAAGTAATATGTATTTTTCCAGCACTCTCACAAATCAGACTTTATAGTTATTTTTTTTTTCCATGGTGGAAATAAGTTTTCATATAAATCATCCTGAAACCAAAATGGACAATATTTGCTTTCTTAAAACACATTCTTGGTATTATAATGCAAGCTAAATATGAAACACAAAATTCTTTCAAAAATCTTTCACCTTTCTTCACCTTTAAAATATATGATCAATCCCTATTTATTTAAATAAAAGTACATTGTTCCCCTCATTGAATAACATTGTAAAAAGTGTTGTGGTTGTCATTTTCTATGCATTTTAAAGCCGTCTGCAGTAGTGTAGTTTATCTTACGTGGCCTCGGGGTCGTATTCAGCCCAGATCTTCTTAAACTCGTCTAAATGTTGCGGACCCAGAATCGACCAATCGCGGGTCAGATAGTCGAAGTTGTCCATGATCACAGCGACAAACAAGTTTATGATCTGCAAGAGAGCGCATTCAGCATTCAACATTACTTTCGTGTACAAAAACATTAGTAGCCACTAATCAAACTTGTTAGATTACACATTTATGCTAATGTGCTCTGAGCTACTTTTGGATTACATTTAGATTACTTTTAGAGTAGTGTAATTTGACTATTTTTAGAATACATTTAGATTACTTTATGGTAGTGTAATCTGACAACTTTTGGATTGCATTTAGATTACTTTTATAGTATTGTAATCACACTACTTTTGGATTACATTTAGGTTGCTTTTATGGTAGTGTAATCTGACCTATCTTTGGATTACATTTAGATTACTTTTATGATAGTGTAATCTGACTACTTTTGGATTATTTTTACATTACTTTTATTGTAGTGTAATCTAACTATTTTTGGAATACATTTAGATTACTTTAGTATAATTGACAACTTTTGGATTACATTGAGATTACTTTTTGGTAGTGTAATCAGACTACTTTTGGCATAAATTTAGATTACGTTTATGGTAGCGTAATCTGACTACCTTTGAATTACATTTAGCTTACTTTATCATAGAGTTATTTGACTACTTTTGGGTTAAATTTACATTGCTTGTATCGTAGCACTATCTGACTACATTTGGATTACATTTAGATTACTTTTATGATGAAATAATCTGACAACCTTTGAATTTCATTTAGATTACTTTATCATTGAGTAATTTGAATACTTTTGGATTACATTTAGATTACTTTTATGGTAGTGTAATGTGGCTACTTTTGGATTACATTTAGATTACTTTTATAGGAGTGTGATCTGATTACTTTTGGATTACATTTAGATTACTTTATCATAGAGTAATTTGACTACTTTTGGATTACACTTAGATTACTTTTGTGGGAGTGTGATCTGATTACTTTTGGATTACATTTAGATTACTTTTATGGGAGTGTGATCTGATTACTTTTGGATTACATTTAGATTACTTTATCATAGAGTAATTTGACTACTTTTGGATTACATTTAGATTACTTTTATCGTAGTGTAATCTGTCTACCTTTGGATTACATTTAGATTATATTAGTGTAATCTGACTACATTTAGATGTAAAAAATAATTTACTCTGATTACAACTACTTGATTTCTGGAACTTCATTATGTAATCCAGATTACACGTAATACAATATTACCCAGCATCTTTGCATGTATGAAGCGATACTCACTAGAAAAGCACAGAGCATGTAAAAGCTCATGAAGTAGAGGATGGCGAATCCAGATCCACACGTGTACTCTTCTCCGGGCAGATATTCTGACTTTGGGTCGCATCGCTGACCGTATAAACAACCCAACATGATCTCATGCCAGCCTTCACCTGTGGCACACCTGTTAACACACACCAGAATTTACTGCACTGTAAAAAATGAAAACGTCAACAAATTAAACCTAATAGAACTCAGTTTTTTCGAATGTAGTTTTCATTAATAAATTAAGTTGAAAAAATGTCTTTCTTTTAGGTGTAACAAGCTGAAGTAACATGTTTAAGTTGATCCAGTTTTATTTTTAAGTGTAGAGATGCATCAATCGATGGAAAAGAAATCTGAATTGTACTTTATTGTGCTAAATGCGCATTCAGTAACTGCTATTTTCTCTTAATTACTAAATTCAGCTGATTTCTTTTCTAGACTTGCATATAAACTGCATTGCATTGGATTTTATAGAAAGTTTTACTCTTGTGGTTTGAATCTTGTGATGTTTTCAAGATTAAATATAAAAATACTGTTACAATAAATGCTGTCATAACAATGAAAGACATCATCAGACCACAGCTATAACAATAAAGATGTAGAGAAATGATGTCATAACTTAATCACTTTCTGAACACTGTTAAAGGCGCCACCTACTGGAAATCATTGAATTTGCACCTATGTTCAGTCTGTCTACTGTTTTTGTTTCATACAGGTTATGTAGCAGAATTTTAGAAAGCTAAATGTCATAATGTGTTTAGTTACGTTTTGAAATTAAAATAGCAATTTATAAAAACATACAAAAAATTCTGATATTTATTGGAATCAACCAATTTGCTGGTGTAAAAAATGATCCATGATACATCATGATCGGTGCGTCTTCACAAACTTTCTTATTTACGAATTTATTAAAGCGTTTGCACTTCTATGGTAGCGTAATCTGACAACTTTTAGATTACATTTAGATTACTTTTATGTTAGTGTAATCTGACTACTTTTGGATTACATTTAGATTACTTTTATGATAGTGTAATAAGACTACTTTTGGATTACATTTAGATTACTTTTATGATACCATAATCTGACTACTTTTGGATTACATTTAGATTAGTTTTATGATACCATAATCTGACTAATTTTGGATTACATTTAGATTACTTTTATGATATTGTAATAAGACTACTTTTGGATTACATTTAGATTACTTTTATGATACCGTAATCTGACTAATTTTGGATTACATTTAGATTTTATGATAGCGTAATCAGACAACTTTTGGATTACACTTAGTTTACTTTTATGATAGTGTAATCTGACAACTTTTGGATTACATTTAGAATACTTTTATGATACCGTAATCTGACTGCTTTTGGATTACACCTAGCTTAATTTTACAGTAGCGTAATCTCACTACTTTTTGATTACAGTTAGATTAATTCCATCGTACTGTAATCGGACTACTTTTGCATTAATTTAGATTACTTTTAAGATGTTGTAATCTGACTATTGGATTACATTGAGATTATTTTATGGTAGCGTAATCTGACTTCTTTTGGATTACATTTAGATTACTTTTATGGTTGTGTAATCAGACTACTTTTGGGTTACATTTAGATTACTTTTATGGTTGTGTAATCAGACTACTTTTGGATTACATTTAAATTACTTTTACGATAGCGTGATCTGACTATTGGATTACATTTAGATTACTTCATGGTAGCATAATCTCACTACTTCGGATTGAATTTAGATTACCTTTATGTTAGTGTAATCTGACTACTTTTGGATTACACCTAGCTTAATTTTACAGTAGCGTAATCTCACTACTTTTGAATTACAGTTAGATTAATTCCATGGTAGTGTAATCGGACTACTTTTGCATTAATTTAGATTACTTTTAAGATATTGTAATCTGACTATTGGATTACATTGAGATTATTTTATGGTAGCGTAATCTGACTTCTTTTGGATTACATCTAGATTACTTTTATGGTTGTGTAATCAGACTACTTTTGGATTACATTTAGATTACTTTTACGATAGCGTAATCTGACTATTGGATTACATTTAGATTACTTCATCTTACTACTTTTAGATCGAATTTAGATTCCTTTATGTTAGTGTAATCTGACTATTTTTGGATTATATTTAGATTACTCTGATAATACATCTTGATTGGTGCATCTCCAGTCTTTGCAAACATTCTTATGAATGAATTCAGCAAATCGTTCGCACTTCATACCGGAACAGCAGTAAAACGGCTTGAGGAAATGTCTGGAAGTTGTTGTTACGGTTGATTATGGTGCCATCTAGTAAAGCAATTTTGCCAAACACCTGACAGGAGAAGACAGCCATGTTATTATGTAGTGTAACGTTAAATAAATCATAACTATTGTGCATATTTTACCTGCATCCCAATGACGGCGTATATAAAGAAGAGCATAACGATGAGGAGAGCCACGTATGGCAAAGCCTGAAAAACACACCAACTTTTAAAACACATTTCAATCATGCGCATTTCGTTAAAATGAGACATTTTCCTGCCTAGCATTCGTCTGTATATTCATATAATCAATAAACATGAATAATATCAGTTTATAAGATCAATTTTCTATTAAAAATGTACAGGGTCACTGCCGACCTGAGATATGTAATCATGTAGTTTTTCCTCCTTCCTATATAGTTTAGTTCTATAACGAATCCTAATCAATCTTAATTTCGGTGAAGCGACTATGTAAAGAGCTAAAATATATGAAGTTAAGTTGGCGATCAGTCTCTCAGCACAGTTTAAGACATCTTCATTATATAATCATAAAGACGCAGCAGTTCATTAAACCTGGAATGATTTGATGAAGGTCCACAGCAGGTTACGAATGCCTTCAAAACGGTTGAGGAGTTTCACCAAACGCATGACGCGGAAGAGCCGGAAGAGTGTGATGGAAACACTCATGTTCTCCGAGTCCTGAAGAACAGACACAGTGCTTTAAACACCAGTGTAGAGGCTTTTATTATCGTGAAAACTTTTATTAAATCTCCACTTACTGCTATAGCCTGCATTGGATTCACTTCCTGAAAGGAAAGAGAAAATACAGTTTTGGTCAGAATTATTCTTTTTCAGTATTTCCCAAATGATGCTTAACAGAGCAAGGAATTTTTCACAGTATAAATGTTTGTGTGTATTTACAGAGCAGCCGGTGAGGCAGTAGAGTCCGCCCTGAGCCGCGAGAGCCGCCTGGAGAAGAAGAAAGTACAGAAAAGAGGAATAAATACACACATCCACAGTCACTGAGAACAGTAGAACAGGTAAAGCCCACTATTTTTAACTGTACTTATGAAGAAGTTTGTGAAACTTACGTCAATTTCACTGAGTATTACGTCAACAATACTGCCGACCACAATCACAAAATCAAAGACGTTCCAGGGGTCTCCGAAGTATCCCTATGAGAGAAAGATTTAAGGCTGTATGTGCGCCGTGTATACTTATGTACTTTTATACACACACACACACACACACACACACACACACACACACACACACACACAAACACACAAACACACACAAAAACATGTATATACTTTTATATTTACAAATTTACATATATTTTTTATTTATATTATTGCTTTTAACAATTAATCACAATTAAACAAATACAAAATAAAGTTTGTCTATATATTTTTATATATTTAAATACATAGAGTTAAAATTTTTACATAAATATGTGTGTGTGTGTGTGTGTGTGTGTGTGTGTGTTCATTCATTCATTTTCTTGTCGGCTTAATCCCTTTATTAATCCGGGGTCGCCACAGCGGAATAAACCGCCAACTTATCCAGCAAGTTTTTACACAGCGGATGCCCTTCCAGCCGCAACCCGTCTCTGGGAAAGTGTATATATATATATATATATATAAGTGTATTATATATATATATAAACACACACACACACACACACACACACACACACACACATACATGTATATATATATATATATATACACACACACACTCTCTCAAATGATTAATCGTGATTAATCGCCTCAAAAATAAAAGTTTGTATTTACTATACACACACACACACACACACGCACACACACACACAAATCTAGAAAAACAAATATATTAGCATATATATCTATATCAATTAAAATATGTAGATGTTTTATATCTATGTATAACCAAATTTTCTGAAATATATGCATCTACATTTATATACACAACTATATACAGTACACAGAAATATTATGCAAATGAAAACTTGTGGTTTATTGTTTACCAGTACTAAAAGGCAGTGCTCAGCGGTTAATCGTGTCAGAAATATAAGAGGTATTTTCAGAAGTTGTGTCTCACCTTTGCTTTAAATGCGCCAAGTTTGAGGATCATCTCCACTGTGAACAGGACGGTGAAGATGACGTTCAGCGTGTCTGCCAGATCAGTGATGTGATCAGACTGCTTACAGTGCTGAAGGGCAGAGAAATCGCAGATTCAATGTATGAAATATCTTTTAAAAAGCCTTTAAATGTCACTTTAAGCTGTATAGAAGTGTCTTGAAGAATATCTAGTCTAATATTATTCACTGTCATCATGACGAAGAGAAAATAAATCAGTTATTAGAGTTATTAACACTATTATGATTAGAAATGGGTTAAATCTTTACTTCGTTAAATAGAAATTGGGGAAAAATATACATGAGGGCTAATAATTCTGAATTTAACTGTATATATGTATGGGTATATATATCCTTTTTCCTTTTTATATGTTACAAAACAATCTATAAAAACTAAGTGAATAATAATAACAATATTGATAATAAAGTGAAAGTTCATCATTTGCATCATTATTGTTCATTATTGTTGTTTTTTTTTAGAGGTCATGAACTGAGAACCCAAAATCTTCTTGACATATAAGAGCTCTCGGTACTATTAAATACACGAACACACTTTGTGGTTGCTCTAAAATCAGCTGATACTGAAGACTAAGGGCTCTATTTTGACGCAGGGCGCAAACGCTTTTAGGGCATGTCAGGACGCATTTTTGCTAATTTAAGGACGGGAAATCTGCCTTGTGTTGCGGCGTATGGTCTAAAAGGGTTGAGTTTATTTTCTTAATGAGTTAGAGGTGTGTTTTTAGAAGCTTTAAGAGCCAGCTGCGTCTCGCCAAGAGCGCATTCACCATTTACAGGACGCAAAGTAAGTCTAAGTGGAAAAAATGAGCATTTCACAAGCAAACAGTTCACAGTTTATTAACAGAAAACTGTTAAACAGAGCATCTACTGCGTGAGAATGAGAGGTAAATGATCTACTTTCACTTTCGCTCTTGGATAGGGAAACCTTTACGCACAGACACCAATTAGCCTATAAATAATTAATTGCGTTTGTTAAGCGCAAATATTCATTTCAAAACTATTTCTAAATTCAGTTCTAATTTCCAGCAAACGAATAAATGAATAATAATAATGAAGTGTGCTCAAAAACCTGAGTTATATCCTAATACACACATGCTGTGCCCCACATGGTCTAAAACCTGCAGATGGGCAAATCTAAGCTTGTTTTTAATAAAACAAATATAAATATGGATATAATAAATAATACTGCTAATAATAATAACATTATACAAAAGCAAATTGTTATGAATGAACTGAAAAAGCCCGAGATGAAGAAGACATAAAAGCAGTGATTTTCATATTTATGTAGGCTAGAAAATAATGTTTTGTAATATTTTAATCCTTTATATTTATATTCTATATCTATTCTTATTATATCCTCTATATATCCTTAATATTTAAATGTTTTCATATGTAAAGATATTTGCCTATTGCTCTCTTGTGTGTATTAAGCAGTGTGTAAGCGAGGCGCAGCTCTGCGCTGGAGTTTAGACCGGGTTTGTTTTGGTCTAATGAAAAATCTATTATAGTTTCTCAAAATAGCAACGCGCCAGCGGTCCACCTCAGAGCGCCTACTTTTTAGAGCAGAACGCCTATGAGCACACAAATGAGCGCTAATGCATTTGCTATTTAAACAGCGTAGCGCAACGCCTCAAAACCCTAAATGTACGGCTGTCTTTTCATACCTGCATCCCGAGGCACATGGTGTTGAGCATGATGAGGAGGAACATCAGGTACTCAAAGTAGCAGGAGGTGACGATGTACCAGACCTGGTACTGGTAGGGGTTTTTGGGGATGTAGCACCTCAGGGGTCGAGCTTTGAGGGCGTACTGGACACACTGACGCTAGCCAAGACAACAGAACGACACATTAGACAGCATTTGATGCCATTTTCATTTGAAAGGAGACCTATTCTGCCACTAAATGCATCTCTGCTGTCTCTATAGTGTGTGTGTTTGAGTCTGAGCTGAGAACAGCACACAGATGATGTCCTCCAGCTCTCTGAAACTGACCCTTTCAGGCTTTGATCCTAATTGTGGCGTTTTGGTGACTGTCGCTTTAAATGCAAATGAGATTGTGCTCTATTCGGAAGAGGGAAGAGCTACAGAGGCCTGTGATGTAAAGCAGCAGTGTGTGTGTTGCGAGTGCTGGTCATGTGTGAGTTTGTTGATGCTTCTGTCAGTCTATGTCTCTGTTCATCTAGAACTCCACATCTATCATCCTCTTAGTCTATGCTGACATCATCTTCAGCAGCTCAAACACTCTAATGGCGAATGGACAGTCGGCTGCTTCTCACTCAGGGCTGCTGGAGATGCTAATGAGGAAGAGAAATGCATGACAAAACATGTTTATGTTAAGAGATGCTGAGTCTGTTTAAATTGCGATGCACTTCTTGTCTTGTAAATCGTGGGTGATGATAGGTCTCCTCTACGATGCGGCACAGTATTGTAATGGATTACCTGGTTTTTGTCCAGTTCGCAGTTCTTGTACTCCTGCTCGCCCTGTTCCTGGAAGGTGACGATGACGAAGCCCACAAAGATGTTCATCATGAAGAAGGCGATGAGGATCAGGTAGACGATGAAGAAGATGGAGATCTCGATGTGGTTGTTGTAAACAGGGCCCATGTTTTCCAGATTCGAGTCGATGGCTTTGTAGAGCAAGCTGCGGATACAGGTACAGTTAGGAGAGCATATATGTGTGTGTGTATATACAGTGCTCAGCATATACAGTTGAAGTCAGAATTATTAGCCCACATGTTTATTTGTTTTCCTCAGTTTCTTTTTACCGGAGAGAAGGTTTTTTTCAATACATTTTCAGTCATAATACACTCTAAAACTATTGTTATACAAAACAAAACAAAAAATGAATGCAACAGTGTGCATTAATAGTTGTTTAAGTTGTTTAATTTTTTATTTGTTTTCAAATTTACTGTTCATGCTTGTTAGAAATGCATTTAACAACATTCTTGTTTTTAGGTTTATTTTTATTTGTATTAAACCCAACACAATCTCACGGCAATTCGTAACTTTTTCATTTAGTGGCTAATTCGTATGAATTCGTACGATGTAATTCGTACCATTTAGTACGATTTGCTCATCCCCCAATGACAGTTGGGGTTAGGGGTGGGGTTAGGTGCCACGCCTCTTTTTTAAAATCGTACCATTTCGTACGACTAAACTCGTACGAATTCGTACGAATTAGCCACTGAACTGGCAAAACGTAAAATACTTACATTTTCTCGTGAGATCAGGCTAATTAAACCACAGGTTTTCATTGTTTTACAAAACAAAAACATGTACTGTCTCATATTATCAATATAAAAAATAACAACGAACATCAGTGTATAGACTTAAAAATACAAAACAACTCCATTAGTGTGGAAAAACTGAGTTATCAACCCAATTTCTTTGGGTTGCTGCAAGTTAGATATTGTTTTAGAGAAACTGACAGATAAATTTACCTTTAAATTAGCCGCATTTTTAAATTGATATCATTATCAATATTTTCCTGTTTTAAAAACTTAATAAAAGTATTCTGGCAACTTAAAAGTTTTAATGTAATCAGCATTTTAGAATTTTTAAGTTACAATAATGCATTAAGCTATAGTGCTAACAATGTTTGGAGTTATTTTTTTTTTAGAGTGTTTAATAAAAGTCTCTATCTAAGACTAGATATTCTTCAAGACACCTCTATACAGCTTAAAGTGACGTTTAAAGGCTTCACTAGGGTAATTAGTTTAGCTAGGCAGGTTAGGGTAATTAGGCAAGTTACTGTATAACGATGGTTTGTTCTGGAGACTATCGAAAAAAGATACAGCTTAAAGAGGCTAATAATATAGACCTTAAAATGGTGTTTAAACAATTTAAAACTGCTTTTATTCTAGCTGAAATAAAACAAATAAGACTTTCTCCAGAAGAACAAATATTATCGGAAATACTGTGAACATTTCCTGAATCTGTTCAACATCATTTGGGAAATATTTAAAATAGAAAAAAAATCAAAAGGGGGGTGAATAATTCTGACTTCAACTGTATGTGTGCACCCCGTCACAAATCTCTCTTTTGTTTAATAGGAAGCTTTACAATATTGTATTTGTGCATATACATTAGATTAGTCAGTACTGAAGCCAAATCTGGAGCTCATCTAACAAATAACTTACAATAACGCTCCAAAAACATCAGCCAAATTTATATGGTATAGAAAAATATTAAATGCACATTTTAAAAAAAGAGGAAAAATCGAGAGAACAAAAAAGGGGAAAAATTTAGTTGAAATTTTGTAGGTTGTATTTTTTGCAATATTTTGCTTGAATTTAATTGTATTATCTTTCCATTTTCCAGTTCGATTTGCTGAACTAGTTCAACTGGTTCACTTAAAAGATCCGGTTAAAAAGATTTGTTTGCGATCGCGATACAGAAATAAAACCCAATATTGGGCACAAACGTGTTAAAGTAATAGTTTAAGTGTCTGTATTTAATGCTGTCACCGTGCTGCTGTCATGTCCACTCGTTGTTTTTGTGGCGGGAGCAACAGAGAGGATGACTGGAGGAGAACCGGCACGATCTGGCCAATGGCAGCAGGATTACAGACTCTGAGGTGCCGTACAGGTCAAACACCTGCAGCGCGAATTATATTTAACGTTACTTCTAAAGGGTTTACAGTAAGATTATGCATTAAATACATTTACAAAGACGAAAATGAAGGAGGTTTTTGCTATAATTTGAGCTAGTTTCAGTTAGTTTTGTATGTACACAACACAGTTTCCGTTCTAGTTTTTTTTTTTTAAACTCTCGTTTTTATTTCAGTTAACGACAATTATTTAGCATTTTAGTTTACGTGTTTTCGTTTGTTTTGTTAACTATAATAACCTTGCAATGGAGTAAGAGAAACAATCTTGTGTTTCCTTTGGACAGAAGATTATTTTGTGCAGATTTCTATGCGTGCAGATTCCTCGTGGGCCTACTAATCACATCACGTTTGTAACTATCTGACTGGGAGCACAGTGTTTGTCTAGTGCGTACTCTGGCCATCCCTCGAATGTGGACACGGTGAAGAGAGCCAGCATGCCGTTCAGAACGTTGTCGAAGTTCAGGTCGCTGTTCATCCACAAGCGTTGACTGACCACCATATCATGAAGAGCGTTCTCCTGATGTTGAATAAACGTTCCCCTGAGAGCGTCACCAAAGCACAGGAGAATGATTTGGAGACTTTAACATTGTGGAGTGAAAGAATAAATACAATGAACGTTTAACCATACTGGCATTCCTCTGCCGTCATTTTCAGCGGGTCTGTGCAGTATAGGAATTTCCCCTGCCAAAAACGAAACACAGATTAAAGGGGTAGTTCACACAAAAATGATCAATTCAGTTATAATTACTTTCCATAATGTCGTGTCAATCCCCTGAGAGCTTCGTTCCTCGTCAGAACACAAAATAAAGATATTTTAGATGAAATCCTGGAGCTCTCTCATCCTCCATAGAACTAATTTTGTGGAACTATTCTTTAAGTCTAGAAATAATAACTAAGTTGAAGTGTCTGTGTGAACTTCCTGACCTTGAAAAGTTGGACGCCGATGCAGGCGAACATGAAATCCAGGAGCATGGTGACTAAAACGATGTTGCCGATGGTCTTGATGGCCACAAACACACACTGGACCACATGCTGAATGAAAGCAGAGACAGAGATGGATGAACAGAGGATTAACGTTTCTATTGTAGCACTCCCTAATCTGTAAGAGAACTTACTTTGAGGCCTTTGGCTCGATTGATAGCCCTTAAAGGCCTCAATACTCTCAAGACCCTCAAGATCTTCACTACTGAGATGGCACTTGATCTGCGGAGAAACGTCAGGACTTTGGAACAGCGTCATTTTGTCACTACAAAGTTGTTTGTACTCTAGTGCCTTGCTTCCACTGAGCGGGCAGTACAGTACAGTACAATTCCCTACAGGAAGGCTCGTGCTTTCACTCCCTCTGACTTTATTCTGCAATGCGGAAGGGTGCTCGTTTTAGTGACTGCTTTAGAACTTCCGAATCAGTCAAAAGTTTTACTTTGGATGTAATAAATTGTGATGTATTTGCATATTGTTTGCAAATATTTGAGAAATGCACCAACATTATAGCCTCCTTCAATAGCCCCTTTCACACATACACATCTTTCCAGAAAATTACCAGCAATTTTCCGGAAAGGTCTGTATGTGTGAACAGGCCCTTTTTAAAAATACCAGTAAATCCAACCCAGGCTCAATCTGAAAACGTAGTCCGGCGGACATTTCTGGAGACCCGGGAGGTACATATTTGTGCAGTTTTTGTTTTCGCGAATCTGCGAGAGTCCGCTGTGCGTGATTTTTCGTATCTCGAACGTCTCTCGCGAGTGCCGTTCGCACCCGCGATGTTCTCGCGTCAACCCACCAGAGGCCGCTGTCTGACTGACCGAATGATTGACTGCGCGACCGGCTTATCGGCTGACCCACCCTCCTCCTTCCCTGAACCCAACCAGTTTTATCGATTGACCCGCCCGCCCGCTCACGTCCCTAAACCCGAGCAACAATTTAGAAAAGCCGTCTAGAAAAAGAAAAACCCTCGTCTGTTTTTCAGATTTCACCGCATTCTCACCCTGTTATGAACTCGTTCGCTTTAATTTTTGGATTCTGTTTTTGTCTTACCTGATTTCTGGAACCGCTCTTCCCTGCACTCGAACCCGGACACCTTTGTCAACCCCTCCTCTCTGCATCTGAAGTCCGCCAATGCACACGATGAGCTAACCGGACAAACTGACTGCAGCGGGAAAGCCCTCCACACGGAGGTAAGCGGTCAGCCGGCAAGCGCGAAAGGGAACGGCGTCACACCGCCCCGTAGCGTTCGCCCGTGACATATTTTGCGGTCTCCAGAAACGTCCGCTGGACTACGTTTTCAGAATGAGCCTGGGTTGGGTAAATCAGTTATGGCTATTTTCCGGAAAGAGAAGTTGTAACATTACCAGTAATTTTCCGGAATGCTGCGCTGTGTGAACGCAGAAGGAAGATTGCCGGAAAGAGCGCGTTCACGTCTAGAACGTGCTGAAGTGAGACATCTACTTTAGCCAATCGGAACAGTCAGACGCACTCATGTCCATTTGGTTCATGAAAATAAAAGCCTTTGAATGTTCTTCCATACACATTTTTGTTAGCCAGATAACGTTTTTATGTTGCTTCCTAATGCCAACTGTGTAAATAATTATCTATTCGATGCTTATCATAAGCCGTTGTTTGTTTACCTTTAAGCCCTGCTTCCTTCAGTTTCTTGACGTGTGTGCCCGTAAAGCAGCCCGTGAGCGCCAGCACACATGTATTACGAACATCTCGACATGCGAAAGTGTCCCTCTATATATTTTTATCAAAGTTGTTTACAATACTGATCAATCCACAGAGTTTGTGATGTAGTCAAATGTTTACAAATACAAGCGCAGCCGTTTAGAGCTCTTTTCTGGTTAATGATGACAGAATTTACTGGTATTTTGGAATGGTTGTGTGAATGGTCTTTCCAAAACATCCGTAACGTCCTCGCTTGTGTAAACAGCACTTTTTTGAAGTTACCGGTAAAATCGTCCGGAAATTTTCTGGATATTTACCGATATCACTGTGTGAAAGGGGCTTTTGTGTTCCCGCTTGACTTGAATCATTTGCATGGTTTCGTCACTTCAGTTTGGGTCCTCGCATTCCGAATTGTTGCTGAAGAACCAATCGCAATAGTCTCTTTCGAAATGCCTGACTCTACATATTGAATAAGGCAAAATCTTCACATTATTCTGCTGTACATTTCACTTTTTGTAAGGCTTCTACACAAATTCTATGAATCAGACCCCTGCTCTTTCCAGAAGAGTGCCAAAAAAAGTGGTACAGATTACTTTTTTACTCCTAACCCTTACTTTGACAGTAAATGGAAATAAATTCACACCATATTGTACTGTACCGAACCGTAACACTCAGTGTAAATGAGCCTTAAGTCTGCTTTATGTGTCAACACAAGACTGGACTGCTTTAAAATCTCACTCCATTCCCATTGACAGCAGCGAGACGCCGACCACAATCAGGTCCAGGATGTTGAAGGAGTTTCGGCAGAAGGAACCCTTGTGTAGGAACGCACCGTACGTTGTCATCTACAAGAGACGGAGTACTCAACAACTCGCAGAACACAAAGGCTAGCTACGCAGAACACACACCAAACACACCATCCCCACCTTCAGCACAATCTCTGCAGTAAAGACTGAAGTGAAGACGTAATCAGCGTAGGCCAGGACCTGCGGGGTAGAGGAGAGCATCATGTTGAAGACAATGGCAAGTTAAGTTGTGACAAAGACTAAGGAAATCACAAGACATGTCAGTCATATTGACTTTATTCTGCGATGTGGAAGTGTGCTCGCTTTTGCGATCGTTTTAGTACTTCCGATTCGTTTTCCGATAGAGAAATGACTATGAACGGTTACACTGCTTGCTCTACAAACTAGTTTGTTCATGACTACACGTAAAAAGTGCAATAATATAGTAAGAAAATATCGGCAGCAGAATGAGCGGTTTTAATGTTAAATAATCAATAGAAGTGAATAAGAGCAGAAGCCTTGAGCCCGAAAAAACTCCAATGCCTGCACCTACTTGAACAAGGTCAATATTTTTTAATGAGGGAAAGTGTAACGTCAACATCCCTAATGAAGTGCGGCTACTACAGCAGCCAATCTTCGACTGAGGGAAGGGTGTTGGTGAAGACGTGTTTAGGACAGTTTCTGCAGCTTCATTATGAATCCTCTGGGGTCAACAAACACACTGGTATATTAGTGAACACTTGCTTCAAGCACATGATTTAGCTGGCATCTTGCTCTCTGCAACTCTCACATGGTCACCCACTGAAGATAAGCAGGGCAGCGCCTGGTCAGTACCTGGATGGGAGACCACATGGGAAATCTAGGTTGCTGCCGGAAGTGGTGTTAGTGAGGCCAGCAAGGGGCGCTCAACCTGCGGTCTGTGTGGGTCCTAATGCCCCAGTATAGTGACGGGGACTCTATACTGCTCAGTGAGCGCCGTCTTTCGGATGAGACGTTAAACCGAGGTCCCGACTCTCTGTGGTCATTAAAAATCCCAGGATGTTCTTCAAAAAAAGAGTAGGGGATTAACCCCGGCATCCTGGCCAAATCTGCCCACTGGCCTCCATCCATCAAGGCCTTTTAACCATCCCCATATCATAATTGGCTTCATCACTCTCGCTCCTCTCCATCAATCAGCTGGTGTGTGTTGTGCGCAAAATAACTGCAAAATGGCTGCCGTTGCATCATCCAGGTGGATGCTGCACACTGGTGGTGGATGAGGAGATTCCTGATATGTGTAAAGCACTTTGAGTGCCCAGAAAAGCGCTATATAAATTAAAGGAATTATTATTATTATTATTATTATTATGAGAAATATATTCACAGAAAGCTTGAAATCTCTAAAGCTTAAACCCAACCAACTAAACTTGAAAACAAATCTATTTTGGTTTTGTTATCTGCATGAAACGACCTCGAGGTACAGTCAAGTGCCGCCAAACGCAGATCACATGACTGCAACTACTAAAACGCCTACAAACGTGTAAACAAAGAGTCGCCGTCATATTGGGAGGAGATTTCCCATTTAGACCAAGTTGGGAATTACTTCAGATGACAGGTGCGATCAGATGAGGCATTATTCAGAGAATGAATAAAAGAAGTTGGCATCTAATCTAGTGGCCGTCAAGTGTGTATTAGCTCAGACAACCTGAAAAAAGCAGACTTCATTTGATTTGGACGTTTAGAAACTTAGCTTAAGTTACACTTGATGTTTAACTTCATTAGTGATTCCAATTATGAAGTTTAAAGGGCCATGAAACCCCCTCGTTTCAGCAGGGTGTTTTCACACCTCTACTTTGGAAAAAGTCAGAAAAGTGGGCGTGTCCAGCTCTGTTTAGGGGGGAGTGTCGGAGGAAGAAAAGAGGCTTGGTGTGGGAGTGTCTATTTGGGCACGCTGAATTTCAGAGTCAAAACACACAACCACAGCGGACAATGTGACTGTGTTTACATGGACATCTGTAGTCGAATTATTTGCCAAATGATTAAATGGTGGACTTTAACTACAGTTTGGCTCTTTCATTCAGGGAATTCATTCATGTCCCTCCCGACAAACGAGATATTTGATTCGAGGAGCTGCTCTAAGCGTGTATTTTTCATGCAATGTTTGATACCGCACGGCGAATGAGAGAAAAAAAAAACTCAGCATTTCCCGGAAACTTAGATGCACACGGCAGGTAGCGTCAGAAAGCCGCGTGTGTTATTCCGGTCACAAAATCCAACACAAGGTTATAGTTTGGTTGTAGTGCTAACTTGTTTACACTCGGTGCAATAGTTTGTTTGATACGAATAAAATACGAACTGAATAAACAAAGAGCACTGGTCACTCACTTACCAAATCTGTAGAGACAGGACAATCACCAGCAACTAGAGCCGCGTCTTTATTAAGAGGAGACTAAAGCGAATCCGGATCTCAGTGTTTGCAGATGAGAACAGCTCTCAGGTAAACAATGTTCCTCCTTAGACACGTAAGTTATTGTTGTCGAGCGTCGCGTACACTGTTAATCCACACGTGACTCCAGCTGCGCTCTCACAGAGAGAAAATGAAAACAAAACTTCACTGCAGCAAACTATAAAAGCAACACTTCACGCTTGTTTTGCCAACACAACGTGGCGACTCTGCCGTCTAAACACTGTGACAGTAATGAATATTAATGAAGTTGCACAATAGAGCGCGCTGATTGGTTTGAACCAAGCTTTACTCATGCATTAATGCAGCACACTGTAAGACGTAATAAGACACACTCTGGCACAGACGTCCAGTCTGCACGCTGGAATACACACTATTATGTCATGACCGTGACGCAGCTCCAAAAATTCGTTTCAAATCGGAAGTACGAATTTGCTTGAAATAACGCAAAAACAACCAATTTACACTTTTTAGTAAAATATAGGTGTCCTAATAGTGTTTTAGCAGTGTGGGACACATATACCACTGCCAACAGCTCAACACATGTGTTCTGGTGTTTCGTGACCCTTTAATCATTCGCTTGGGATCAATTTTGCAGAATTTGATGTTTCCCAATTCAAACAGAATGCCAGAGAGGAGTTTCAGTGATGGCCGCTGAGTGAAATCACTTGCTTTGAAAGGACTTTAATTGAGATGAGTGTGTGTGGGGATGCTTTCACACCTGTAGATCGATTGTTTTTTTTTTTTTTTGTAAAACGGGGATTACAATAGTTACTATGTTACTACATTTCGTTCTTGGTGTGGTTCACTTTCACAAAGTTTCTAAACAGACCAAAACAGTTCAAACGTGCGAGTAAACTCTCCTCACATTGGTCAGAGTTGGATTTATTTTCCGGGATTCTGCTCAGATGAAACATTATGAGTCAAAAGGTGTGCTTTTGTTTTGAATCAGAGGTCAGACTTTCTCATATATAGCCTCATTTCAATTTTCAAGGGTTGTAAAATATAAATCGATTCTATATCAGAAGTCAAGTCAACCAAAGTGTTAATGATATTATATATATATATTTTTTAATAGTTCAGTTCGACAGCATGCTTTCACTTCCGTATTCGACCATATGCCTATTACATATCCATAACACACTGTGATATAGCCTCGTTTTGCTTTCTCCCTACAATTAATCCGCTCTAGAGTTCATCTGAGCTGAGACCACCTCATTCAGGCGATCTCGGACCAGTTGTTTTGATTTGTTTTGATTGCGGGTTTCACATGAACACGCCAGGTTCCCAAACAAACGTCTGAGAGATTCTACACCTGGTTCCTGAAGGACATGGGGTCGATGGGATCCTCCGCAGCCAGAGAGATACTGCTGAGCAGGATGAAGAGGAGGATGATGTTGGTGAAGGTCGTGGCGTTTATGATGCGATGGCAGAGTTTGCGGAACCTGAGCGGAGAAAACCTGATTGTAAGTTTCTGGTGGATCGAGAGATGTGTTTTACTGAAGAAGCATCCTTGTCAAAATTGACAGCAAGTGCCAGCGTAACCTAATGAGCTGTATATCAGTGTGATGTGAAAGCAGGAATGTTTCTGTACTTGTTCTGCGGGCCAAAGAGGAAGAAAGCGCTGGCCTCCGGCATGGGCACCTCTGTCTCCTTCAGCTGCAGGTCTGCCATTGGTCGAGGCCGAGGACTAAGCGGGATCTCTGGCTCCTCCTCCTCATCATCACCTGGCCAACAGGTAAAATACAAGATGTCAGACTGAGTCAATGGAAGGATTACACCCTGTCCTAACAACACGCGACACGATTCCAGTCAACCAACTGTTTGCGACAGAAACATTTGGTTGCACTCTCAACCAAATGGTAAGGGATATAATCTAATTCAGGGGTGACCAACCCTGTTGCTGGAGATCTACCTTCCTGCAGATTTCAGTTGCAACCCATATCAAACACACCTGCCTGTAATTATCAAGAGCTGTTCAGGTCCTAATTAATTGGTTCGGGTGTGTTTGAGCAGGGTTGGAGCTGAACTTTCCAGGAAGGTAGATCTCCAGGAACAGGGTTGAGCACCACTGATCTAATTAATATATATTAAGGGTGACACGGTGGCGTAGTGGGTAGCACTGTGGCCTCACAGCAAGAAGGTTGCTGGTTTCAGTCCCAGCTGGGTCAGATGGCGTTTCTATGTGGAGTTTGCATGTTCTCCTCGTGTTGGCTTGCTCCGGTTTCCGCCACAGTCCAAACACTTGCGCTGTAGGGGAGTTGGGTAATCTAAATTGTCTGTAGTGTATGTGTGTATGTCCTGGTCCTCCAGATTGGGGGTTGATTGTTGGGCTAACAACCCACCTCATAAAAACTAGATGTTCCGAAACACCAATATAGTGCGGTTAAATATCAACTCCCATATAAATGGCGCTGGAAGTAAGTAAGTAATATATATTAAAGCTCTTTAGCATCAGCAATAGGCCACTGAGTGACTGCTGCTGTTGGTTTGCACTGAATCACAGTTCTGACTCATTCTCAAACCGTCTGCTCGCTATTTTATTGTCAAGATCCGAGGTGAACTATCTGCTGCTGCCTTCAGTATGAAAGTACATGTTAGATAAATGGTATTTAAGCTCCCATTGGCAGCATGCAGTTCTGAATAAAGCATTGTTTACCTGGGAAATCAGCAGGAGGAAACGGATCTTTGATCTCGTTCACATTCGATTCAAATTCGTCCACTTTTAGCTGCACGAGAACAAAGACACTCATCAGTCTGAGTAATAATAAGCATGTTTTAACTTTAACAATCCTAACATCAACCATGTTTTCCAAACTTAAGATTATTTACTTATTTATTTTTTGTTTGAGGGCAAAAAGACGTTTGAAAGGGCTTATTGGTGGAATATGTTGTTTTCAAAATTCAGCTGGAACCAGTCTGGCCATTCTCCTCTGACCTCTGGCCTCATCAACAAGGCATTTGCGCCCACAGAACTGCTGCTCACTGGATATTTCCTCTTTGTCGGAGCATTCTCTGTAAAGCCTAGAGATGGTTGTGCGTGAAAATCCCAGTAGATCAGCAGTTTCTGAAATACTCAGAGCAGCCCGTCTGGCAACAACAACCATGCCACGTTCAAAGTCTCTTAAATCCCCTTTCTTCTCCATTCTGATGCTCGCTCTGAACTGCAGCAGATCATCTTGACCATGTCAACATGCCTAAATGCAGTGAGCTGCTGCCATGTGATTGGCTGATTAGAAATTTGCATTAATGAGCAGTTAAGCTCGCTAAAACAAACTTGCCCGAAATGTTGGCTGTGGTGAGCTGTTTTAATCTGTCGAAACAAATTCATAACAAACTTTTGCACTTCAAATTGATTTCAAGTATACCGGGTGTCTTTAGCGTGCTAGCGTCAGTATGATAATGGTTCAAATATACTGAAAAAGACAAAATCTGCAGTTTTTTAACCTTGGCTGTGGTGGGAATTCCATCAATCTTGGCTCTCTGCTCCGCTAGTTTCTTTGCTAGCAGGGCCTTTTCCTCCTCGCCCTTGTCTGGCAGATTTTCTCTAAACCAAGAACAAACTAAACATCAGAAGTGTAAAAACAATATTGTGTTTCGTACTAAAATGTACACCAAATTTACGAAAAAAAGTCAAGATCAACTTATAGCACATGTACGCAGTAAATGTTTTCAGTACATTTACTCTGAAGATGAGCATCAACACTCTTGCAGTGCGTTACACTCAACTTCCACATATGTGATCTATAACTCTGTCGTAACATGCCCGTGGAAAGGCATCGTAAGTAGAGATTGGTGCTGTTTTATAGACTGCACTCTCGCTAAGAGTGACCAATGACTATTCAGTCGTTTAAGGTTGCTCAGAGAAGTCCTGGTTGATTTCTGAAACTTTTTTAATAGTAATTTTTTTATGGCTTCGACATCCGACAGCAAAACTTTACTACAAACTTTACGTTCATTATTGCTATATATATATATATATATATATATATCTTTCTCTTTTGTTTCGGTGCTATAATTGTTTATCCCTGGACGAGGTAGTTGGAGCTGTTGTGGGCGTGTGTTAATGCAAATAACTAACTTGTGAAAGCCCTTAAATGGAGCTGTTTTGGGTGTATATTATGCAAATTATTAATCTCAGAAAGCCCTTAAATGGAGTTGGTGTGGGTGTGTTTTATGCAAATTTCTAACCTCTGAAAGCCCCTAAATGGAGCTGTTGTGGGTGTGTATTATGCAAATTACTAACTTCAAAAAAGCCCTTAAATGGAACTGTTGTGGGTGTGTTTTATGCAAATTTCTAACCTCTGAAAGCCCTTAAATGGAGTTGGTTTGGGTTTGTATTATGCAAATTACCAACTTCAAAAAGCCCTTAAATGGAGCTGTTGTGGGCGTGTTTCATGCAAATGACTTACTTGTAAAAGCCCTTAAATGGAGCTGTTTTGGGTGTGTATTATGCAAATTATTAACCTTAGAAAGCCCTTAAATGGAGTTGGTGTGGGTGTGTATTATGCAAATTACAAACATCTGAAAGCCCTTAAATGGAGCTGTTGTGGGCGTGTATTATGCAAATGACTAATCTCAGAAAGCCCTTAAATGGAGGTGGTGTGGGTGTGTATTATGCAAATTACTAACTTCAAAAGCCCTTAAATGGAGGTGGTGTGGGTGTGTATTATGCAAATTACAAACATCTGAAAGCCCTTAAATGGAGCTGTTGTGGGTGTGTTTTATGCAAATGACTAATCTCAGAAAGCCCTTAAATGGAGGTGGTGTGGGTGTGTATTATGCAAATTACTAACTTCAAAAAAGCCCTTAAATGGAGCTGTTTTGGGTGTGTTTTATGCAAATGACTAATCTCAGAAAGCCCTTAAATGGAGTTGGTGTGGGTGTGTATTATGCAAATGACTAATCTCAGAAAGCCCTTAAATGGAGTTGGTGTAGGTGTGTATTATGCAAATTACAAACCTCTGAAAGCCCTTAAATGAAGTTGGTGTGGGTGTGTTTTATGCAAATGCCTAATGTCAGAAAGCCCTTAAATGGAGCTGTTGTGGGCGTGTTTTATGCAAATAACTTACTTGTAAAAGCCCTTAAATGGAGTTGGTGTGGGTGTGTATTATGCAAATTACTAACTTCAGAAAGCCCTTAAACGGAGCTGGTGTGGGTGTGTATTATGCAAATTACAAACCTCTGAAAGCCCTTAAATGGAGCTGTTTTGGGCGTGTTTTATGCAAATGACTAACCTCATGCAGGCAGGCACTCATTTAGAAGACTGCAAATTCAGGAGAATGAGTTTATGGACAAGTTGTGTGTACGAAGGTGTTGCAAATTTGGCGCACAGTTCAAATGTGTCTATAAATATAAAAAATGTACACAATTATAGTGTATGAGACCCATTGTTCCTGCTATATGACCATCATCACTCACCTAAGAAGCCTTTTCCGCTTCTTCTCCTCTGCTTTTTCCTTCTGCGCAGAGGTCAGACTCTCCGCCTCGGCCAGATTATCCACCGCTATTGCTAAAAACACATTCAGGAGGATGTCTGCGGTTGATCATTCAGGATAATTGACGTTCTCTTCTCCTCGCCGTTCCTAAAACTCGCACATGAATGAAGGATACAGTTCCCACAGATGAACAGAATGATGAAGTAAATGCTGACCAGGATTCCAGGTATGGCAGGACCTCCGTGAGCCATGATGCCGTCGTACATGACATAGTTCCAGCCTTCGCCTGTCAGGATCTAAAGCAGAAGTTATGAGATACCAGAGCAGGACAGTCATTCAGTTCATTTCACAACAAGGGACATTAATCAGCGGGGTTCCACAATGCTGGGTTACACCTAATGCAGAATTAAGTATTGAGTAAGTATTCGTCCGGCTCATTTCAGCCACGATTTGGTCGTCCAAGACAAATTTGAGAAATCCTAAAAGATTCCAGTAATCCTAGACTAAAATCTGTGATTTGGATTGACATGCTCATCGACAGCCGCTTAACCGTTGTCATCAAACCAACAACCAATAGGATCTCAGAATCTAATGATGCAATCAGCACGACAAAATTACCGCTACAGATTATTTATGTGTGCTGTGGGGTATTATATCAGAACACGGCATAGTGAAAGTGTCACGAATGGACGATGGCAAACTACGGGTGAGTTTTCTTCTGTTTGGCGCGCCTTTATTGTTATTCAGGCTGACATTATGACAGCTGAGATCTTAGTGTAAAATGAGAGCCAGGTTTGTTCAATCTAACATAGCTACAATTCTTTAGGATTATTAAAAAGCACACAAGTGTGCCGTGCTTGAGTTACATACAACGTAAATGCAAACACGCTAGCAGGGGCGAATTACTGTCGAATGTGTGATGCGTTTGCAGTGGAAATGTGGAAACTGCATCCCATATATTGCGCAAGTTTAAATAAATTAACTTGAGTGAAAAATTAGCATGAGTAACAAAACATCCCATGAGTAAACTAGAGCAAGTGACTGTCCCTTTGCAATAAATGCAAAGTACAATATAAAATTTCATATATGCAACATATTTAAGAAAATAGAGAAACGTGATTGTTTTTATATATTTATAAACAGGCTTGGATTGGCTAATCGGGAGGACCGGGAAAATTCCCGGTTGACCAGTCCGTTTTTTGGCCGTGAGGGCCGGTGTCCCTAGCTGCTTGCACTCTCAGCAGTCGCACTTTTTAAAATTTTTTAATTTATTTGACAATAGTCTCACTCTTTTTATTCATTATTTTGCCGCAGCTCCGCGCTTTCTATTTATTTTCTCGCAGCCCCGTGAGCAAAATGCAGCCTGCAGGTTAATGATGACGTAAAAATTATTCGACCCCAAACAGCGGCACCTTAGTGAATATAAGAATTCGAATAATTAATATTAATGAATATTACACCTGCTCAATGAAAATCAGATGATTTACTACATTAATAAATCTGACATAAACTGATCAGAAATCTAGAAAGGGGAGAAAAAGATTAAGTCGTCAATAGACAAATTCTACTATAGCGCCATTGTGGTCCAGTGCTCAGCATGTTGCGTTACCACACTCCAGGACCCGAGTTTGATCCTGACCTATCTAATTGAATTTATTTTTTATTTTTTTTTCATTTTTATTGTTAAGACATATAATACTGTTTGGGTTGTTGAACATTTCAACTTATAAAGCAGCTGTTTTCTTGACAAATCCATGATCGTGTCATTAGAAACTGAATTCCAAATGACCTTATTTTAATATAGTCAGTCGTGAACTGAGGTGGGCCGGTCTAAGGCTTGAAACTCCAGGGCTGAAAAGGAGTCCCACGCCGGCCCTGTTTATAACCATTGGAACTACAAAATATATGATTACATATGATGGTGTACTAGATTATGTCTTATATATGAACACAAAATTATTGGTAATAAATATGAACATACTGTAATTCCAATGGTTGAAAAATAACATCGGCCTAGCTGTCACTCATGGTCACGGCCTAAATTATGTAGAATTTTAAGGCTTAATTGACATGAAACAGATGAGTTGTAAAAAAGTTTACGCCTCTCACAGTTGTCTTGAAGTGTAAAATCAGCTGTATACACCAAAATACTTTTTGTACCAGGCTGTAAACAACTTTTTTTCCTGCTGTGAAGTTGTGTGTTTTAACAATGGAGTCAATGGAAGTTTGCTCTGTGTTGTAGCAAACCCCCAGTGGCCAGTCGATGAATTGCAGTTTCAGTTACTTCTGTCTTAGTAAACTTCAGTATTAAAAAGGAAAGAAAATCACCTGGAAAACTGTTATCAGAGCTTGAGGGAAGTTGTCGAAGTTGCTTCGTCTCACGCGGTCATCTGGAAAATTGAACTTTCCGCCAAAAACCTGCATCCCGAGCAGAGCGAAGATGACTATGAAGAGGAAGAGGAGGAGCAGCAGGGAGGCGATAGAGCGCACTGAGTTCAGGAGCGATGCTACCAGATTACTGAGAGTTGTCCAGTGGCTGAAAAACAACTGCAGTCAATTCTGATGCAAACATTTTACTGACGTAAACTAGCAGATGTCAAAACACATCAAATCAATGCTTATTAATTTAATGTCAAAACCTTGATGTCTATTTGACATCCACACGTTGATGCCCTTTTGACCACCAAAATGATGCAAAAGCATTCTAATATAGGAAAAGCTTCAATTACAAATTTACATTTTTACAAACGACGCATGTAATCTACCTTGAGGTAAAATAACTATTTCTTGTGTTTCGTTTGTTTTATGTTCTTGTTTTTCTTTTAAATTGAAAGCAAAGATGTAAATATGATTGTGATGTGTTATATAGTCACATCTTTAGTACATCTCCAGAAAAAGATTGACGTACCGGGTTATTTTGATGATCCGCAGAAGCCGAATGCAGCGCAGAACGGAGATCCCCATCACAGACATGACGTCCATGCGTACGAGGATGAGCTCCAGGATGCCCACCGACACCACGAAGCAGTCGAAACGGTTGAAGAGTGACATGAAGTATGACGGCAGCCCCATCGCGTACATCTTCAGGAACATCTCCACCGCAAACAGAGACAACAGCGCCTTATTGGTATTGTCTGGAAATAAGGTAAAACAATATACAATTAATAAATCTAGCTAAAGATCATTTAAATATACATTTTTAGTGCTGTTTTGGTGCTTTCACGCCACTATTTTCCTTCAAACTACTTTATTGTTTTTCATGTCTATTGTGATTGGCTACAGTGCAATAATCAGTCCTGTGATTCCCGTCCCATCATACAGAACAATCTCAAGACACAGAAGGACATTAAAGCATTACACGCAAAGACAGAGAGACTGTTCAGGCTGTATGTTACTGATGAGAAGATGACGGATCACCAAATGGCCTTAAACAATCACTAAATGCACTACAGAATGTTACGTTTTCACACACACATGCACAAACTGCATGTAAATGCATCAGCTGTTTATAGTGTAATACAGTGAGTACTTTATAAGGTCTACTTTTAGTAATATTTACAACTGATACTTTTACTCTACTTGCACTACATCGTTGGGTAAGTAATGGTATTTTTACTGGAGTATGATTTTCAGTACTCTTTTCATCACTGGGTGAAAGTGAGGAATGGGCGCAGAACACCTTGGAAGTTGGTGAGCGAGTCGGGCTGCTGATGGTGTTCGGTTGCGATGGCCAGAGTGTTGAAAAACACCAGCAGAATCACCAGCCAATAGAACAGCTTAGACTTCACCCACACACGACACTTCCTCCTGAAGAAACGGTTCCAGCGACGAGCATGCCGACTGTAAAACACACACACACACACACACACACACGAATAAAAGCATTTGTGCTTTAGAAATGGTGAAAAGCCTTGGAGTAACGATTGATGACCAACTAAACTTCTCTGAGCACATCTCTAGAACTGCTCGATCGTGCAGATTCGCACTCTATAACATCAGAAAGATCCGACCCTTCCTATCTGAACATGCAGCTCAACTCCTTGTTCAAGCTCTTGTTCTCTCCAGACTGGATTACTGCAACTCTCTACTAGCCGGGCTTCCAGCTAACTCTATCAAACCTCTTCAGTTGCTTCAGAACGCAGCAGCACGAGTGGTCTTTAATGCACCTAAAAGAGCACATGTCACTCAGCTGCTCATCCGTTTGCACTGGCTGCCAGTTGCTGCTCGCATCAAATTCAAAGCTCTGATGTTTGCTTACAAAGTGACTTCTGGCTTTGCTCCTTCTTATCTGCTCTCACTTCTGCAGATGTATGTGCACTCCAGAAACTTGCGTTCTGTGAATGAACGTCGCCTCGTGGTTCCATCCCAAAGAGGGAAGAAATCACTTTCGCGAACTCTCGCGTTCAATCTGCCCAGTTGGTGGAATGAACTCCCTAACTGCATCAGAACAGCAGAGTCACTCGCTGTCTTCAAGAAACGACTAAAAACTCAACTATTTAGTCTCCACTTCCCTTCCTAATCTGCAATTGCCTCTCTGAATATCACACTAACTGTACCAAAAAAAAAAAAATTACTAATACTTTCATTTTTAGACTTTACAGACCTGAAACTCGCCTACAGCACTTCTTCATTGTTGCTCTTATAGTTGTGTAAATTGCTTCCTTGTCCTCATTTATAAGTCGCTTTGGATAAAAGCGTCTGCTAAATGACTAAATGTAAATGTAAAAATGCAAAGTTCTGTCCTGAAACTCTATGGGAGTGCTCATTTTTAAATCCTTGTCCTTGCTCATATTTGTGTGCTGCTGTGCATCCCTGCATGTGTAATAAGCAGTGTTTATTTTCATTTTTCTTCCTCCACCCTGTGGCGTAGTGGAAAGGTACACCGGGCAAGCAATAGGTCAGGGTTGTTGATTTTGCCAGTTTTATTGAAAAGGAAACTATGCATTCATGTATACATATTCATAACCATGCTAAACCTCAGAGAGTTAGGTAGAAATGTGGGGTAAAGGCTGACTCACACATAAAACATGAGTTTGTTCAATATATCCAGCTCATAGAGGGTCTCTGTTTCAGATCCGTCCTGTAGGGGGAGTAGACCTGTGGAGAACAGAATTGTCAGATGTTAGAATCTAAATCCACTGTGGGATGATTCAAGTCAGTTGTACCTTGTTAAAGTAATTAGTCTTTATTTTAATAATCTAAGCACATGTTTTAAAGCGCATGGTGCTGGTGCTCTCAGGATGTCTGAATCTACTTTTGCTATTTTAAGGACAGGAAAAACAGTCTGTGCTCCGAGCGCATAGTCTAAAAGGGTTGTGCTCATTCTCTTAATGAGCTATGGGTGTGTTTTGGGTGTAGCATGCAGTTAAGAGTTGCTTAATACTAACTGCAGCTTTGGCATGCTGTCCCGAGAAAGAGCACTGCGCTTAGAGCTAATTGAGCCTAGGTCAGTTTAGCAGGCCCCGCCCATGTCCCGTCTGGCTATTCAGCATAAAAGGGGGTCTGAGATCAGGTCGGTCTCGAGAGCTCCCCTTCGTAAAGGAGAAAAAGGGGGAGATGGGGTGGGCGAAGATAAGGTAAGTAAGATGAAATGGGCTGTTTATTGTAGGCTTTGATTCGACTAATTGGTTTTTCAATGATTATAAATGAAAGACCAGCAGCGATCAATCATATCACCTGCTCCTAATTAGTTTATAAAACTTCACTTAAAGCAATCAGAGTTTCATCTCCCGTTCCCTTTGAGAGCAAGTTGCAGTTTTACAATGGCACATTCGCTAAAACCTGCGTGCTTTACTAGCAATATTTAATTAGCCAATGTCATTTGTCATTTTGGTAGGTGGGCTAATTTTGAAACATGCAATAGCTATCCATTACGACATGGAGGCATTTCATATTCATGTAGAAAATAAAAACATTTTACATTTTAATCCTTTAATTTTTCAAGTGTAAATATATTTGTGTGCTGCTGCGCATCCCTGTGTGTGTAATAAGCAACGCGTATGTGTAATTTGGACCTGCATATCACTAACGCTCACATGCAAGAGTTCACACTCAGCTGATGATTGATTATAAAAATAGTTTGGGCACCCAGGAGAGAGCCCTGAGCTCATAAGATCCTCGAGCCCGGGGCTCCCTCCCGTTGCAAGGCAAAGAGGAGAGTTTGAGCTCAGGTAGATGTGAAGAACTCCCCTGCTGCAGTAGCTAATAAACAGATAGTGATCGCTCTTAAGAGATAACTACTGACTAGGAGCATGTCTATGGTTCTGATTTGGATTAGTGAGTTAACTCAATTTGCATGTTTTTGTATGGTGAACCAGGGAACCCGGGGAAAACCCACATGAGCACGGGGAGAACGTGTAAACTCTGCACAGAACTGTCGGCTGGCTTGGTAAGGACTAGAACCAGTGACGTTGTTGCTGTGAGGCAACAGTGCTAACCACTGGGCCACCGTGCCACCCATCTAGGAAAGGAGGAGGAGTAGGGGTGGAAGGGGGGATTCTTCAAAATGAAGATGGCTGTCATTTGGAACTGAGGGTAGTTATAGTATCTTTGGAATCATCTGATTGGTCAATCATACATTGAATAATGCAGGACCAGCTGTGATCAATCATAAACACGTGATCCTCTCGAAATTAGTGTAGAAATAAACTTCACTTAAAAAGCAAAACATATTAACAAAACAAAAATAAATCTGCGCCATTGACTTGAGAGCAGCGTTTAGTAGGTCACTGGCGCGGTCTATTTTAGTTGCCTCAGAATAACAACATGTGCCTTAACACGCGTCTTTTTCAGACCAGCACATCCATGGGTACAAGTGCAAATACATTTGCTATGTAAATAACATGGAGCAGGAGTACAAAGCATACTTGAGCCCGACTGAAACTAGCAAAACGTACTTGTGTTATCTCTGGCGCCACATTGTACCGTATGCATGATACAGCCTATTGTGTGTGTGTATGTGTGTTGATTGAGACTTTAAACTCTGTGTTCGCATTGAGATTGGCTGTTGTTTTGATCTGTATTAAGACACTTGTTATATCTCTAAATTGCTGAAATACCAGCTACTTATTTTAGCCATTCATTAACTTGGCTATTATTGTAAATGAATTGATTTAGGGTTTGGAAGATTAGAGCATGTGCATAAGAGAGAGAGTGTGTGTGTGTGTGTGAGTGTTTAAGCACCTTGCCCCTCCTGGTCATTGTCCATGACTTCCGCCTGTGTGATCCACTCCATGTATCCCTTCAGATCCTCATCGAACTGCTGTCGCTCCCGTAGTATTTGATACTCTCCACTTCGAGAACTCTTCTCTCGCTCCTTGGTGAATTCTCTAAAGACACCGAGACGTATGAGATCATTCAAGCACAGTATCTGTCACGCAATACTGAGTTACTTACCCACACAAAACACCCAGAACCAGATTCAAGATGAAGAACGAGCCCAGGAGGATCAGAGTCACGAAATACAGCCAGGGCCACTCCATCCCAATCGCGTCATTCACCTACATGAGTCAAGAGTCGGCTGTTGAGTTCCTATTATAGTGATTCATATCAGAGATCTACAGCCTGAATTAGTACCCAATACTGTAGTACAGGAATGTGTCAGATTAGCTGAGGTCTACTTTATGCATCCAGGGTTCCCATCGGCCAAAATATCATGGAATCTTTAAAGGTCTATTCCAGACATTGAAAGTCAGGGAATGTTTTTTTATTTCTCCAAATGGTGTCCATGATTTTTGTCCAAAACCCAGAGCAATGGGCTTATATTTTCTTCCAGTGCCTGAAGAGTAATTAGCTATAGTTGAAAAATATGTATTTAATTTGAGTACATTGTAAGTAATTATAATTAAGTTACCTAAAAATGACAAGTAATCCCTTACTTTACTTTTTCAGTGGAAAAGTCATCTAATTATAGTAACTATTTACACTGAATATGTTTACACCCAATACTGCCTCTGTAATTACTCTGGTGTAAATCAGCCGTTCTAGGCTTGTACGGTATTGGAGAAGCAGGTTTAAGTATAGCAGAACCACAGCTCTACTGACCCAGTACAGAACGTCCGTCCAGCCCTGAGTGGTGATGCACTGGTAAACCGTGAGCATGGAGAAACCCAGATTGTCAAAGTGAGTGATGCCATTATTTGGTCCGGGCCAATCACCTCGGCATTCAGTTCCGTTCAGAGTGCATCGCCTGCCATTACCGGCCTGAGCACAGGGAGCTGCCTGAGCATCGTCCCCTGTGGCAATAATATCTGCGGCAGAACAGAGCAGAGAGTGTATAACTGCATTCATATTTACTGGAGGATTCTACTGTGAGTTCTTCAAATTAGAGATGTGCCGATATTCAGTCATGTCTTTAGCCGTGTCATGTCATGTCTTTTTATTCATTCATTCTAGTTATAAGCCGATATTCAATAATTCAAGTCATATGCCGATATTTATTCATGTCATATGCCGATATTTAATGATTCAAGTCATATACCGATATTTAATTATTGTAGTCATATGCCGATAGTTAATCATTCTAATCACATACCAATATTCATTCATGTCATATGCCGAAATTTCCTCTAATCATATAGCGATATTGAATCATGTCATATGCCGAAATTTCCTCTAATCATATAGCGATATTAAATCATGTCATATGCCGATATTTAATTCTTCAAGTTTATGACTACAATATTTAATCATTGTATTCATATGCCGATATTCAATCATTCGTGTCATATGCTGATATTTAATAATTCAAGTCATATACTGATATTCAATAATCTAGCCATTTCCCGATATTCATTCATGTCATATGCTGGTATTTAATGATTCAAGTCATATACCGATATTCAATCATTGTAGTCATATATCGATATACAATCATTGTAGTCATAAATCGATATACAATCATTGCAGTCATATGCCAATATTCAATCATTGTAATCACATACCGATATTCATTCATGTCATATGCCGATATTCAAACGTTCTAATCACATATCGATATTCATGTCGTATGCCGATTTTTAGTCATTCAAATCATATGCTAATATTCAATAACGCAAGTCATATGCCGATATTCAATAATCTAGTCATATGCCGATATTTAATCATGCTAATCACATACCGATATTCATTAATGTAATATGCCAAAATGTAATAATTTGTCATATGCCGATATTCAGTCATTCGGGTCATATGCTGATATTTAATAATTCAAGTCATATGCCGATATTCAATAATCTAGTCATATGTCGATATTCAAAAATTTGTCATATGCCAATATTCAATCGTTCTAGTAATATCCCGATATTTATTCATGTCATATGCTTGAATAATTTGTAAAAATTCGATAAAACTTCTAATATGCTGACATTAAAAAATTAAGTTATATGCCAATATTCAATAATTAAGTCATATGCCGATATTTAAAGTCATATCCCGATATTCAATTATTAGGTCATATAGTGATATTAAATAATTAAGTCATATGCCGATATTTAATATTTCAAGTCTTATGCTGATATTAAATAATTAAGTCATATGCCGATATTTAATATTTCAAGTCTTATGCTGATATTCAATAATTAAGTCATATGCCGATATTTATTATTTTAAGTCTTATGCTGATATTCAATAATTAAGTCATATGCCGATATTTAATATTTCAAGTCTTATGCTGATATTCAATAATTAAGTCATATGCCGATATTTAATATTTTAAGTCATATCGCGATATTCAATTATTAGGTCATATGCTGATATTAAATAATTAAGTCATATGCCGATATTTAATATTTCAAGTCTTATGCTGATATTCAATAATTAAGTCATATGCCGATATTCAATAATTAGGTCATATGACGATATTTTAGAATTAAGTCATATGCCGTTATTTAATATTTCAAGTCATATGCCGATATTCAATCATTCATCATATGCAGAAAAATTCAGTAATTCAATTCAAATGCAGATATTCTATAAATATATCGGTGATAATGAATATACACAATATTGATATCAGACATATACCAAAATTCAATAATTCAAGTCATATGCCGATATTCAATAATTCAAGTCATATGAATTAATCGCCACAAGAAAATGAGATATTGTCTAATATGCGAGTTCAAATTGTCTGCCATTTCTCACCTGTGCCGGTGTGGTAGCATGTTTTATGCATCTTGCATTTAAAAAGCTCCAGGCCGATGATAGCGTAGATGGTGACCATGAAGAAAACCAGCAGGGAGATGTGGAACAGAGGCAGCATGGACTTGAGGATGGAGCTCATCACCACCTGCAGGCCTGGAGAAGACATTACGCTTTAACCAGGTAATTAAAACTCTTATTACTGTCCTACTAATTTGCAATCTTGATTTTACGATAGATTAAAACTTCACAAATATCAATGTGTGTGATTTGAGTGGTAATGGAACCATTGGTGCGGATATGCAAATGAAGGTGGTGATGTCACTGACTGGGGACCCCGGAAACGAGGCGCAGGGGCCGCAGCACTCTGAACGCTCGCAGCGCCTTCATGTCGAATCCCCCCTTCTGCTCCACCGGCGCCTCCACACCGCTGATGCTGTTGATGAAGTCCACCACCACTGTGAACAGCCTGGGAAACACACACACACACACACACACACACACACACACACACACTTTTTTTACTTGGAGTTTTTGTCTTGTTTCTAGTGTTTGTGTGTGTGTGCATGTATGGATGTGTGTGTAATTATGGATCTATATGCATGTTTGTGTGTGTATGTATATGTATTTATGTAATGTGTATGCCTGTATATATGCGTGTGTGTACTTATGTAGTGTGTGTGTGTGTATGTGTGTGTATTTATGTAGTGTGTGTGTGTGTATTTATGTAGTGTGTGTGTGTGTGTGTTTGTATTTTTATATGTGCGTATATGTATGTGTGTGTGTGTGTGTGTATTTATGCAGTGTGTGTATGTGTCTGTTTGTGTTTGTGTGTGTTTATATGTGTGTAGTTTTGTAGTGTGTCTGAATGTGTGTATATATATATACATATACATACATATATATATATATATATATATATATATATATATATATATATATATATATGTATGTATATATATATATATATATATATATATATATATGTATGTGAGTGTTTTGTGTGTGTGTGTGTGTGTGTATATTTGTGTGTATTCATGTAGTGTGTGTATATTTGTGTGTGTGTGTGTGTGTGTTTGTATGTGTGTCTATATATGTGTGTACGTATATATTTGTATTGTATTAATGGAGTGTGTGTGTGAGAAAGAGAATGTGTGTGTGTGTGTGTGTGTGTTTACCCCATGGTCACGATGACGAAATCTAGAATATTCCAGCAGTTTCGTAAATAAGCATCAGCGTGAAAGAGGAAACCGTACGCCACGATCTTCAGGAAGCACTCCATCGTGAAGATGATCAGAAAAATGTACTCCAGACTCTCCTGTCAACACACGCACGCACACACACGCACACACACACACACACACACACACACACACACACAGTTGAGTGGCTCTGTCAGCAGGCTTCAGAACAGCGGTGTGTGTTGATGGATTGGCGGATGATTGTGGTCTTTGTAGCTGTGTTTGGGCTGTTGAGGATCTGTCTGCACACGTTACTCTACATTCTGACTCTGGACGTGTGTGTTGAGTTGCTGAAGAGCTCCACGCTTTCCTCCGGTTTCAGTCCAGACGCTCTGAAAACACACTCTGAGCATTTTTTATAGCCACTTTATCACTTTAACCGCCAACTTATCCAGCACGTTTCACGCAGCGGATGCCCTTCCAGCCGCAACCCATCTCTAGGAAACACCCACACACACTCCTTTACACTCATACACGACGGACAATTTAGCCTACCCAATTCCCCTATAGCGCATGTGTTTGGACTGTGGGGGAAACCAGAGCACCTGGAGGAAACCCACGCCAACACGGGGAGAACATGCAAACTCCACACAGAAACACCAACACCAGCCGAGGCTTGAACCAGCGACCTTCTTGCTGTGAGGTGACAGCACTACCTACTGCGCCACCGCTTTGCCTTGCGAAATGCATTGCGATATTTGATTTATCTACGATATAAATTGCGATTATTAGATTTTTCTTCTAAACACATTGCGATTATTAAATTTTTGCAAAATACATTGCGAGATTTTGAAATTTTTCAGCAAAATACATTGCAATATTTAATTTTTCTGCGAGATACATTGCGAAATTTCACTTACCTGCGATATACATTGTGATATTTGATTTTCTTTCAATATACATTGAGATTTTAGATTTTTCTGCTAAATAAATTGTGATATTGCGATATACATTGTGATATTTTATTTTTTGCAATATAAATTGCAATATTTAATTTTCCTTGTTTTTTGATTTTTCTGTGAAATACATTGTGATTATTTGATTTATCTGCAAAATACATTGCAATATTTGATTTTTCTGCGAAATACATTGCGATATTTGGTTTTTCTGCGATATACATTGTGATATTTGATTTTTCTGTAAAATACATTGCGATATTTGATTTTTCTGCGAAATACATTGCGATATTAGATTTTTCTGCGAAATACATTGCGATATTAGATTTTTCTGCGAAATACATTGCGATATTTGATTTTTCTGCAAAATACATTGCAATATTTGATTTTTCTGCGAAATACATTGCGAAATTTCACTTATCTGCGATATACATTGTGATATTTGATTTTCTTTCAATATACATTGAGATTTTAGATTTTTCTGCTAAATAAATTGTGATATTGCGATATACATTGTGATATTTTATTTTTTGCAATATAAATTGCAATATTTAATTTTCCTTGTTTTTTGATTTTTCTGTGAAATACATTGTGATTATTTGATTTATCTGCAAAATAGATTGCGATATTTGACTTTTCTGTGAAATACATTGCGATATTTGATTTTTCTGCGATATACATTGTAATATTCATTTTTCTGCTAAATACATTGCGATATTTGATTTTTCTGCGATATACATTGCGATATTGGATTTTTCTGCGATATACATTGCGATGTTTGATTTTTCTGCTAAATACATTGCAATATTTGATTTTTCTGCGATATACATTGCGATATTTGATTTTTCTGCTAAATACATTGCGATATTTGATTTTTCTGCGATATACATTGCGATATTTGATTTTTCTGTGATATACATTGTAATATTCATTTTTCTGCTATATACATTGCGATAATTTGATCTTTCTGCAATATGCATTGTAATAGTTAATTTTTAAATTACTTTTAAAATTTAATTTTGTGGCAAGTAGCTTTAGTTATCAAGATAAAGTACATAAATGTTGATTTCTACGATTAATAAATGCTTTACAATACTTTATTTTATAAAGTATATATAATACTTTATTCATACTTATTGTTTATATCTAACATTAGCTGGACCATTATTCTAAAGTTATACCCAAATAACTAATTATTTACCTCTAAATATTTTACGTTTTGTTTCTCGGATCAACGCACAGCTAAAGTAGTTCCGGCAGGTTTTGAGCATCACAGCATTATTTTCCACAGTATTTACTTTAATTTATTAATTTCAGCAATGGGAGAAAATGAAAAATACTTTGTGTTCAGGAGATCTACAATGCCACTAGATGGCACCATTAAAAATAAACAAAAATAAAAAAATAAACACTTTTAATATTTAAAAGTGATAGAATTATCCTGCATATTCATAGCAGATCCCTGATGTGTGCATCGTTTTGAATGCATGGATAGAACAATTGCTTTAACACAAAACAAAGCTAGCCACACTACAATGATGATCACCCAAATGCTATGATGTGGGCCTGATTAGGAAAGGATCAATCTGCTGTATCGCATTACGGAGCGCAGCATCCCTCAGATAACGCCGCAGTGATGAGCGAGAGTGCTTTAAACCCTGTCCGAGCACCACGTTTGAGTTTGTGGCTAATTTTAAAGCGTCCCAGCAGCACCTGCTTCTCTCAGTCACCTGGGTCAAGGTCACGCTCACTTACTAGGGAAGACCAGGCGTTGGGTGTCTGCCATTCTGCCTGTACACTTTAACTTAACACCATTTTTCAACATTGACTTTAACTGGTGCCTGGTTCAGTGTTAATCATCTAATCCTCTAAGCATAGAAACCCTGTTGAGGGTGGACACTATGTATTTAAAGAGGGGGGTGGGGGTGTATATGGAAATATTTTATTTAAATAAACGTTTTATATAGAAAGCTTTGCGATATCATATTTGTGCAAATACATTAGATTCGTCAGTGTTCTACAGAAGTGTTTTAAATGGCTAAAGTGCTATAATTTTAAAGGTGTTTTTAAAGTGTTCTCAATAATAAAAGGGTTACAAATACTAATTGTTCTAAAAATGATGTATTTTCCAAGTGTTCTTAATTCTAACGGCTCTATTCTAAATTCGAAAGGTGTTCTAAAAGTGTTCTAAAATTGAAAGGTGTTCTAAAAGTGTTCTAACTTCGAAAACTTCTATATTCGAAAAGTGTTCTAAATTTGAAACGTGTTTAAATTTCAAAAGTGCGCTAAATTCGAAAAAGTGTTCCAAATTCAAAAAGTGTTCTAAATTCGAAGGGTTCTAAATCCGAAAAGTGTTCTAAACTCGGAAATGTTCTAAATTCCAAGTGTTCTAAATTTGAAAAGTGCTCTAAATTCGAAAAAGTGTTCTAAATTCCGTGTTCTAAAATCAAAAAGTGTTCTAAATTCGAAAGGTGTTCTAAAAGTGTTCTAAATTCTATGTGTCCTAAGTGTTGTAAATTCTAAATGTTTTCTAAAAGTGTTCTAAATTCAAAAAGTGTTCTAAATTTGAAGTGTTCCAAAAGTTTTCTAAATTCAAAAAAGTTTTCTAGATTCAAAAGGTCTTTTAAATTCGAAGTGTTGTAAATTCGAAAGGTCTTCTAAATTCAATGTGTTCTAAATTCGAAAGTCTTCTAAAATTGTTCTAAATTCGAAAAGTGTTTTCAATTCGAAAAGTGTTTTAAATTTGAAAGGTGTTTTCAGTGTTGTTTCAGTGTATAAACGTTTTCTAAATGGGCTCTAAATCTTAAAATTCTTTGAGATTGTACAGGTACAGGTGTGTGTGTGTGTGTGTGTGTGTGTGTGTGTGTGTGTGTGTGTGTGTGTGTGTGTGTGCGTGTGCGTGTGTTAGGGAGTGTAGTTGGAGGTGGAATCTGTAGTGTTGACTTTTGAGGGACACTCACTAGGTTGCTGTTGGTGTTATTTGTGTCTTCCTCGGGCATGGGCATGAAAACGGCCAGCGCTACACAATTAGCAAAGATGGTGAGGAGGATGATGATCTCAAACGGTCTGAGAGGCATATTCAGGAAAGATAGAACAATGCAAAAATAAACACCAATGATGCTTTATTATTGTTTATATATATATATATATATTCATACAATATTTGTTCTTTCTGTCAAAATAATGTAATAGTGTCAAATGAGGGTTAGCACAAAAGTAATCTAAATGTAATCTACAAAAGATCACAAAAGTAATGTAAATGTAATCTACAAAAGTAATCTAAATGTAATCTATAACAGTGATAAAGTAATCTAAATGTAATCTACAAAAGTAATCTAAATGTAATCTATAACAGTGATAAAGTAATCTAAATGTAATCTACAAAAGTAATCTAAATGTAATCTATAACAGAGTGCTAAAATAATCTAAATGTAATCTGTAAAAGAGCACAAACGTAATCTAAATGCTATTTACAAATGAGTGCTAAAGGTAATCTAAATTTAATCTGCAAAAGAACACAAAAGTAATCTAAATGTAATCTACAAAACAGTACAAAAATGTAATCTAAATGTAATCCATGAAAGCCTGCAAAAGTAATATCAATATAAGCACAAAAGTAATATAAATGTAATCTACAAAAAATTGCGAAGGTAATCTAAAATGTAATCTACAAGTGAGCGCTAAAAGTAATCAAAATGTAATCTATGAAAGCGTGCAAAAGAAATCTAAATTTAATCTACAAAAGTAATTTAAATGTAATCTAACAGTACTCAGATTACAATACCATAAATATGTAATCTAGGATCTTCTATTGCTGTTACGAATGTTGTGATGTAATTAGTATCAGCAACTCATATAATCTTCCAGCTCTGCTTGTGTCACAGTGGTGTGTCAGTGTGTTGTTATGCGCGTGCTAACATTCTCTGAGCTTAGCATGTCTGTATTTAGTGAGCTGAAGGACAGAGCAGCTGTTCCTCATGCTGAAACACTGACATTTACACACACACACACACACACACACTCCACAGTCAATGAGCTCATTACAGTCTGTCGTCTCACAGGCGCTTTATTTCACTGTCTCCATATTTGGCACTCAGTTTTGTTATTCACTATGCAGTATAATATAATATGTGTTACTTACAATGCAGTTGAAGTCAGAATTATTCGCCCCCCCACCCCTGTATATTTTTTTCAGATTTTTTAATCTGTTCAACATCATTTGGAAAATATTTGAAATTATTTCACAAATAATTTGCCCTCCACTGTAATATACAGAAGTGAAATTAAAATAGTAAATTCAGTGCCTGTATTTAATATTGGACAAATTATTTCTATGACATTAAGGTTAAATTTCTAAAGTGTTTCGATTTTCAGATTTATACACGCATACACAGAAGTATACTGCCTTAAAAAGCAATGTGCAGTAACTACACAAACACCAACACAAAGAAAAATGCCTTTAAAATGTTTCTAACATCAGCAAGTCAAACTTATTGTGAGCGGTGTTGGGTGGAAAAAGTAACAAGGTAACTAATTACTTTAATTAATTTACCGTTCTGCTCATTTTTAGGTATTACTTTGAAATGTCAGGTAGTTTAATTATAGTACTCATCTTAAATATTGCACATAAATTCAACAGTTCTGTATAAATCAATTCAGAGAATTTAATTCAGGCCAAGGGGGGTTCCGGTGGTCTGAAAGACCCAGCCCTTCTGACAAAGTCCAGAATTTGGTCTCTTTATGAGCTCACTTGTGCCATGTTTGACAGGATGCCATTATAAATTGTGAAAATAACCATTAGAATAAGGCTTGAGGAAGAATATCCAATAAAATAACCCATGAAAGAAGACTTTTATTATCTAAATGGACAAATTCTGACTGGGGAGATGAGCTGGCCAGTTTGTTATTTGCCTATAGGCCACAGATTTTCATTTAAAACAAGTTTTAACAGATTCACAATTATTTTGTTTGTTTGTTTGTTTGTATTTTATGATGGATGGCAATAAATTAGCATTAAAAAAAAGTGTTTTTTATATTTCTAATATTGTAATCTCGATACATTCTATATATAAACTGGAATAACTTGGTTTAAATGCACATTTGTAAATAAACATTTTTGGGTAAAACTTTGTTTTGATGGTGCATTTGAGTATTAGTAGACTGTCTGCTGAATATCTGCTGATTCTGCTCCTTCAACAGACATTTAACTGACTATAAGAAACTGCAAGTACATGTCAACTTACAATAACTCTAACCCCAACCTAATAGTCTACTTATCATCTAATGAGAATGAGTTGGACCAAACGGACCATCAAAATAATGTGTGAACCATTTTTGTAAACAAAAAATAGTATGATAAGCACTTCTGATGAGCACAAGAAGTAATCTAAATGTTAAAGCTACAAAAGATCACAAAAGTAAATGTAATCTACAAAAGTAATCAAAATGTAATCTAAAACAGAGTGCTAAAAGTAATCTAAATGTAATCTATAACAGAGTGCTAAAAGTAATCTAAATGTAATCTATAACAGAGTGCTAAAAGTAATCTAAATGTAATCTATAACAGAGTGCTAAAAGTAATCTAAATGTAATCTATAAATGTAATCTATAACAGAGTGCTAAAAGTAATCTAAATGTAATCTATAACAGAGTGCTAAAAGTAATCTAAATGTAATCTATAACAAAAGTAATCTAAATGTAATCTATAACAGAGTGCTAAAAGTAATCTAAATGTAATCTGCAAAAGAACACAAACGTAATCTAAATTTAATCTACAACAGAGTGATAAAAGTAATCTAAATGTAATCTATAACAGTGTAACGATGGGGGTGGAGTGACGGATACAACAGAAGGTAAAATCCAATATGCAGGTTTATTCAGCGTCAGGCAAGCAGTGGTCAAATCAGGTACAAACAGGTATGTGCAGGCAAATCCAAAATCGTCGTAGTATAAACAGGCAACAGGTCACAAGGCAGGCGGCTAAATAGGATTACAGGAATACAAGGCTAAGGTCTAACACGGAGAGACAAGACAAGGAAACACGTTGTAAAGTCACACTAGGGTAAACAAGACTCGGCAACCAGGGTGAGTGAATGAGAGGTTTATGTATGGTATGTTATCAGTCTCTGACAGGGTTCAGCTGGTGAGTGCAATCAAGCAGATGAATGAGCATGGGTGTCTGGGAGCAGTGCATGTATGAAAATGTAGTCCTGGGAAATGCGGAAGTGTAGTCCTGGTGTTCGTGTAAGAACCAGCGATCTCTGGAAAGCGATCGCTGGTTGTGTGACAAACAGAGTGCTAAAAGTAATCTAAATGTAATCTGCAAAAGAAAACAAAAGTAATCTAAATGTAATCTATAACAGAGTGCTAAAAGTAATCTAAATGTAATCTGCAAAAGAAAACAAAAGTAATCTAAATGTAATCTGCAAAAGAAAACAAAAGTAATCTAAATGTAATCTGCAAAAGAACACAAAAGTAATCTAAATGTAATCTACATGTAACCTAACATGAGGGAAGTATTTGTGTTGCATCAGAAAGTGTGGTAATCATAACAATCTGACAAGCTGATCCAGCAAAATTGAGTGCTTAAAATGTCACTAAAATTCAGTATTTAAAGCTCGAATAACTGCAAATAGCTCCAGTTTTTGTGAAAAAGAACCAACCCTTTTTAATAGGCTGGCTACGAGTCTGAAATTAACTTTTTTTTATGTTATACACATATTTTTCTCAGAATAACTCAATTTTTTAACTTCAGAAGGTTACATTTATCAGGAGGATTGCGAGTGATTAGGACAGAAATGTTAATATAATGTAAACATTCAGAGAAGCAGAGCAATTGTGTCGATTTATACTGTGTGTATATATATATATGTCCAACATTTGCACATCTCAGAAACAATGAAATTAAAATGTGTCAGTATGTGGGTCAAGGATTTATTTTAAGTGTTATTTTTTAAGCTATAATCTAAAAAAAACACCCAAAAGAGTTTAGTTTCTCTTAAAGTCTGTATGCATCGAGATTCATATGGATTTAAAGTAAAATTAAGTCATTCATTCATTTTTTTTCAGCTTAGTTACTTTATTAATCAGGGGTCGCCACAGCGGAATGAACCGCCAACTTATCCAAGGTATGTGCTTACATAGCGGATGCCCTTCCAGTCGCAACCCAGCACTGGGAAACACCCATACACTCTCATTCACACACATACATTGTAATAAAGTTCCAGAATTTCACAACATGTAACTAATTTTTTTCACTGTAAACTCCACTCGAGTCACTTTACAGGGTTTAACTGTTGACATATTCAGAGTTTTGTTGTAATATTAAGGCTGGCAACATGATTACAACAAATTACTGTGAAAATAGCTATATCTTTTGCACGTTAGTTATAGGAATTTAAACACTATTCATATTTTATTCAACATAGAAATTCACACAGATTAACTTTTTATGCTGGCACAGGCACTTTTTAAAATATTTTGAAATATTTACAACATTATTGTTATCAGGGCTTGAGATTAACACCCGCCATCTCGCCAAATGCGGGTCGATTTCAGCAGTGGCGGGTAAGACAGACACTCACACTAGCCACTTTGGCTGGTTGAAAATAATTTTCCCAGATAATAATTCTTAAAAGCAATATGCATGCAAAGGAGATCTCAGAATTGAGAAGCATCACAACTAACAAAAATAACTGTGTTCGCGCGAGCAAAAGAAAGCAGGTGAATACCGAATGAGAGGATAACCAACAACCACCAACAACAAGAGGATAACACCGCTAACAGCTGAGGTGATGCGCGTGACTGTTTAAAATGCGTGCACGCTCCTGTTTCCTTGCGTGAAGCAACCGTAGAAACGCAACTGATGTGATCGGTTCTCTTTCAAATAGACTAGACAAAAAGTAATGCTCATGCACCCGCAGTCTCGCTGCTTTCAAGAGCTTGTGTCTTTTTGTAAGCAGCACGGGTTGCTTTCGCTTCAGCAATTCTTTGAACAGATTATTTACGGGTCTAACGTTAACCGTGTGTGTGATCGTCCTTTCATTATCACAGCGTATGTTTTTACCTGCTTTCTTTTGCGTTAATATGATTTAATTATCATTTTTTTTACAATAACATTGCTTTAATGCGAGATTAACTGCCCATTTGTGTTTAGTTAGCTGCTGATCTGGGAACTTTAGCAAGAACTGATTACTGTACATATGTTTTGTTAAAATAAAAGTATAATATACAGCTTTATTTTGCTTGCTTTGACACATTTAAAATGTGTGTCTAAGAAATAATGAATTGTTTATGTTTGGTATAAATTTGGTAAATCCTTCATTTTGAGCTCTGAAATTATGTGAAATAAAAACTGTAATACTGTGAAATCCTGACCCATCTGCTCATGATTATGATTATGAAGCGAGCTCATACATGACACACACAAAGTGAAATTAATCAGGAGGCATGTGGAGATAACGCGAAATCTAAATCAAGTAGTTTTAGCATGTCGAAGTCATATTTACACATATAAAATATATTTTCCCAACAATAAAATTGTGGCTAGTGAAAATGGCGAGTGGCTAGTAATGTTGGAAATCTACTAGCCACAGTGGCTGGTGATCAAAAAAGTGAATGTCAAGCCCTGATTGTTATTATGAAGCACCTCACAGTAATTTACTGTGAATTTACATGCAGTACCTTACTGTGAAAGTAATGCAATTAGCCGGTAATTTACTGTAAAATTATAGACTAATAATTTATAGTTTACACTACGGCCAATGTAGGTTATTCTATTCACCTGTAACCAGCGACCTTCTTGCTGTCAGGTGATCATGCTCCCCACTGCTCCCCCAGGAAGCCTGGTATTAAATCAAGCAATTAAATTACTTCTCAAGTAATTCAGTCACTTTTCAGAAAAAAATTATTTATAAAAGAAATCTAAATTTGATTGTGGCTATATTAGTGTTTCTAAAATAAAAAAACCCGATAGGCTCACAAAGCAGCTTTTAGGCTGGGTCAGTTCACACAAAAATTACAATTCTGTCATCATTTACACACACTTTACTTACACAGTTTCTTCTGTTTAATGCAAAATATTTTATGCGGAAGAATGCTGGAAACCTGTAACCGTTGGCTTTTATAATATTTATTCTTGTATTAATACTTATTAATATTTATTTATTATTTTTTACTATGCAGGTCAGTGGTTTTCATCTTTCTTCAAAGTATAAAGTCTTCTAACGTGTTTATCAGCAGCCGTAGAGAGAGTAAACAGCAAGTAAATATCCATATTGTGTGTGAACTGACTCTTTAACTCATGTTTGACCAAACATGTAGTTACCGCTCTTTGCCTTTAGGTGGCAACACTGCTAAGAAAGACTTTTTACTTTACATCGTACAGAATTTCAGTTAAATACTTAAATAACTACTCTCCAGCTAACATAGACTACATTTAGATCACTTTTGTAGATTACATTTAGATTACTTTTGCACTCTTTTGTAGATTACATTTGAATTTTGTAGATTACATTTTGATTACTTTTGTGCTCTTTTGTAGATTACATTTAGATTACATTTGGATTTTGTAGATTACATTTAGATTACTTTTGTGCTCTTTTGTAGATTATATTTAGATTAATTTTGTGCTCTTTTGTAGATTACATTTAGACTACTTTTGTGCTCTTTTGTAGATTACATTTAGATTACTTTTGTGCTCTTTTGTAGATTACATTTAGATTACTTTTGTGCTCTTTTGTAGATTATATTTAGATTACTTTTGAGATTACATTTAGATTACTTTTGTTCTTTTTTAGATTACATTTAGATTACTTTTGTGCTCTTTTGTAGATTACATTTAGATTACTTTTGTTCTTTTTAGATTACATTTAGATTACTTTTGTGCTCTTTTGTAGATTACATTTAGATTACTTTTGTGCTCTTTTGTAGATTATATTTAGATTACTTTTGAGATTACATTTAGATTACTTTTGTGTTCTTTTGTAGATTACATTTAGATTACTTTTGTGTTCTTTTGTAGATTACATTTAGATTACTTTTGTGCTCTTTTGTAGATTACATTTAGATTACTTTTTGGCTCTCCAGCTGCTTTTCTAAAGGATACTTCCACTCCACGATGTTGATGCAGGCCTTGCGAAATGGGTTTTTGAGTGTGAGGAACAGCAGTGAGCGCGCGGGACGAGGGTTCCCCCCGGTGGCCTGGAGCTTCTTCAGCTTTTCCCGCTGTTTCCTCTTCAGCGTCTCCTCATCCATGATGAAGGAGCTCATGGGAGCTTCGCCGTTTCCCTCCATGATCCGATCGGGAGGCGCAGGAATCCCGGAGATCAGGTACTTTGCTCAAAACTTTAGGAACAGTCTGTGCTTGCGCTCAGGACTCCAAAACAAATGTGTTTCCAGCATCTGCCCTTCTGAACGTGCTTCAAATTCTAATGATATGTGTCACGTATTGTATGACATGCAGTGAAATGCTCACTCGTGACCTTACAATAATAATAACAGTGACATAAATAATAGTCTAAATGTTAATACAATAGAACATATAAGCAAATATAAAGACTGTCGATACAGAGTGTTCCTCCTACTGTCTGTCTCTGCGCTCCTGTTGGCTTCGCACTGCAGCTGTTATGACTTCACCATAAATATAGACAATGTGTGTGTCGCTCAGTTCATGTGTGTGTGAGTGGGTGTGAATGAGACACAGAGATAAAGAGGCCGGACATTTACAATGTCATAACTTTGCAGTGTTCCCATTGGCCCCTTCTGTTTAGCCTGCAAACCAATCAGCTTGCGGATAAATCAGCTGTGATCTTTGGTTTCACGTTATTTATGAGTTTTCCTGAACGCCTCCATTGATTTTGGGAGTTTTCAATATTTGAACAGACTCAGATCTGTCAGGAATATGTCTGGGTTGTTATTGCCTTACCTAAAATTTACTTAAAATCCATACTATACTACGTAGAATCAGTGCATTAACGATGATGAGGATTTCTGTAGTACTATATTACATTACAGTAGTGTTTCCAGCAGCTGAACCCACATGTATGGCATCTACCTGTACAGTGTGTGCGTTCTGAGATGATGTTGTTTGTACTTAAAAACCCTTAAAATAAAATGTATTCGAATAATTATGTAATTTATTGATATTTAAACATCATATGATGGGTAAAATAAAGTCAAACATAAGATATTTGTTCAAACATCATGTCATGGGTAGATCATGAGCACAAATTGGACAAGCATCATTTAAAATAGACATTATTCAAAACAAAACACACCCATTATTGTGTAATATAATGTACGGTTTAATCGTGTTAAACTTAAAGTGTGTGTGATCACAGAGAGCGGGTGTTGATTTCAGGCTTTTTCTGGGCGTTGTGACCCCTGTGACCTCATGAAAAACACTGGGCAGATCCACATGCCTCATTCTGCTTCTTGCATAAGCTGCCATTCACTGAGCGTTTGTCTCATTTCTAATCCAAACACAGTTGAAATCAGAATTATTCACCTTCCTGTGATTTTCTTGGTCAGATATTTCCAAAATGATGTTGAACAGATTCAGGAGTTGTTCAAAGTATTTCCTCTAATATTTGTTCTTCTGGAGAAAGTCTCATTAGTTTTATTTTGACTTGAATAAAAGCAGTTTTTAAGCCATTTTAAGCTCAATATTATTCTCCCCTTCAGCAATATTAGTGTTGGATTGTCTCCAGAACAAACCACTGTTATACAATGACTTGCCTAATTACCCTAACTTTACCCTAATTACCTTAGTGAAGCCTTTACATGTCACTGTAAGCTGAACACTAGTGTCTTGAAGAATATCTAGTCTAATATTATGTGCTGTCATCATGGCAAAGAGAAAAGACAGCTATTAGAGATGAGTTATTAACACTATTATGTTTAGAAATGTGTTGAAATCTTCAGTCCATTAAATAGAAATTGGGGTAAGAAATATACAGGAGGGCGAATAAATCTGACTTATCTAAAAATTCTAAAATGAATAATCAAAAATAGTGTCTTGTTTACAGAAAGAATAAAATCCTCAAATACAGTACTTTAATTATCAGCATTATTATTTTAGGGTTTAAAAAGTCTTAAATTTCAAAATCTCTACCTAAGCCCTTAAAATTAACGGAATTATTGTGTTGCAGGTCTTAAATCATTTTAAACAAGTCTTAATTTTTCCTATGTGCATGTAAAAATGCCTTGAAAATATTTTAAAAGGTCTTCAGTTAGACTTTCAGAGAGCCTGTATATAATATAATTAAATATATTACTATTATTTTGATAAACGTAAAGGCTCAAGTTTTATTTGAAATTATTTTCAGCCACAATCTGACGTGTCGTCGTTAAAAATGCAACCAAACTTAAGAACATGCACCAAAAGTCTTGAAGATTGAAAAACGTTTAAAACGATCTTCATGGTTATGTTCAAAAAAGTGTGCGACATTTACAGTGTGAACTTCCTAAAAACCCCTCTAATGTGGATTTGTAGCATTACTTCAACATGTAAACAAACAAAAGGAAAAAACCCTCAAAAGAAAACATCTACTCCATACTTTTAGAGTACAACAATTTGTCTTGAAAAGGTCCTAAAGAGTCGGAAATTTGACTTGCAGAAAATCTGTATGTAATATAATACAATATATTATTATAATTTCATAAACGTAAAGACACTAATCACTAGTTTTATTGTAACTTATTTTCAGCTACAATCTGACAAGTGTCGTCTTTAAAAATAAAACTCACTTAAATACATGCACCAAAAGTCTTGAAGATTGAAGTTGATTTTGATGATTATGTTATATAAAAAAGTGTCTCCGACATTTGAATTGTCAACTTCCCACAGACTCCGATTCGGAAACTGAAAGCAGCGATATTTCCTCATTTTTTGCTCCTCATTTTTTGCTGGCGCTCTCCAACAGCTCCTGCAGGTATTTAATATATCGAATCGTGGCCCGCATTGTCTCCAGTTTACTCAGCTGTTTATTGCTGCTCCCGATGGGAAGGTGGTCGCGTAATTTGGCGTAGCCCAGGTTTACGCAATTGACCCACTGCCGCTCACGTTCATTCCTCTTCTGGATGAACGCTGGCTGAAATGGGCACTCGTAAACACCAGATACGTGGAAGATACAACAGTAGTGTCGCTCCACAACAATACGAGCCATCGTAAACGCTCCGCTCCAGGGTATAAAAACAATAGGAAAGAGCGTCTGATTGGGTCGCTGTTTGCTCTGTAGCCACCAGAGGGCGCACAATAACAGCTACTTCCAGCTAGTCGCTCCTGAACAGATGTGTCCATATCCGCACAATTTCCAGATCAAATAGTCCACTGTAAAAAGTGATTAGTTGACTGTAAAAAACCTAAATTGCCTTTATAATTGTTAAATAAACAAACTACATGCGTAAAAAAAGGTAAGTACTTGACTTTTTAAAAGTAAAACCAACTTGTCGGTTTTAAGGCAACGGGTTTACTAACACATTAAAGTTGATATTCATGATTGTGTTTAAAAAAAGTGTGTCGGACATTTGAATCGTTAACTTCCCACAGACTCCTCCGATTCGGAAACTGAAACCGGCGACATTTCTTCACTCTTCGCTCCTCTTCCGGCGCTCTCCACCAGCTCTTGCAGGTATTTAATATATCGAATCGCGGCCCGAAGCGTCTCCACTTTACTCAGCCGTTTATCGGCGCTCCCGTTGGGAAGGTGATCGCGTAATTTGGCGTACCCCAGATTTACGCACTTGACTCGCTGCCGTTCACGCTCGTTCCTCTTCTGGATGAACGCCGGCTCAAACGGGCACTCGTAAACACCAAAACTGCCGTGAAACGGTGGAAGATATGACAGCAACGATGCTCCACTACAATACGAGCCATCGTAAACGCTCCGCTCCATGTGCGTCGGTTATAAAAACAATGGGAGAGAGCGTCTGATTGCGTCGTCGTTTGCTCTGTAGCCACCAGAGGGCGCACAATAACGGCTACTTCCAGCCAGTCGCTCCTGAACAGATGTGTCCATATCCGCACAATTTCCAGATCAAATCGTCCACTGTAAAAAGTGATTAGTTGACTTTACGTTTTTACTAAAAAGAGTTAATTCGTTGCCTTATGATTATTATCAAGTAAAAAAAACTCTGTGCGTAAATTTTAAAAGTTAAGTCAATGGGCTTTTAAAACTAAATAAACTTGCTGCTTTTAAGGCAACGGCTTTACTCGGTTTATTTAAAGTAAAGTAACTAATCGCTTTTTCACAGTGTCGTGTCGTTTGGTTCGTAGACAGAAAGCCACGCCCCCTTTGTTCAGGAAGTTGTGCTAATGCTCCAGGATTTCCTGCGGTGAGGAAGCATCGTCGTCTTCAGTGATAAACGCCTCCTGTTTTCTCTTTGATAGCCTGTGAGGGATTTTGAGAGAGCCAGACGTTAAAACTTCAAACACGCTCCAGATTAGGATAATCAGCGTTTAGGCTGAGCTTCAAACACAAGGATAAACCCGCGGACGCTCCTCGATATTAACACGGATTTAGCATAAAACAGAGCTGAAGATGGCACCATCACTATCTGTTCTCAAATCTCTTTAAAAACCGACCTGTTCAGTGTGGCCTATTAATCTTACACTGATAGTTCTGTCGATGGCTTTGTTTCTGATTATATATGTGTTGTTTGTGTTGTTTTTATGGTTTTCTCTAGATTTTCACTGAATATTACTCTGTCTTTAGCACTTCGGTCAGTCGTGTGGCTGTTTTGAAATGTGCTCTATAAGTAAATCAACTTGAACTGAAAGCAGTTGAGGGTCAACCAGCTGTAAACATCACCTCAAAGCTGAAGAAATCCGTTTTCGACTGGTGTTTGGTTTCATTCTTTCATTTTCAGGTTGCTGGTTTGAGCCTCGGCTGGGTCAGTTGGTGTTTCTGTGTGGAGTTTGCATGTTCTCCCCGTGTTGGCGTTGGTTTCCTCTGGGTGCTCCGGTTTCCCTCACAGTCCAAACACATGCGCTATAGGGGAACTGATCAACTAAACTGGCTGTAGTGTATGAGTGTGTATGGGTGTTTCCCAGTACTGGGTTGCAGCTGGAAAGGTATCCACTGTGTAAAACATGTGCTGGAATAGTTGGCGGTTCATTTTGCTGTGGCAACCCCTGATCAATAAAGGGACTAAGCCGAAGGAAAATGAATGAATGTTATGGTGATCCAACAGGAGATGTGGATGTACATTGGTACATTGGGCATTGGTGTGTTTCTGGATAGCAGTGTCTGTGTGTGTGTGTGTGTGTGTGTGTGTGTGTGTGTGTGTGTGTGTGTGTGTTAGTGTGTGTGTGTTTAATCCATCTCTAATTTACGACTACACCAGATTTACAGCAACAGAGCAGAAAAACAGCCTTTTTATGTGTGTGTGTGTTATTTAAAGAAGGTTCTGCACTTGTCTTCTGTCTATCGTGTGTGTGTGTGTGTGTGTGTGTGGAAATCCCCTCTCTGTGAAGCACTGTCAGATTAAACACATTGAGGAGGAAATAATGAATGAAAACTCGTGCGTGTTTCTCCATCAGAGCAGCGCAGCTTCAGCTTTACTTTAATTTGATTCTCTTTTCTATTTAATAGTTTTTATCTGTTTGTTTGTTTTGCTGTGATGTAGAGTGACCATTAATAAAGGTGCCTTTAAATACAGTTTATTATTATTATTTGTATTATTATTATTATTATTATTATTATTTGTATTATTATTATTATTATTATTGTATTATTATTATTATTATTATTATTATTATTATTATTATATGTATTATTATTATTATTGTTATTATAATAATTATTGTTATTATATGTATTATTATTTTATGTATTATTATTATTATTATTATTATTGTTATTATAATTATTATTGTATGTATGTATTATTATTATTATTATTATTATTATTATTATTATTATTATTATATGTATTATTATTATTATTTTATGTATTATTATTATTATTATTATTTTTATTATTATTATGATATAGCAAATTGGCAATACAAGATGATTATTAAATATGACAACAATTTTTTACAAACTACATATACACATATACAAGAGCAGCATTTTAAGCAATTTAAAAAAAATTAAATATTTTTTTAAGGAAACCAAGGCTTCAATTATACAGAAAAAATCTGTTTGTTTGTTTTGCTGTGATGTACAGTGACCATTAAAAAAGGTGTCTTTAAATACAGTTTATTATTATTATTATTATTATTATTATTATTATTATTATTATTATTATTATTAAATAATAAAAGTACAAAAAAGTGCAAATGTGCCGATTTTCATTAACAACAATTATTATTTTGCTTTCTATTTGTTTTGCTGCATTAATGACAATTTGGGCCAAATAAAATGCAATTACATTTTTATCAAAATCTCAAAAAAAGAAAAAAAAAAAAATATATATATACACACACACACACACACACACACACAGTTAAAGTCAGAATTATTCGCCCCCCTGTTTATTTTTTTCTCCAATTTTTGTTTAACGGAGAGCAGATTTCTCCAACACATTTCTAATCATAACAGTGTTAATAACTCATCTCTAATAACTGATTTATTTTCTCTTTGTCATGATGACAGTAAATAATATTAGACTAGATATTCCTCAATACACTTCTATACAGCTTAAAGTGACATGTAAAGGCTTCACTAGGGTAATTAGGGTAAAGTTAGGGTAATTAGGCAAGCTATTGTATAACTGTGGGTTGTTCTGGAGACTATCGAAACAATATATAGCTTAAAGGGGTTAATAATATTGACCTTAAAATGGTGTTTAAAAAATAAATAACTGCTTTTATTCTAGCTGAAATAAAACAAATAAGACTTTCTCCAGAAGAAAAAATATTATCAGACACACTGTGAACATTTCCTTGCTCTGTTCAACATCATTTGGAAAAATTAAAAAAATAAAGCAAAATCAAAGGGGGCGAAAAATTCTGCCTTCAGCTGTATGTGTGTGTGTGTGTGTGTGTGTGTGTGTGTGTGTGTGTGTGTGTGTGTGTGTGTAGATTTTTTCATCATCTGGTGCAGCACAAACATTTGTCAAACATGATTATGATGATGAAGCGTGTCGAGTTGGGGATGTTTAAAGCGGTTGAGCGCGTGCTGTGCTGCTGCTGTATTTGCTGTAGTTTACTGGAGTAATAATAAATGAATGAAGAGAGAGAAGATGAAGAGTCTCTTACCTGGAGAAGAGCAGCAGATCTGATGATGATGAAGGACTCGACACACTGCTGCTGCTGCTGCTGACGGCCCACCCTCTGTCTCTCTCTCTCTCTCTCTCTCTGTGTGTGTGTGTGTGTGTGTTTGAGATAGTGAGAGAGAGTCAAAAACAGACTGCAAATGTGTATATATGAATGTGTGTGTGGCAGTGTGTGTGTGTGTGTGTGTGTGTGTGTGTGTGTGTGTGTGTGTGTGTGTTGACTGTACGCTGAAGGAAACTCTGTCTGATATTGTCTTACATATTTAATTCACATTTACATGTTTGCGCTTGTAATTAGTGCATAATTAATCAAAGAATGCCTCATTTGCATATTTACACTACATTTTGATGAGTTTGAAACAAAAACACGTTTTAAAAAAACTCGATTCGAGATCGACATCTTCAGATGTTCTGATTATTAATTATGAGAGTGTGTCTGTTCAAACCATAGACACACACTTACACTCCGCTTCAAATCGCGTGAACAGAATCCGTTTGGGAATCAGCGTCTGTTTACCACTCTGAGCACGTCAGCTGACAGTCACGCACCGCTATATGGCTGTTTTGAGAATTGCATAAGAGAGGCGACGGCACCTGTGATGAAAAGGACAGGGAATCCGCTGTTTTTACATTTATTTCAGGGTTTTCATACCTAAATAAACAGAAAGCAAAGAACAGACTCACGTTTAAGAGCGAGGAGTGTCCCCTGGTGGTTTGGCGGTATGGGTTGCGTTTAAACGAATTCCCATGTTTGTAAACATTCAGGATGCGCACGCAGGGAGGAGGCAGAAAAAAAGCTAGGAGCGCTAACATTTACAGTAGAGATGGTGAAATGAAGCTTTCTGAACCAGTGACTCCATTGTATCGGAAACAGGTTCATTACCTGAAGCTTTCTAACCAGAGCTCGATGAGGACCTCTGCTGGTTACAGTGTGGAAAAGCACTGTGTTGCAATAATGTCAAATGCAATAATGTCAAATTTTATTCAAAGCGACTTACAAATGAGGACAAGGAAGCAATTTACACAACTATAAAAGCAACAATGAAGAAGTGCTGTAGGCAAGTTTCAGGTGTGTAAAGTGTAAGAAGCAAAACATTAGTAATTATTATTTTTTTTGTAGTACAGTTAGCGGTGGAGCCAGAGAGGCAATTGCAGATTAGTAAGTGAAGTGGAGACTAAATAGTTGAGTTTTTAGTGGTTTCTTGAAGACAGCGAGTGACTCTGCCGTTCTGATGCAGTTCGGGAGTTCATTCCACCAACTGGGCAGATTGAGCGTGAGCGTTCAGGAAAGTGATTTCTTCCCTCTTTGGGATGGAACCACGAGGCGACGTTCATTCACAGAACGCAAGTTTCTGGAGGCGCATACATCTGCAAAAGTGAGAGCAGATAAGAAGGAGCAAAGCCAGAAGTCGCTTTGTAGGCAAACATCAGAGCTTTGAATTTGATGCGAGCAGCAACTGGCAGCCAGTGCAAACGGATGAGCAGCGGAGTGACATGTGCTCTTTTAGCTTCATTAAAGACCACTCGTGCTGCTGCGTTCTGGAGCAGCTGAAGAGGCTTGATAGAGTTAGCTGGAAGCCCGGCTAGTAGAGAGTTGCAGTAATCCAGTCTGGAGAGAACAAGAGCTTGAACAAGGAGTTGAGCTGCATGTTCAGATAGGAAGAGTCGGACCTTTCTGATGTTATAGAGTGTGAATCTGCATGATCGAGCAGTGAATCAGAGAAGTTTAGTTGGTCATCAATCGTTACTCCAAGGCTTTTTACCATTTTGGATGCAGTAATGGTTGCCCCATCCATCTGGATTGAAAAGTTATTATGTAGAGTCGGGTTGGCAGAAACTACAAGCATTTCTGTTTATAGTACTATTGTAATACAACAACAGTAATATAAACAAATTACTCAATTACTGTACTTTTTACACATAAGGTATGTTACAGTACACCACCGATGACTGTAGTAAAATCCAAGGTTTTTTAAAGTACTTACATTTATTATATTCCAACTTGGATCAAACCAGGGATCGAACCAGCAAGTCCTGCATGTGAGGCGAATGCTCTAAAGAGGAGGCTATGTGAGTGATGGTTTCGGGCTGCACTTGCCAGCTGGCCTCTGCTAAACACTATACTATGATACGCAGAGGTTTCTTTAAAGATATATGTAAAAAATATGCTAATTCACTTTAGTATTGTAAGGAAGGCCAGCAAGTAAGTGCTGTGCAGGTAAACCTCACTCCTCTGACCTCTAAAGGTGCTCTAGCGACTGATGCCAGAGGCCATGGTCTTTAGCCTCCTTGTTAGAGTAACCGACTCCCATGCGAAAGGTCGCCTGTTAGTTCCCAGCTCGGAGTGAGTTGGCTGGTGTAGGACTGGCGGGATTGCATATGGTTTAAAACCTTTTTACTGTAAATGACTATTATATTTTAGTTTAATTACTGGTGCGTGGGACCGGTGCAGTGCAGTAGAAATGTATGATATCGACGCCTGATCTCTCACTATACACTTTACTAACCCATGAGGGTGTTTTAACCTTTTAATCAAAATTCGAAGTAGTCACATATAGGCGTATAGGCAGAAATGAAGCTTCGGACGTCACTGATCACGTGATGATGGCAAAACGAATCAAGCTCCAGTGCTTCACTGCAAAATGCATCGTTGTCTGCGAAACCTCGGTTTACAGTGGGGGAATGACATCTGATGCGGTGCAGAGTTTGTTGTTGTCTTAGTGCGATTTATTGATTACATATTATATATATTATTGACATAATGCTTTCAGCATATTATAACAGCTCGCCACCCAGTGATAAGCACAGTTATTCTGCAAAATTAACATTAAAGTGAGCGGCGTTCATCTGACAGCTCCATTTGCGATAGCATCTTCCCAATGGATATTGGATGAAATGAAATGACCAAGCTTCCAGCCCCAAATACACAACCATCTCATTGAAGCTCCGAGTGATTTAACAAGACGTGTGATCATGTGCAAGAAATAATGTTCCATGATTACCAGATTCAAAAACATATAATGCTAAAACCTGAAGTTCTGCCTAGACTAAGACAAGGAAAGAAGATGGAGCTAATGTCATACAAGGCCTGGGTGATCATCAACAAGCAAAACTGACAGCGAACTTCACCTGGGTATGTGAGCTTACACATAGAGGTAAAGTTGGTTTTATATTCGCACATTCAGACTTTCCCCTTAATAATAGAATTTCATAAAAGTATTATTTGCAAACTCTAAATAGCGAAATCATATTAGCAGCAAATGAATATCAAAGCACAACACTGCTCACAGTCAAATAACAGTGTTAATGTCGGCAGGGGGCGCCAGATCTGCACAGAACCTGCTGTAAGTGGACAAGCAGGGGGCGCCAGACCCTCCCTTCAGGATGTGTTTGGAGGCTGAGAGAAACTTCCACTGCAGACAGAAAGTGTTGAGGTGAGAGTGTGTGTGTGTGTGTGTGTGATGGCGCTCAGAGCTGCGCTGCTGAAGAGCATCTGGTACGCCTTCACTTCTCTGGACACCGAAGACAGCGGAAAAGTGTCCAAATCACAACTCAAGGTAGGGTGTGCGAGTGTGTGTGTTTGTGTGTAAAAATGTGTGTGTGAGTGTGTGAGAGAGAGAAGCTATGTCAATTTGAGTTTGTGTCTGTGACTGGTGTGAGAATGTGAGTAAATATGTGTTTGATTATGAGTGGGTGTGTTAGAATGTGTGTAAATGTGTGTGAATAAGAGTGTATGTGTGTGTGAATGTGTGTGTGATGATGAGTGTGTTTGTTGATGGAGGAAAATCAGGGCTTTAATGATGCTTTTGAAGCTTTGTTTCACCATCAAACACGTTTGATTAGAATATGAAATTAAAGACTTCTAGACGATATTTTTATGCAGTTATTTAATGAAAAAAAATTAAACAAATGTTTGTCCTTTCTATTTAGTCATTTATTTACTTTGTATCGTCTCCTTGATATATGAAGTTAATAATAATAATAATAATGAAGTTAATAATACTGTAATATTTCTGAACCGTATTATAGAAAAGTTCTTTAATTATTCTACTGTTGCTATGGTAACACAACACCTATAGTAACTGATCTGTTGTGGTGATTCTACTGTTGCTATGGTAACACAACTACTATAGTTACTGATCTGTTGTGGTGATTCTATTGTTGCTATGGTAACACAACTACTATAGTTACTGATCTGTTGTGGTGATTCTACTGTTGCTATGGTAACACAACTACTATAGTTACTGATCTGTTGTGGTGATTCTACAGTTGCTATGGTAACATAGCAACTATAGTAACTGATCTGTTGTGGTAATTCTACTGTTGCTATGGTAACACAACACCTATAGTAACTGATCTGATGTGTTGATTCTTCTGTTGCTATGGTAACATAGCAACTATAGTAACTGATCTGTTGTGGTGATTCTACAGTTGCTATGGTAACACAACACCTATAGTAACTGATCTGTTGTGTTGATTCTTCTGTTGCTATGGTAACATAGCAACTATAGTAACTGATCTGTTGTGGTAATTCTACTGTTGCTATGGTAACACAACACCTATAGCAAGTGATCTGTTGTGGTGATTCTACTGTTGCTATGGTAACACAATACCTATAGTGAACTGTGCTTTTAAGACTCTTCATGCCCTCATTTGCATATGTGAGATTGTGTAACTGTTGTTTTAGTTAATCTGTTTCACACTCTGAGGCTTTACTCGGATCAACACCAAAACAAAAGCTGCAGTCAGTCTGTTTGTGTGTACGTCTTTATATTTGTGTGTGTGTGTGTGTGTGTGTGTGTGTTTGTTTGTCTTTGAGACCAAATCCCCCCACAAGCATAGCTAAACTGGTAGTGTGTGTGTGTGTGTGTGCAGGTTTTGTCTCATAACCTTCACAGTGTGTTGCGGATCCCTCATGACCCCGCGGCCCTTGAGAGACACTTTAGCGATGATGACGACGGCCCCGTGTCCAGCCAGGGGTACATGCCCTACCTGAACCAGTTCATTCTGGACAAGGTGCAAAACAACACACACAAATACACACACACAAACACACACACTTTTTTTCCTTCTATAATAAATGACATGCGTTTAAGAAGATGCAACAAGATTAAGTAGCCCCACCTTAAAAGATTAATAGCCCCGCCCTAAATGACAGGTAGTCACTCCCTAATGGGCAGGTAGATCTGCCCGAAATTACATATAGTTACGCCCTAAAGGACTAGTAGCTCCACCCTAAAGGACTGATAGTCACACCCTAAAGGACTAATAGCTCTGCCTTAAATGACAGATAATTACGCAATAAAGGAGTAGTAGCTCCACCCTAAAAGAATGATATTCAATCCCTAAAGGAGTAGTATCTCCGCCCTAAATAACAGATAGTCACACCCTTAAGGACTTGTAGCTCCACCCTAAATGACATTGTCACGCCCTAAAGGACTAATAGCTCCACCCTAAAAGACTGATAGTCACGCCCTAAAGGACTAGTATCTCCGCTGTAAATCACAGATAGTCACACCCTAAAGGACTAGTAGCTCCTCCCTGAATGACAGATAGTCACGCCCTAAATGACAGATAGTCACGCCCTAAAGAACAAGTAGCCCCGCTCTTAATGACAGATAGTCACGCCCTAAAGGACTACTAACTCCACCCTAAATGACAGTCACGCCCTTAAGGACTAATAGTTCCGCCCTAAATGAAAGAAAGTCACGCCCTAAAGGACTAGTAGCTCCACACTAAATGACATTGTCACGCCCTAAAGGACTAATAGCTCCGCCCTAAATGAAAGATAGTCACGCCCTAAAGGACTAGTAGCCCCGCCCTAAATGACAAATAGTCACGCCCTAAAGGACTAGTAGCTCCACCCTAAAGGACTAGTAGCTCCACCCTAAAGGACTATTAGCTCTGCCCTAAATGACATAAAGACACGACCTAAAGGACTTGTAACTCCGCCCTTAATGACATAGCTATGCCCTAAATTACTAGTAGCTCCGCCCTAAATGACATATAGACACGCCCTAAAGGACTAGTAGCTCCGCCCTAAATGACATATAGACACGGCCTAAATGACTATTAGCGCTGCCCTAAATGACATAAAGACACGACCTAAAGGACTTGTAACTCCGCCCTTAATGACATAGCTATGCCCTAAATTACTAGTAGCTCCGCCCTAAATGCCATAGCTACACCCTAAAGAACTAGTAGCTCCGCCTTAAATGACTTATAGCTACGCCCTAAAGACTAGTAGCTCCAACCTAAAGGACTAGTAGCTCCGCCCTAAATGACATATAAACACGCCCTAAAGGACTAGTAGCTCTGCCCTAAATGACATATAGACACGCCCTAAAGGACTAGTAGCTCCGCCCTTACTGACATATAGCGCTCTAAATGACTAGTAGCTCCGCCCTAAATGACATAAAGACATGCCCTAAAGGATTAGTAGCTCTGCCCTAAATGACATAAAGACACGCCCTAAAGGACTAGTAGCTCCGCCCTAAATGACATATAGACACGCCCTAAAGGACTAGTAGCTCCGCCCTAAATGACATATAGACACGCCCTAAAGGACTAGTAGCTCCGCCCTAAATTACATATAGACACGCCCTAAATGACTAGTAGCTCTGCCCTAAATTACATAAAGACACGCCCTAAAGGACTTGTAACTCCGCCCTAAATGACATAGCTATGCCCTAAATTACTAGTAGCTCCGCCCTAAATGCCATAGCTACACCCTAAAGAACTAGTAGCTCCGCCTTAAATGACTTATAGCTACGCCCTAAAGACTAGTAGCTCCGCCCTAAATGCCATATAACTATGCCCTAAAGGACTAGTAGCTCCACCCTAAATAGCATAGCTACACCCTAAAGGAGTAGTAGCTCCGCCCTAAATGACAGGTAGCCACACCCTAAAGGAATAGTAGCTCCACCCTAAGTGACAGACAGTCCCGCCCTAAAGGACTAGTAGCTGCTTCCTAAAGGCATTTCATGTGACCAGAAGTGAAGAAAGTGGGTTCGAGGGGGAGGGACTGTTATGATATTAGATTTAAGATTCTGAGGGTAAATAGATTTTTAGAGAATGATGAAGTGCACAGATACAGCGTTTATACCGAGCATTACAATAAACAAATAAAAATAAGAAGAGTGCATTTTGATTGTTGAGACCGGATCCTGCTGGAGAAATGATGTTGTGTGTGTGTGTGTGTGTGTGAAGGTGACGGAGGGCACGTTTGTTAAAGAGGAGGTGGATGAGCTCTGCTGGACGCTGTGCTCCAAGAAGAACTACCACCCAGCCGATGATCAGCTCCTAACCAATCAGGACGCTTTGAGGCTGTGGTGTCTGTTCAACTTCCTGGCGGACGACCGATACCCGCTCACACTGGTGCCGGAGGAGGTGAGGAACTCTCTGGAGAGATGCTCAGGTGCTAGATCTGGGTGGACATCCGCTTAAAGGGCTCATTCACATGTCTTCATCATGATGAGATGTGCTCCAACATTAGGCACGTTCACATCAAGACTGAGCACACATCTGTGGCATTACTGAATAAACACTGTGCTGCGGCCCACAGATCACACCATTATGCCTTTCTTCTCTTTCATTCTCTTATAATCTGTTTAACACATTTTCATCTGCTTTAATAACATTTTCTGTCTCCTTTATTCCTGTTTATGTGAAGCACTTTGAATGATTATTGTGTGTTTTACTCTGCTGTTACCGTGTGTGTGTGTGTGTGTGTGTGTGTGTGTGCGAGGTGGAGTACCTGCTGCGTAAGCTCAGCGCTGTGCTGCCGGTGGAGCTGAGCTGTGTGGAGCTGGAGGAGTGTGTGTCGCAGGAGTGTGTGTCTCCGTCGCAGGAGTGTGTGAGTGTGTGGAGTTTCCTGCATCTGGTGAACCGCAGCGCCGTCAGTCGAGGAGTCGACGCCGACAGCTTCAGTCTCGCTGTGGAGAAGGTGTACAGAGAGGTGGTGGGAAACGTGCTGAAGGAGGTGCGCTGGAGTGCTGTGTGTGTGTGTGTGTGAATGTGACGTGTGTGCATGTCTGTATGTGGGTGTGTTGTGTGTATCTGTGTGTATCTGTGTGTATGTTTTACGTGTGTGTGTGTGTGTGTGTGTGTGTGTGTGTGCACGTGCACGTGCAGGGTTACCTGTGGAAGAAGGGTCACCTGCGCAGGAACTGGACGGAGCGCTGGTTCTGTCTGAAGCCCGGCTCTTTCTCCTACTATGTGAGTGAGGACGCGCGGGACTGCAGGGGTGTGATAGAGATGGACCACAACTGCTGTGTGGAGGTGTGATCCGCCGCTCATTTGTCTGATTGTGATTGACACTTTGACTGACACTTGTCTGATTGTGATTGATGATTGACACTTGTCTGATTGTGATTGATGATTGACACTTGTCTGACTGTGATTGATGATTGACACTTGTCTGATTGTGTTTGATGATTGACACTTTGATTGACACTTGTCTGACGGTGATTGATGACTGACACTTGTCTGATTGTGATTGATGATTGACACTTGTCTGATTGTGTTTGATGATTGACACTTTGATTGACACTTGTCTGACGGTGATTGATGACTGACACTTGTCTGATTGGGATTGATGACTGACACTTGTCTGATTGTGATTGATGACTGACACTTTGATTGACACTTGTCTGACTGTGATTGATGATTACACTTGTCTGATTGTGATTGATGACTGACACTTGTCTGACTGTGATTGATGATTGACACTTGTCTGACTTTGATTGATGATTGACACTTGTCTGACTGTGACTGATGATTGACACTTGTCTGACTTTGATTGATGACTGACACTTGTCTGATTGGGATTGATGATTGACACTTGTCTGATTGTGATTGATGATTGACACTTGTCTGACTGTGATTGATGATTGACACTTGTCTGACTTTGATTGATGATTGACACTTGTCTGACTGTGACTGATGATTGACACTTGTCTGACTTTGATTGATGATTGACACTTGTCTGACTGTGATTTAAGATTGACACTTGTCTGATTGTGATTGATGATTGACACTTGTCTGATTGTGATTGATGATAGACACTTGTCTGACTGCGATTGACGACTGACACTTGTCTGATTGTGATTGACGACTGACACTTGTCTGATTGTGATTGATGATGGACACTTGTCTGATTGTGATTGATGATTGACACTTGTCTGACTGTGATTGACAACTGACACTTGTCTGATTGTGATTGACAGTTGTCTGACTGTGATTGATGATTGACACTTGTCTGATTGTGATTGATGATTGACACTTGTCTGATTGTGATTGATGACTGACACTTTGATTGACACTTGTCTGACTGTGATTGATGATTGACACTTGTCTGGTGGTGATTGATGATCGACACTTGTCTGACTGTGATTGACGACTGACACTTGTCTGACTGTGATTGACGACTGACACTTGTCTGATTGTGATTGACACTTGTCTGATTGTGATTGATGATTGACACTTGTCTGACTGTGATTGATGATTGACACTTGTCTGATTGTGATTGACGACTGACACTTGTCTGACTGTGATTGACGACTGACACTTGTCTGATTGATGATTGACACTTGTCTGACTGTGATTGATGATTGACACTTGTCTGATTGTGATTGATGATTGACACTTGTCTGGTGGTGATTGGGACTGGTTTGGCTTTGATTGACAGCTCTGGTTGACAGGTTTGGCTATGATTGACAGGGTAAATGTGATTGTCAGTTCTGACTGTGATTGACAGGTGCTGCCAGATCGTGATGGAAAGAGGTGCATGTTCTGTGTAAAGACCCTCAACAAGACCTTCGAGATCAGCGCACCAGACTCCAGACAGAGACAAGAGTGGATCACAGGTCTGAGATCAACACATAAACACAGCAGAGAAACGTCTCCTGAGAGATACAATATTTAAAGACTAGTGATGTCCTGTTAGAGACTGTCACGTTCAAAAAATAAGAGTCAAAGAGGATCCAGGTGCGAGTGATTAAAGTTTATTTGACTAAGTCAAAATAAACAAACAATAAAAGTGACAGGCTAGGAGGACGTCGAACACAGGGCAAGCGCACAAGCGCACAAACCTGCAACCGTGACAAGAGACTAGTTAAAGACCAGTGATGTCCTGTTAGAGACTAGTTAGAGTAGTGACGTCCTGTTAGAGACTAGTTAAAGAGTAGTGACGTCCTGTTAGAGACTAGTTAAAGAGTAGTGATGTCCTGTTAGAGACTAGTTAAAGAGTAGTGATGTCCTGTTAGAGACTAGTTAAAGAGTAGTGATGTCCTGTTAGAGACTAGTTAAAGAGTAGTGATGTCCTGTTAGAGACTAGTTAAAGACTAGTGATGTCCTGTTAGATGTCATGTTAGAGACTAGTTAAAGACCAGTGATGTCCTGTTAGAGACTAGTTAGAGTAGTGACGTCCTGTTAGAGACTAGTTAAAGAGTAGTGATGTCCTGTTAGAGACTAGTTAAAGAGTAGTGATGTCCTGTTAGAGACTAGTTAAAGAGTAGTGATGTCCTGTTAGAGACTAGTTAAAGACTAGTGATGTCCTGTTAGATGTCATGTTAGAGACTAGTTAAAGACCAGTGATGTCCTGTTAGAGACTAGTTAGAGTAGTGACGTCCTGTTAGAGACTAGTTAAAGAGTAGTGACGTCCTGTTAGAGACTAGTTAAAGAGTAGTGATGTCCTGTTAGAGACTAGTTAAAGAGTAGTGATGTCCTGTTAGAGACTAGTTAAAGAGTAGTGACGTCCTGTTAGAGACTAGTTAAAGAGTAGTGATGTCCTGTTAGATGTCCTGTTAGAGACTAGTTAAAGAGTAGTGACGTCCTGTTAGAGACTAGTTAAAGACTAGTGACGTCCTGTTAGAGACTAGTTAAAGACTAGTGACGTCCTGTTAGAGACTAGTTATGTCCTTTAAAGACTAATTATGCCCTGTGACAAGCTAGTTATGTCCAGTTAGAGACTAGTAATGTCTGGTTACAGACTACTTTTTTCTGGTTAGAGACTAGTAATGTCCAGTTACAGACTAGTTATGCCTATTAGAGACTGGGTATGTCTGGTTAGAGACTAGTTATGTATGGTTAAAAAGTAGTTATGTCCTTTAAGAGACAAGTGACGTCTGTGAGAGACTAGTGACGTTTGTTAAAGTTATGTACGGTATGAAATTAGTTACGCCCGGTTAGAGGCTAGTAATGTCCTGTTAGAGACTAGTAATGTGCCATTTGAGGCTAGTTATGTCCTTTTAGAGACTAGTTATGCCTGGTTAAATACTAAATATGTCCGGTTGGAGACTGGTGATGTCTGTGAGAGACTAGTGATGTCTGTGAGAGACTAGTTATGTACAGTTAGAGACTAGTTATGTCTGGTTAGACACTAATTATGTCTAGTTATGTCCTTTTAGAGACTAGTTATGCCTGGTTAAATACTAAATATGTCCGGTTGGAGACTGGTGATGTCTGTGAGAG